GAGGCGCGTAAATTTGCCGACTTCAATAGGGTAAATGGAATATGCGATTTGGGAAAGCCTCCTCCAAGTTGTAAGCCAGTATTGTCTTATTTTTGAGTGCTTTGCACGATTGAAGAGTGGTCAATTGAGATCAGAGGGCAAGGATTTTGTTTGACTTGTCTTTACCTCGTGTTGGGCATATAAATACCCCATAGAGAGAGATATATATTCTTTCACTGATTTTAAGGTACCATTGTTCAAGAAGATATATGACATATGATTGCTTGTTGAGGAGACAGAATTGATAAATTAAACGAAACACTTTAGTACGATATCTCAATGGCTCAATTAATTCCGTAAAGGGAAACGGTTGTAATTAAATCTACACTTATCACGATCTATTGCGAAACAACAATTTAATGCCTGAGATCAATCGCTTTTAGTTCGGTTGTTGTTATGAACAGTGGCCAAGATTTATGAACACCTTCAATCACCCAAACATTCAACGATTCGGTTATCTTGAAACAAATTTTTCAAAGCCTTTTAGTTTTCATGAAATATAGCACCTTTTAAGGTAGTAATTCTGACCATCTGTGGGGATTAACACGAATATATTTTTTTTAATAATAAGGCGAAGACATTCCTGATTATTGAGTTTTTTAAACGATTAAAGTTCATTCGCTTTATTTTCAAGACGAAATTTTTATGTAGTCCATCTAGTAGTTTTTGTAATTATGCTCCTCAATTATTAGCTGCTCTTTTATCGCTGATTTTTTTCGTACAAAGAGGACTTGTAAATGAATAAATAAAATGGTAACCAATCAGTGCGCAAGAACCCCAAAGAATTTTCCAGAAAACTCGTCAGGAAAGCCACTCAAAAGAGAGCAATGCGGTTGTGCATTCATTACAGACCTGTAAAATAATTCTTTTAACTAGATTATGCTCATTTATTGGAAGGGCGTTGATCTGTTTGCCGACAGATTTGAGTAAAGTTGCCCTCAAAAAAAATATTTACCAAATAAACGGAAACTGAAGAATTCTTCCCCTCTTGATCAGCTTCTCTCTGTTGACACGACATCTTCTGAGATTGCTTACTTAACCACAGATTGATTCAGTTAATCGGCTTAGATTTTTCTTGGCATGATTTGGGTTTCACCGAGACCAGATTCGCTGAACTGACATGCCAAAATTAAGGAAATTCGAGACAAAATGATTCTTCAAACTCCCACAAGATTTGAAAGTTTGTTAAAATTTCGCATCATCCTTCCTCCGTTCCTCTGGCTTAGGCGTTGTTTTTATCAGGGCGAGTAACATATCGCACATTCATCATCAAATATATTTGTTTATTGTAGTTTGTGTCCATGTTAATTTTGGCCCGCCCAAAAGTCCCTGTCTTTCCCAGTTTAGGGATCCAAATCTTAAGGGGACATAACTGCTACCATGGAAAAAAAAAAGTGCGACAGTTCCACTTTTCGTGCAATTTTCCTAATTCTGCTCGGAAGCGGTCCGAAACGGAGAAAGCATGTCCTATTTGGAGAAGTCGGAAATGGGAGAGAGTTTATCACCGTTAATCCTGTTTACTGAGGTGATAAGCTTATGATGACCTAAACAAAAATAGCAACATGCTGAGGAATTGTCTTTTTTCTGAACATGTAGAATTTTTTTATCTATATTCATCCCATACTTTACAACTTCAAACTCGTTCAAGCTGCGTGATAGTCTAAGAATTTACGTGGTCATGATCAGTAATATTATCCGACTGAGAATTATTTTTCGACAACTTGACAAATCTGGAAATATCCAAAGGACCGTATTACTAAAGAATTCGAGCCTACCAGAAAAAAAAGACTTGCACATTACCCATTGCGCTTTATTTTATTTTGTTTTTTAGACTGAATAGTTTATAGACGCTCTGTCAGAGTCACGGGAACACTGGCTCAAGGCGCTGAAATCTTCCTCTAATTCAATCTTTACGTAGTGTTTTCAGCACCATTTAGAATTGAAATTTTCTAATTACGCGTATCTATGTATCTGTGTTTTAGCTTTTCCATGTGTTTAAGTATCTACTTATTAGGAAGATTCTAGAACTGTTATTAGGGGGAGGCGGTATTTGCTAATCTAGGGCCTTTTTGTAAGACAACATTTGAATCGCAATAACACCAGGGACTCGTGTTACTAAAATGTGTATGTTATCCCGTGACAGAGAACTTTCAGTTGTTCCTTGATAGGTTTCATGCATGAACGTTGGAAATGACTAAGCTTGAACATTACTATTGTCCACTGAAATACATAAATGTCTCATACTGATGCAGAACATTATGAGGACACACAAAAGGGCACTGCTCATAAAGTGAACATAATGGCGTGAAACAGTAATGCTTTGGATGTGTTCATAAAAGAAGATCAAAGCAAAGATATAACTACAAGATCAATTTAAATGTATTAGCTCCCAAGATCAGCTAACACTTCCATGCGCTCCAAAGGCAGTTTAAGCATCATCGCAATAAATAGATAATTGAATTTGTATAAATAACCTTTTAGACTGGCGAAGGGCTAAAAAGTGGTTAATTTACATGATCAATTCAGCTGATAAAACCAAATTATGTGCAATCAATAGAATGTACTGAACGACCTCAGAAGGAATTGGTTTTCATTGGTTTAATAGCTGTGGGAATCTATTTTAAGATGCAAAAGGAAAATTTTAAAAATTACTGAAAAGGGAAGCAGTTCCAATGATAGGAACAATAGCTTCACAGGCCAGACTGACCTCTCAACAGCTGTTTATCTAAGAAGCCTGCCCTCAGTTATGAGTTTGAGATAGAAATGCTAAACCCATTAACCTCACTTTAGATGCCAATTCTTACGATCTCTGTTGCGCACTCAAGATAGTAATCAGTTGTCGAAAGCATAAACTTAACTCCTGTGGAGTTCCCAGAGGAGTTTTTCCACAAATATTCGAAAATGTTGCAGGGGAATCGCCCACTATATTAAAAATGAAGCATCACCGTATCGAAAAAAAAAATCTGTTCGAAGATTGGAAAATAAACGACTCATTTAGAAATTTACATTTTCAACGTAGATTTGATAACAGATAATGAAAGTAATGCTTTAACACCTGTCTTAATCTCGAACATATGGTGCATAAGCCTGAATTTTCCTAATAGTTTCTGACACCAAATCTATAGCTTCAGGGCCCATTTTTCTTGTCTATCACAGACACACGCAGCTCATAAAAATCATTAGCCTTTTCGGTAGTAGGTTTAAGGACCAGCCCTAGGCGATTTCGGTTGATGCTTCGAATTCTAGAAGCACATCTGGCAGCAAAACGTTTGAATACCAGTTAATGAGAGAGTTAGAAGATAAAAGCATAGTCTCTGGTACATTCTAGAAGCTGTTGCACAAAAATTAAAGTTCACATTATCTCATTCCATCTCTGACCTTTACCAGAGTTTTTTTCCTTTTTAAGTTTAATGTCGTTCATCATGTAATACTTAACGATAATACGTGTTGCCGTCCTGAAAAGAATCCGTGACAAAATCTTTTTCTGCATGGTCATTAAACAACATTTTGCACTACGAACGAAAAACAGTGAAACAAATGGAGTTGTTTCGGTTGCTTCAGTGGGGATTGATCAGTCAGTTTTTTGAGTTTGCTTATTTTGCTATTGTCGTTATTTTTGTGTTTTTGTTCTTGTTTTGCTTTCCGGAGGTACAACGGATAGATTCCCTGCTCGTTAATAAGTCGTTGAGGAGAATCATTTGCATGCGTTTCTAATCTAATTTTTTTTCGTTTCACCTATGCGCATCGGACGTGCAGGTATCTGAGATTTCCAAAGGATCGGCTTTGTGCCTTTCGTCTCTTGACAGAGATATCAATTGCAAAAGCATGCCCGCAAGGTCTTTCGAGAAAACACGTTCAAACCGTACACTCCGTCACACCCCAGTAAAAAAAATTTCATACTGCTTACATTAAAACATTTGTAAGAACCGACATGAGGCGAAATGATCGAGCTCACATTATTTGCTCAGAAGCCCACCAACAATTACAAAAGGGAGAATAGTGAAAAACGCAATATGTTTTACTGTCTGAAAGTAACAGGAAAAAATCCCAAAAATCAAAATTAATTAAGCAAAGACAAAATCACCCGCTGATTCCTGTTTTTTTGATATGAATTAAGGTCTGGATTTCATAGTTCTTGCAATGGAAGCCAAGAAGGTCTTTCATGTTTTTTTCTTAGTCTGAATTTTACACTGTCATCATCTCATTTTTTTTTTTCTGATTGATTTTTCCCATACCTCCGTAATTAATATTCGTGTTATCTTTCTTGAAACTTAAACCGATAATTTACAATAGCCCTAACCCTTCAACTACCATGATTTCATAGGCAATTCTCCTTACTGTCTACCATGAAAATCATGTGATGTTAGTTTGGAGAATTTGGGATGGGATCAACCAATAATTTTCTAATTGATGTTTTTCTTTACTCTCATTACTTGTCTGCTCGATATCGTACTGATAGTGTAAGGAGAAATTCTGTCTGGGTCAGTAGTGGGACTTAAAAGCTTCATCTTGATCTTGGAATGAATTCAAAGAATTTAGAAAATATTCGAGGCAATGAATGTTTCCCTAAATATCCGAATAGGCCAATAGAGTTCGTGTATGTACCAATGTGAAGTATTTATTTTCTAAGCAACTTGAAGCTTTGTTTCATTTAATTAACGTTCAAGCGAACGCTCGAACACCCGAGAGAGCATAAAAACCCAGCCCATAACTTGTATCGTTTCTGGGCCCCATAACTTAATTAAGTAACTTGGCAGACTCGAATAATTACTTTTCTTGAAGCAACTATCAGATCCTTTCAGACAAAACGTGATAGTTGTATATACCTCAACTCGTAATGTTTCTACTCCTGTACATATCCCAAAACCTAAAAAAAAGGACTGCTCCTGGAATCCACGCAATTCGATGGAGAAGTTATCTTCCCCCGATTATCATAGATCTCAACTAATAGATTGTGACTTATGTGTGAACCATTTTTTGCATTATCAGTCACAGAAAGATGTAATTCTAATGCTGACATTGCCTTCTTGGTGGACTCCTCGGGAAGCATCTCCCGTGAAAACTACGAAAAAGTGAAAACATTTGTGTCAAACCTCGCTGCGAGCTTCAACATTTCTCCAGGGGGATCCCGTGTGGCTGTTGTTCTCTACAGTACAGGCGCAACAACTGCAATCAAGTTTGATGACTTCACAAGCGCAGACTCGTTTGAGAGAGCAGTGAAACTCCTAAAACATGAGCGCGGATTCACAAGGATAGATCTTGCTCTTCAAAGGGCCTATTACGACTTGTTCGGCAGACGAGGCAGTTCTCGGTATGAAGTACCAAAAATTGCCTTCCTCCTCACCGATGGAAAACAGACGGAAGACTCCCAAGCACTCTCTCTTGGAAAGATGGCCCGCCTTATCAAGGATCAAGGAGTGCGAATCGTTGCAATAGGAGTTGGAAAACAAGTCGAAACTCAAGAACTTATGACAATTGCAACTAACGAAAAGGACGTCATACAGGCAGACACATTTGACGACTTATTAGAAAAAGTGCAACCGATCGCCGAGAGTGCATGTGAAAGCTTTTTAGGTAACAGCCCTCTTTTCATTACTGAAAAATAATACCATAAGCTCGCAATGTAACTTGTATAGATTAAAGGACCTTTGATGCAGGCTCTGTCTTTCAAGATTGATTAAGACACGAGGTTAAGGGCTTGGTCCCGAACATCTGCTAATCTGAGCACGACCTAATCCCCCATTCTAGTGGGCAAAGTGTGGGTCACATCGATAATCGTTATGCCGAGGGTATTACGCATTCCTTGTACTAAAAGGTATGCCGTTCAAGATAAAGAATATATCAATATATATATTGAGACTTTTTTGTTATTTCAGCTGTTCCTATTCCAGAGGAAATTGACGATGGTAAGTAAATAAAGTTCATGTTTTATACCAGAATAAATATTTACAATGGAACTCATTAAGTAGGGTACTGTTGTAATAGAAATGTCAACTTAACGAATTTTGAGAAAAAGAAAAAAACGTTTCCGAAAATTCACTCGTCATACTAGTAACGGAAATAATGCATCAGCACGAGATATCTGCATTCATGAAAACAATCCTGTCCTCGATTCGCAAATATGACTTCTCACCGAAAATTTAATCCCGCGAAATAAAACAATCAAATGAAAAAGTCTGCATGCGATTTATTTGTCATTTCCAACACACCTCTTTCATGCTGGCGAGCTTGATTCTCGTTCTTTCATTGGCATGATTGGAGGGGGGGTTACCGAAGTCCATTTTGTTGGGTACGTGCCGCTGGCCCCTACCCTATTGAAGCTTTTTCTGAGGCTAATTATAAACTTCATCTTAGACATTTTGGGTGAATGCAACAATCTTCCCATTGTTGAATCCCTACTTAACAGAATTTTCTTACTCTCAAAATACCGAAAATGTGCGACCCATTCTAGTAACTCTATTGAAGTTGCAACTCCATTATATTTAACCTAGTGGTGACAATGCGAATCCATCCAGTGCAACATCAGCCTCTTTGTAGGAAGCCCCCCCTCCCTCCCCCCCCCCCCCCCAACGGTCATTTACGAATAAGTATATTTTTAAAGAGGCACAATTCCGCAAAAGATTGTTTTTGGGCAAGTTTATGTTACTATTTTGCTGAAGGTACTTTTCAGTGCCATCTGGTGATGATACCTTCAATAATTTCTCGGTCAAAGCGTTTTTGGCGTTCTGAATATATCTTATAAAACTGCTTAAAATCTGTCGGGATTCTTATTTTCCTGATCTGACTCGCAGCAGAACAAAAATACTAAACTGGTAGATAGTTCTTATGAGCATAATTTCCAGTTATATTCATCATCATCTTCTCTGACAGAATGCCAACCTGATGTGGACGTCGCTTTCCTGGTAGACTCATCCGGAAGCATTTCTTTTAGAAACTTCCGAAAGGTAAAAAATTTTGTCGTGGAACTGGCTTCAAAATTCGACATTTCCCCGGGAGGATCCCGTGCGGCTGTTGTTGTTTACAGTACAAGAGCAACCACGAGGATCAGGTTCACAGATCACTCTACCTATGGGTCGTTTGCAAATGCTGTGCAAAGATTACGACATGAACGAGGTTATACCAGGATAGATCTTGCTCTTCAAAAGGCTAATTTTGACGTGTTCGGTCCTCGAGGAAAACCCCGCTTTCTGGTGCCAAAAATCGCGTTCGTCCTCACAGACGGAGAACAGACAAGAAATGGAAATGAACTTTCTCTCGAAGTGGTTTCTGACCGCCTCAAAAAGAAAGGAGTACGAATCATATCGATAGGAATTGGAAAACGTGTGAACAAGAACCAGCTTACAGTAATCGCCAGTAGCGAAAAGGATGTCGTGATAGCTGAGTCATTTGATGGGTTGGTATCTGAAGTGGAACCACTCTTTCAGAGCGCGTGTAAAGGGAATGAAGGTTGGTTCATTCTTGAATTAGTGCTTTTAACCCTTTTAACTCCCACGATCTGATTGTTAATTCTCCCCTCTAGCCATTACACATCCCCTTTTTAATAAGTTACAAGAATTTGGCGTTAGATCAAGAGAACAACCTCAACCTGATAACTTGAAGTATTCTCATTACCAGTTTGCTGTATATTGTATGGATATATAGGGAGAAGTTACGTGTTAATCACCTCCGGGAGTTAAAGGGTTAAAACGAACATCTGCTAAAAATCATGATACAATAATGTGCCGTCTTCTTCGTGGCTCTCCTCAAGAGTAAAAAAATTAGTTTGAACTGTCAAAACGTTGGAAAAAATTATTGTACGGACATTAATAGTGTTTGACTGGGTAAACCAGGACTCCTTAAGATCATTGACCGTTAAAAGAGAAATGACCTTTTTTAGATGAAGGAACTTAATTGTCTTATGAATTGTCGTTTTTAAACCACATGAAACTGATCTTTCCTATTTTCACAATACTGTTTGTAAAGTGAACAACTAACTCTTTTCAACACTATTCAATTTTAGAGCTTCCCCGCTGTGGAACACAGGTAGATATCGCTTTTCTTGTGGACTCATCTGGAAGTATTTCGAGTACCAACTACCGAAGAGAGAAAGCCTTTATTAACGCAGTTGCCAAAAGCTTTGGAATATCCAAAGATAAGTCTCGAGCTGCCCTAGTGCTATTTAGCAACTCAGCGTCAACAAAGATACGATTTGAGGACCATTCAAGTACAGCGTCCTTTACAGCGGCCGTCGAAGCCCTTCGTCACGAGCGAGGCTTTACTCGCATCGACCGAGCCTTGGAGGTTGCCACTCGAGAGGTATTCCCAAATGCCCGAAAAGGTGTCTATCAGATTGCCATGGTAATAACAGATGGAAAACAAACCCAAATGGATGATACGAAAGATCTTAGGGAGGTGTCCAAACCGTTGCGAAAGGCCGGAGTAAGAGTATTGGCGCTTGGGGTTGGTTCTGGAGTCGATGAAAAAGAGCTACGACTTATAGTCGAGAGGGATGGAGATGTTTTACTTGCCAAATCTTTTACAGAACTGATCAGCAGAGTTGGAGCATTGATCAAATCTACGTGTAATCTAGCAGGTAAGAGCTTTTCTTACAGTAAAGATTTCATATACAGGTGAAAAATTGGGTGAATGGTAGAGATATATCGAGAAAGTGCAGCGTTCGAGACGAATGGCCTCAAGTTGTCACTAATGGCACATTGATGGATCCGTAACATTTCAATCTTTGTACACCGATTTTAAAATCGTCAGTATGAGCAAATAAGTTGAATTGTTGATTATATCATATTCATCACCCGACAAAACATATTATCGAATTTTTTTTCTTCGTTCACAAATCCCTTAAATGTGTCAGCATTTTTTTACCATAGCAACCTGTTTTAATAGTTTCAGGCTTCTCTAAAAGTAAATGGTTTTCAGTCATCTTTCCCGTTTTGTTTCAATATCAGTGCGAGTTTGATTTCGTAGTTGAACTTCCCAACCTTAAGATCTCTTAGATATTGAGATCAGGATGATTTGGACTTACAAACAATGTTTGATCATGTAAATATGCCAGGTACAACAAGTATAATTATATGGGTTGACCAGGTCTCAATAGTCTCTAAGCTGACTTGTTGATGTAAAACTTTACGTGTGACATAATCAGCAATTGCATATTTTTCAACCATTTCAAATTTTTCAGGGAAGTCTAATGATACTTACGGAATTTCGAGAATCGTTCTAAAAAGCACGTAGGACAAACTCGCTAAACAGGCAGTTCCTTACCCGAAAATATTTCCCCCTCACGCCAAACTTTCTTTTTTCAGTTCCAGAGCCATGCGACATTTCTGCGGATTTGACTTTTATATTTGGATCAGGAGGCATTGGAGCGGGTAACTTCCTCAGACTAAAGACCGTTTTAAAAACAATCGCGACGAGCTTCGGCATTTCGTCAAAAAGGAGTCGTGCCTCCATCGTGACCTTTAGTGATTCGTCTGCTTCTGTGAGTGCATCGTTTGAATCTTTCACATCCACAAAGGAATTCCAGGACTCCCTATCCTCCTTAACATATAAAGATAAACGAGGTGATATCCGTCTGGCACTGAAACGTGCAGAGAAGAAGGTGTTTCCAAAGGCAAGAAAGGGGGTGGCAAAAATCGCAGTGGTCGTCATTGATGGGAGAGAGAATAATAATGGACAATGGCAGGATTCTGTGTTGTCGTTGAGGAAGGCAGGTATCCGCGTGTTACTTTTGGGGATTGGCACAGAAATAAAACGCGAATCCTTACGAAAACTTGTTGAAAAAGACGATGATCTCGTCATTAAGGATTCATTTATAACTCTGCTGAAGGATTCTGTTCAAGTGGCAAAGACCACGTGCTCTGCTGCTGGTAAGTACAGTTAATCTCTGTTAGTTGCATTTCACGTTTCCAAATAGTGCCAGGCAATATAACTCTACTAGGTAATTTAGTGTGAACAACTGAGTTGAAAACGTAAATTGGCCACCGTAAAGGGTAAAAAAGCTGACGTTTCGAGCGTTAGCCCTTCGTCAGAGCGATTGGAGGAATTGTGGGTTGTGTGTGGGTTTATATGCAGAAAGTGGAGCTACGCTATTGGTGGGAATATGTTGAATATTGGTGGGAATATGTTTATATGTGGGTTTATATGCAGAAAGTGGAGCTACGCTATTGGTGGGAATGTGTTGACGAGAAAACAGGAATAAATTAGTTGAATGAAAAGCGCTCGTTGATTCGGTGGGGATTGAGGGTGCCGATTTGGAAGATAAATTTTTGCACGTAAAGTGATCAGTGATCTTAATGGATCTATTGGGTCCCGATATTTTCTCTGCACATTGCCTCTGATTTTTCGGAAAAATCAGAGTCGTCACTACATATTCGACGAAGTCTGAGAAACTGTGAAAAAGGTATGGAGTTCTTGACGTGTGATGGATGTGAAGATGAATACAACAAGTAAATATGTGAATCTGTAGGTTTCTAGTAAACACTAGTGCATAAACCGTTGCCTTCAATTGAAATTTTGATGTCTAGAAAAGCCAAAGAAGTGTCGGAAATTTCCCAGGTATATTTAAGAGCCGGATGAAAGGAATTGACGCCGGTTATAAATTGAGTGAGCTCCTCTCTGGTAGAGGAGGTAGCGCCGATGCAATCGTCAATGTAACGGCTGTAGAGTTCAGGTTGTGGGGCGTGGTAGATACTTTCGATACACTGTTAAGGAACCTAGCTCTGAAACACGACTCCGTTTGGCCGAACTAGTACTCACACTCAATTGCTTTTCATTCGGTGGTAACTACTACAAACAAACTAATGGCGTGGCCATGGGTACTAAAATGGGACCCAGCTACGCCAATCTTTTCGTAGGTTTTATCGAACATCAATTTTTTAGTCAATACCACACCCCACAACCTGAACTCTACGGCCGTTACATTGACGAAACCTACAGATTCACTTAGTTACTTGTTGTATTCATCTTCACATCCATCACACGTCAAGAACTCCATACCTTTTTCACAGTTTCTCAGACTTCGTCGTTTATGTAGTGACGACTCTAATTTTTCCGAAAAATCAGAGGCAATGTGCAGAAAAAATATCGGGACCCAATAGATCCATTAAGATCACTGATCACTTTACGTGTACCTCCGCCAATGTTATTTACTGCATAACTTGCACTTATTGTAATAAGTTATACATTGGCGAAACAGGAAGACGACTAGGTGACCGATTCCGAGAACACCTTCGCGACGTGGAATGAAATGAGAAGGACGCATCCAAACCAGTCGCTAGACACTTTAATCTCCCTAATCATTCTAAACAGCATATGGCAGTTTGCGGCCTTTCCTTACATCTGGGCAGTTCGGAAAGCCGCAAAACACTAGAACAAAAATTTATCTTCCAAATCGGCACCCTCAATCCCCACCGAATCAACGAGCGCTTTTCATTCAACTAATTTATTCCTGTTTTCTCGTCAACACATTCCCACCAAAAGCGTAGCTCCACTTTCTGCATATAAACCCACACACAACCCACAATTCCTCCAATCGCTCTGACGAAGGGCTAACGCTCGAAACGTCAGCTTTTTTACCCTTTACGGTGGCCAATTTACGTTTTCAACTCAGTTGTTCACACTAAATTACCTGCTATACTCTCCCACCGACGCAGCACCACAGTTTCTTTAGAAACTTACCCCCAATATAACTCTACTGGCATTGTCCCCCACAATTTATTTTTTGCATGTTATGTGGCAATTCATAGTGGTGGATCTGGGGGAGGGGTTCGGAGGGTCCGGCCTCTAAGAATCGCAGAAGGAAGAACCGGCCTCTAAGAATCGCAGAAGGAAGAAAAGCCGGCAGGGCAAGCGACAAACCCCCCCCCCCCCTCCACCCTCCTTAGCTCAAGGTCTGGATCAGCCACTGATCCACGACACGTCACTCTTGGCGTATCACAAATTTTCTCAAATATGCAATATTTGGAGTTGTGATCCGTAAATTGAGGCGAATGAGTGCAAAATGAAAATCATCAGAACTTCCCTTCAACTTTGACTGAACATAGGTTTTGACCTCTTTCAAGAAACATATCTTCCAATTTGATTAAGAGTTCAAATGAAATTCTAAGACCTTAGCGTTTGAAGTGATAAGAGTTTCTGATCGGCTCTTGACAAAGAAAAAACACTAGTACTGTTTATTCGCTAGCCAACCCGGTCGCCTTATTTTTTATAAAAATTCAATTTCTTTTTTGTTAGTTCCTCCGCCGTGCCAGTATCCAGCGGACATCCTTTTTATGATAGATTCCTCTAAGACTTTTGACGAGAAGGAATTTTTACGGCATAAAGCCTTCGTAGAGGTCATGGCAAAAAGTTTCGGAAATAATACTCGTTCTGCAGTTGTAACCTACGGAGAAAAACCTTCTATAAAATCAAACTTCCATGACTCTTTGAACATAACTTACTTTCTGAGCGTTGTTCAAAGTATAGTGAAAGACGACGTAAACGATAATCGACTAGACACAGCTATCAATATGGCCACAACTGACCTATTTCCAAAAGCACGACCTAGTGCGGCGAAGTTGGCAGTGGTCGTTACTGATGGAAGTCAAACAAGTGGACCAAATGCCTTGGAACTCCAGCAAGCTTTCGATGCTTCCGCTAAGGCAGGTGTTCGCACGGTTGCTTTAGGGATTGGCAAGGCCTTGAACGTGGAAGAGTGGCGCAGTCTTGTTCCGCGAAAAGAAGACTTCCTTCAAATTGAGAATTCTCAAGATATGACTTTAAAGATACGTGACATAGCAAAGCAAGTTTGCGCAGCAGCAGGTAACAAAATGTGAATAATATATTATCTGCCTTTCCGGGACGTAAATTCTTCCCATCCAAAACAAAATGACGAGGGAGGACTAACCTCCTCTTCCCCTCCCCTCATAGCCATCATGGAGTGCACAAAGACCGCAAAGCACCACAGTTGCAATACTGAAATATGACGTAAGAGCTTAGAGTGTCCAAGATGACTATTTAACTTTCCTTAACTGATGGCATGTGATAGTGTCGTCTTATCGTCTGGATGGGTGTAGTCCCGAGAAGGACTGTTGTCGGTAGTAGTGACTGACGTTACAACAACCTTAATTTAGCAGCTGTAGTTTTGTCTTTTCAATCAAAATTTTCTTGTTTAACACGTAGAGCCGATCGAGGAACCAACCTGTGGCTACGCTATGGATATCATCTTTCTTGTGGATTCTTCAGACAGAATCGGTATCGAAAACTACGACAAACAAAAATCTCTTGTAATATCCATCGCAAGGAGTTTTGGGATCTCTCACAACACCAGTCGTGCGGCTGTAGTACGGTACAGTGACTCCGCATCTGCTTATTTCCAATTCGAAGATTCATCGAGTATCAATAAATTTGAAAGAGCTATTCATAGAATGTCTCTCCAAAAAGGTCCGCCAAGACTGGACAAAGCGTTTGATGTCGCCTTGGCAGACGTCCTTCCTCAAGCTAGAAGAGGAATACCTAAAATAGCATTTGTTGTGACGAACGGTAAGCAAAATTCTGGCGAGGATATGAAAGCTCTAGACGCAGCTTCTGAGCTGTTAAGGAGGGCAGGGGTCAAGGTGATCGCCCTGGGCGTTGGCACAGAAGTTCACCTTGAAGAGCTAAAGATCATTGTAGAAGATGAGGAAGAGCACATTGTGACAGCTGAATCTTATAGCGAATTGATTTTGAACAAGGAAAACATCAGTGAAAAGATATGCGAACAAGCAGGTTAGTGCAATTTCCCACGAGTCCTCAAAACATGTAGGCAATTTAACCTCCCAGAGAAAGCAGAAGTCAAACCAGCTCCTGAGAAGTTATTAAATTTAAACTTAACCCCACTATCTAAATAATAATAAAATATTTGTAGTTTGTTTACAAAAAGTCCTTTCAGAAAAGAAGTCTGAAAAAATTCAGATGCAAAAAAATTCTCCAAAAAAGCAAAAATATAAAGAAAAAAAGACCAGATAAAGGTGTTTATATTTGGAACATTACAGGTGATGAACTAAATCTCCTCATTCTCAAATAAGGAAAAAGCCTAAATCGGTTATTCCTGAAGGTAATGACAAAAGATGTTTATGTTTACAAGACATTTTTTTCAGACCTTCTGTTGTTCAATACTAGAATATCTGATTCCTCTTTGTTCTATGATTTATCGAGTGTTTCCATAGCACCCTGTCTACCATTGAGTGAGGCTCCTCTGTCTCTTTATTACCCCATGGTCATTTCAGGGGAACAAATGCTTATGCTCATTTTTGGAAAATCTTATGTCGGTTCTGCTTTTTGAAATTAGTTAAGCACCTTTAAACTCTTTTGCCTCATCTTTACTTCTTCCTGTGCCCCCAAATACTATTTAGGCTAGATTTCTTAAGAGCTATGTACCTATGATGACTTTAGCTGCAACTAACCTGAGAAAACCAATTCGTAAGTTGTTAAGCCATCTCCTGGTCATCTAAATTTATTTTATTTCCACTTTTTGTAAATAGACTGCTCTCCTCAGTAAAATCTCTCATGTTCACTTTCATTGCCCTAACTGTGTATCAGTTGCATAACATAACATAATTTGTTTCTGAGACAATCACTGGCAAAATGTTTATGTACCTAAATTTCTATCCGGGGTAATTACAATCAACAACACAACATTTTTGATCAAAAAAAATTCATTGATTCATTCACTGATTGATGGAAATCAAGAAAGCTAATGATGCTCGCAGGCAAGCTGCCCGTTAAAGCCTGAATTTTCTCCAGGCTTCCTTTCCACAATTCCTCAATTCCGCTTTACTATAGCGCCCTCAGTTTTATCACATTGTAATATTATCACCGACCCCGATTCCCTAAGGATCCACGTTGAGAGTAATTTCACATAAATAACCTGACCATAGTGGCCGAGTATGAAGTCCTCGTCTCACGGTCAACACTAGCTTTTGCATCTCATTAATGTTTACCGTTTCCCATCGTCGCTTTTTCTGATCATTTCAAACCAAATTCACGTACATTATCATTGCAACTGAATTAACACAACACAAATCGAGTAAAGCTCGCTTTAATACCTCACGTTGTGACGCAGCTGCCTTCACACTGTTTTCCTTGTTCGGCCAGTTAGCGCTCGCAGAAACTACATCATCCCTCTTCAATCAAAGTGAACATGTCAAAAAAAGACTCTGCATAACTGAGGCACCCTCAAAAGGCATACTAATCGATAAGCAAATGATAACCAAAACAGACAGAAATTGAATTTCAATGGCGTAAGACAATTACGTCACACGCCTGCGCAAGCGTAACACAAAAAACAAAACAACTTACTGAAGGCTCAAGTCTTCCACAAAAACTTAGTCGAAGCCGTTTCAATTTCTCCTGTTCGCGCCAAGAATTGAAAAAAATTACTTTTCTCAGGTTAGTATGGAGCCTTTACAAAGTGTCCTAGAGTATCATTAAGCTCGCTATTGGACTAAATTCATGAACAAGTTCAACGAAACGAATTTGTTCCCTTTCGGAGTTACCTTATTTGGCCAACTCCGGAGGAGAGCTTTGTAAAATGTCTCCAGTGTCTCCAGGGAAAAACAAAACCACAATCTGAACTCTTAAAAGTTTTTATTCAATCTTCAGCTAAAAATATCTAACGAACAGCTTTTGTCCTTATCAGCCGGGTGTTCTTTTTGTGTGTGCTTGTTGCCGTCTGGTCGTCGTCGTTGTTCTTGTTCTTGTTCTTGTTCTTGTTGTTGCTGTAGCTTTGGTCTTTGTATTGCTTATTTCTTCCCGTTTGCTTTGGCCTTTCTGTTTTTGCCTTGAATTATTTTATTTTATTTCATCTATTTATTTATTTTTTCCTGGACATTAATGTTCATAAAAACAAAAACAAAAACAGAAAAACCAACAAAAAAAAATACTTACTATCAAAACCTGTTAGAGGTCGAGCGCTCGATGGAAGTGGACATCCGGGACTTCTCGTAAGATAATGACCAAAATACGAAACGGAACGTACAAGTTTGTCACCTTATTTTCAGAGTTTCCTTTCGTTGCGTGCAAATCGCATCAATTCGAACTTTGCACAATACTAGTCGCTCTCTCCAAATGGGTCATTTACACCGATGCCCTCCTAGCCTCCCAATTTGACAGATTGTTTTCACCTGAAGCCTGAGCTCGACAAAGGCAATTCACAATTGAATGGGATTTTCTCCTAGCAAGCCGGGCGGCCGTTTCACATGTTTTTCAATGGCCACAACTAGTCTGACATGTTGCCTTTCTTTCTCCTTAGCACCACCGCCGTGTAGCACTCCCGTGGATCTGGCATTTATCATCGATTCTTCGGGCAGCATTGGCCGCACAAACTACAAGAAACAGAAGAACTTTGTCAAGGAAGTGGCGAAGACTTTTGGCCTATCTCCAAACGGCAGCCGAGCGGCCATGGTTCTGTACAGTAACTCGGCCTCAGTGAAAGCTCGATTTGGCCAGTATTCGGACCCGAAGGAGTTCGGTGGAGCTGTAGACAGTCTGCCTTACGAGAGAGGATTGACACGAATCGACAAAGCACTGGACCTAACAGCCAAGGATATCTTCGCTCAAAGTAGGTCGGGCGTGCCCAAGATTGCAATGCTGATAACAGACGGTACCCAAACCGCAGCAGCCGACGCCAAAGGCCTAAAAGAGGCTTCCGAACCATTGAGACAGGCAGGTGTTCGTGTTCTAGCCGTAGGTGTCGGCAAGGGTGTGGACAGAGAAGAACTTCGACTGGTCACGGAGAGTGACGAGGATGTTGTGGTGGCGGCTGACTTCGAAGACCTGCTGTTGAAACTCAGCAACCTGACCAGCCAGGCTTGCCGACTTGCAGGTAAGCATCATCAGAAATCTGTTCGTAGCACTTGTGGCCTCAGGGCTGCTGGGGCTTGATAAGCAGGGCAAATGAATATCAATTGAAGGATCGAAAGCAGCTTTTGTCCTTATCAGCCGGGTGTTCTTTTTGTGTGTGCTTGTTGCCGTCTGGTCGTCGTCGTTGTTCTTGTTCTTGTTCTTGTTGTTGCTGTAGCTTTGGTCTTTGTATTGCTTATTTCTTCCCGTTTGCTTAAAAAAATACTTGCTATCAAAACCTGTTAGAGGTCGAGCGCTCGATGGAAGTGAACATCCGGGACTTCTCGTAAGATAACGACCAAAATACGAAACGGAACGTACAAGTTTGTCACCTTATTTTCAGAGTTTCCTTTCGTTGCGTGCAAATCGCATCCATTTGAACTTTGCACAATACTAGTCGCTCTCTCCAAATGGGTCATTTACATCGATACACCCTCCTAGCCTCCCAATTTGACAGATTGTTTTCACCTGAAGCCTGAGCTCGACAAAGGCAATTCACAATTGAATGGGACTTTCTCCTAGCAAGCCGGGCGGCCGTTTCACATGTTTTTCAATGGCCATGTTGCCTTTCTTTCTCCTCAGCACCACCGCCGTGTAGCACTCCCGTGGATCTGGCATTTATCATCGATTCTTCGGGCAGCATTGGCCGCACAAACTACAAGAAACAGAAGAACTTTGTCAAGGAAGTGGCGAAGACTTTTGGCCTATCTCCAAACGGCAGCCGAGCGGCCATGGTTCTGTACAGTAACTCGGCCTCAGTGAAAGCTCGATTTGGCCAGTATTCGGACCCGAAGGAGTTCGGTGGAGCTGTAGACAGTCTGCCTTACGAGAGAGGATTGACACGAATCGACAAAGCACTGGACCTAACAGCCAAGGATATCTTCGCTCAAAGTAGGTCGGGCGTGCCCAAGATTGCAATGCTGATAACAGACGGTACCCAAACCGCAGCAGCCGACGCCAAAGGCCTAAAAGAGGCTTCCGAACCATTGAGACAGGCAGGTGTTCGTGTTCTAGCCGTAGGTGTCGGCAAGGGTGTGGACAGAGAAGAACTTCGACTGGTCACGGAGAGTGACGAGGATGTTGTGGTGGCGGCTGACTTCGAAGACCTGCTGTTGAAACTCAGCAACCTGACCAGCCAGGCTTGCCGACTTGCAGGTAAGCATCATCAGAAATCTGTTCGTAGCACTTGTGGCCTCAGGGCTGCTGGGGCTTGATAAGCAGGGCAAATGAATATCAATTGAAGGATCGAAAGCAGCTTTTGTCCTTATCAGCCGGGTGTTCTTTTTGTGTGTGCTTGTTGCCGTCTGGTCGTCGTCGTTGTTCTTGTTCTTGTTCTTGTTGTTGCTGTAGCTTTGGTCTTTGTATTGCTTATTTCTTCCCGTTTGCTTTGGCCTTTCTGTTTTTGCCTTGAATTATTTTATTTTATTTCATCTATTTATTTATTTTTTCATTGTTTTTTTTTTTCCCCCCCCCCCTTTTTGCTTTTGTTTCCTTTTAGTTGGTCTTTCCATTAATGTTCAAAAAAACGAAAACAAAAACAGAAAAACCAACAAAAAAAAATACTTGCTATCAAAACCTGTTAGAGGTCGAGCGCTCGATGGAAGTGAACATCCGGGACTTCTCGTAAGATAACGACCAAAATACGAAACGGAACGTACAAGTTTGTCACCTTATTTTCAGAGTTTCCTTTCGTTGCGTGCAAATCGCATCCATTTGAACTTTGCACAATACTAGTCGCTCTCTCCAAATGGGTCATTTACATCGATACACCCTCCTAGCCTCCCAATTTGACAGATTGTTTTCACCTGAAGCCTGAGCTCGACAAAGGCAATTCACAATTGAATGGGACTTTCTCCTAGCAAGCCGGGCGGCCGTTTCACATGTTTTTCAATGGCCACAACTAGTCTGACATGTTGCCTTTCTTTCTCCTCAGCACCACCGCCGTGTAGCACTCCCGTGGATCTGGCATTTATCATCGATTCTTCGGGCAGCATTGGCCGCACAAACTACAAGAAACAGAAGAACTTTGTCAAGGAAGTGGCGAAGACTTTTGGCCTATCTCCAAACGGCAGCCGAGCGGCCATGGTTCTGTACAGTAACTCGGCCTCAGTGAAAGCTCGATTTGGCCAGTATTCGGACCCGAAGGAGTTCGGTGGAGCTGTAGACAGTCTGCCTTACGAGAGAGGATTGACACGAATCGACAAAGCACTGGACCTAACAGCCAAGGATATCTTCGCTCAAAGTAGGTCGGGCGTGCCCAAGATTGCAATGCTGATAACAGACGGTACCCAAACCGCAGCAGCCGACGCCAAAGGCCTAAAAGAGGCTTCCGAACCATTGAGACAGGCAGGTGTTCGTGTTCTAGCCGTAGGTGTCGGCAAGGGTGTGGACAGAGAAGAACTTCGACTGGTCACGGAGAGTGACGAGGATGTTGTGGTGGCGGCTGACTTCGAAGACCTGCTGTTGAAACTCAGCAACCTGACCAGCCAGGCTTGCCGACTTGCAGGTAAGCATCATCAGAAATCTGTTCGTAGCACTTGTGGCCTCAGGGCTGCTGGGGCTTGATAAGCAGGGCAAATGAATATCAATTGAAGGATCGAAAGCAGCTTTTGTCCTTATCAGCCGGGTGTTCTTTTTGTGTGTGCTTGTTGCCGTCTGGTCGTCGTCGTTGTTCTTGTTCTTGTTCTTGTTGTTGCTGTAGCTTTGGTCTTTGTATTGCTTATTTCTTCCCGTTTGCTTTGGCCTTTCTGTTTTTGCCTTGAATTATTTTATTTTATTTCATCTATTTATTTATTTTTTCATTGTTTTTTTTTTCCCCCCCCCCCCTTTTTGCTTTTGTTTCCTTTTAGTTGGTCTTTCCATTAATGTTCAAAAAAACGAAAACAAAAACAGAAAAACCAACAAAAAAAAATACTTGCTATCAAAACCTGTTAGAGGTCGAGCGCTCGATGGAAGTGAACATCCGGGACTTCTCGTAAGATAACGACCAAAATACGAAACGGAACGTACAAGTTTGTCACCTTATTTTCAGAGTTTCCTTTCGTTGCGTGCAAATCGCATCCATTTGAACTTTGCACAATACTAGTCGCTCTCTCCAAATGGGTCATTTACATCGATACACCCTCCTAGCCTCCCAATTTGACAGATTGTTTTCACCTGAAGCCTGAGCTCGACAAAGGCAATTCACAATTGAATGGGACTTTCTCCTAGCAAGCCGGGCGGCCGTTTCACATGTTTTTCAATGGCCACAACTAGTCTGACATGTTGCCTTTCTTTCTCCTCAGCACCACCGCCGTGTAGCACTCCCGTGGATCTGGCATTTATCATCGATTCTTCGGGCAGCATTGGCCGCACAAACTACAAGAAACAGAAGAACTTTGTCAAGGAAGTGGCGAAGACTTTTGGCCTATCTCCAAACGGCAGCCGAGCGGCCATGGTTCTGTACAGTAACTCGGCCTCAGTGAAAGCTCGATTTGGCCAGTATTCGGACCCGAAGGAGTTCGGTGGAGCTGTAGACAGTCTGCCTTACGAGAGAGGATTGACACGAATCGACAAAGCACTGGACCTAACAGCCAAGGATATCTTCGCTCAAAGTAGGTCGGGCGTGCCCAAGATTGCAATGCTGATAACAGACGGTACCCAAACCGCAGCAGCCGACGCCAAAGGCCTAAAAGAGGCTTCCGAACCATTGAGACAGGCAGGTGTTCGTGTTCTAGCCGTAGGTGTCGGCAAGGGTGTGGACAGAGAAGAACTTCGACTGGTCACGGAGAGTGACGAGGATGTTGTGGTGGCGGCTGACTTCGAAGACCTGCTGTTGAAACTCAGCAACCTGACCAGCCAGGCTTGCCGACTTGCAGGTAAGCATCATCAGAAATCTGTTCGTAGCACTTGTGGCCTCAGGGCTGCTGGGGCTTGATAAGCAGGGCAAATGAATATCAATTGAAGGATCGAAAGCAGCTTTTGTCCTTATCAGCCGGGTGTTCTTTTTGTGTGTGCTTGTTGCCGTCTGGTCGTCGTCGTTGTTCTTGTTCTTGTTCTTGTTGTTGCTGTAGCTTTGGTCTTTGTATTGCTTATTTCTTCCCGTTTGCTTTGGCCTTTCTGTTTTTGCCTTGAATTATTTTATTTTATTTCATCTATTTATTTATTTTTTCATTGTTTTTTTTTTCCCCCCCCCCCCCTTTTTGCTTTTGTTTCCTTTTAGTTGGTCTTTCCATTAATGTTCAAAAAAACGAAAACAAAAACAGAAAAACCAACAAAAAAAAATACTTGCTATCAAAACCTGTTAGAGGTCGAGCGCTCGATGGAAGTGAACATCCGGGACTTCTCGTAAGATAACGACCAAAATACGAAACGGAACGTACAAGTTTGTCACCTTATTTTCAGAGTTTCCTTTCGTTGCGTGCAAATCGCATCCATTTGAACTTTGCACAATACTAGTCGCTCTCTCCAAATGGGTCATTTACATCGATACACCCTCCTAGCCTCCCAATTTGACAGATTGTTTTCACCTGAAGCCTGAGCTCGACAAAGGCAATTCACAATTGAATGGGACTTTCTCCTAGCAAGCCGGGCGGCCGTTTCACATGTTTTTCAATGGCCACAACTAGTCTGACATGTTGCCTTTCTTTCTCCTCAGCACCACCGCCGTGTAGCACTCCCGTGGATCTGGCATTTATCATCGATTCTTCGGGCAGCATTGGCCGCACAAACTACAAGAAACAGAAGAACTTTGTCAAGGAAGTGGCGAAGACTTTTGGCCTATCTCCAAACGGCAGCCGAGCGGCCATGGTTCTGTACAGTAACTCGGCCTCAGTGAAAGCTCGATTTGGCCAGTATTCGGACCCGAAGGAGTTCGGTGGAGCTGTAGACAGTCTGCCTTACGAGAGAGGATTGACACGAATCGACAAAGCACTGGACCTAACAGCCAAGGATATCTTCGCTCAAAGTAGGTCGGGCGTGCCCAAGATTGCAATGCTGATAACAGACGGTACCCAAACCGCAGCAGCCGACGCCAAAGGCCTAAAAGAGGCTTCCGAACCATTGAGACAGGCAGGTGTTCGTGTTCTAGCCGTAGGTGTCGGCAAGGGTGTGGACAGAGAAGAACTTCGACTGGTCACGGAGAGTGACGAGGATGTTGTGGTGGCGGCTGACTTCGAAGACCTGCTGTTGAAACTCAGCAACCTGACCAGCCAGGCTTGCCGACTTGCAGGTAAGCATCATCAGAAATCTGTTCGTAGCACTTGTGGCCTCAGGGCTGCTGGGGCTTGATAAGCAGGGCAAATGAATATCAATTGAAGGATCGAAAGCAGCTTTTGTCCTTATCAGCCGGGTGTTCTTTTTGTGTGTGCTTGTTGCCGTCTGGTCGTCGTCGTTGTTCTTGTTCTTGTTCTTGTTGTTGCTGTAGCTTTGGTCTTTGTATTGCTTATTTCTTCCCGTTTGCTTTGGCCTTTCTGTTTTTGCCTTGAATTATTTTATTTTATTTCATCTATTTATTTATTTTTTTATTTTTTTTTTTTCCCCCCCCCCCCCCCCCTTTTTGCTTTTGTTTCCTTTTAGTTGGTCTTTCCATTAATGTTCAAAAAAACGAAAACAAAAACAGAAAAACCAACAAAAAAAAATACTTGCTATCAAAACCTGTTAGAGGTCGAGCGCTCGATGGAAGTGAACATCCGGGACTTCTCGTAAGATAACGACCAAAATACGAAACGGAACGTACAAGTTTGTCACCTTATTTTCAGAGTTTCCTTTCGTTGCGTGCAAATCGCATCCATTTGAACTTTGCACAATACTAGTCGCTCTCTCCAAATGGGTCATTTACATCGATACACCCTCCTAGCCTCCCAATTTGACAGATTGTTTTCACCTGAAGCCTGAGCTCGACAAAGGCAATTCACAATTGAATGGGACTTTCTCCTAGCAAGCCGGGCGGCCGTTTCACATGTTTTTCAATGGCCACAACTAGTCTGACATGTTGCCTTTCTTTCTCCTCAGCACCACCGCCGTGTAGCACTCCCGTGGATCTGGCATTTATCATCGATTCTTCGGGCAGCATTGGCCGCACAAACTACAAGAAACAGAAGAACTTTGTCAAGGAAGTGGCGAAGACTTTTGGCCTATCTCCAAACGGCAGCCGAGCGGCCATGGTTCTGTACAGTAACTCGGCCTCAGTGAAAGCTCGATTTGGCCAGTATTCGGACCCGAAGGAGTTCGGTGGAGCTGTAGACAGTCTGCCTTACGAGAGAGGATTGACACGAATCGACAAAGCACTGGACCTAACAGCCAAGGATATCTTCGCTCAAAGTAGGTCGGGCGTGCCCAAGATTGCAATGCTGATAACAGACGGTACCCAAACCGCAGCAGCCGACGCCAAAGGCCTAAAAGAGGCTTCCGAACCATTGAGACAGGCAGGTGTTCGTGTTCTAGCCGTAGGTGTCGGCAAGGGTGTGGACAGAGAAGAACTTCGACTGGTCACGGAGAGTGACGAGGATGTTGTGGTGGCGGCTGACTTCGAAGACCTGCTGTTGAAACTCAGCAACCTGACCAGCCAGGCTTGCCGACTTGCAGGTAAGCATCATCAGAAATCTGTTCGTAGCACTTGTGGCCTCAGGGCTGCTGGGGCTTGATAAGCAGGGCAAATGAATATCAATTGAAGGATCGAAAGCAGCTTTTGTCCTTATCAGCCGGGTGTTCTTTTTGTGTGTGCTTGTTGCCGTCTGGTCGTCGTCGTTGTTCTTGTTCTTGTTCTTGTTGTTGCTGTAGCTTTGGTCTTTGTATTGCTTATTTCTTCCCGTTTGCTTTGGCCTTTCTGTTTTTGCCTTGAATTATTTTATTTTATTTCATCTATTTATTTATTTTTTCATTGTTTTTTTTTTTCCCCCCCCCCTTTTTGCTTTTGTTTCCTTTTAGTTGGTCTTTCCATTAATGTTCAAAAAAACGAAAACAAAAACAGAAAAACCAACAAAAAAAAATACTTGCTATCAAAACCTGTTAGAGGTCGAGCGCTCGATGGAAGTGAACATCCGGGACTTCTCGTAAGATAACGACCAAAATACGAAACGGAACGTACAAGTTTGTCACCTTATTTTCAGAGTTTCCTTTCGTTGCGTGCAAATCGCATCCATTTGAACTTTGCACAATACTAGTCGCTCTCTCCAAATGGGTCATTTACATCGATACACCCTCCTAGCCTCCCAATTTGACAGATTGTTTTCACCTGAAGCCTGAGCTCGACAAAGGCAATTCACAATTGAATGGGACTTTCTCCTAGCAAGCCGGGCGGCCGTTTCACATGTTTTTCAATGGCCACAACTAGTCTGACATGTTGCCTTTCTTTCTCCTCAGCACCACCGCCGTGTAGCACTCCCGTGGATCTGGCATTTATCATCGATTCTTCGGGCAGCATTGGCCGCACAAACTACAAGAAACAGAAGAACTTTGTCAAGGAAGTGGCGAAGACTTTTGGCCTATCTCCAAACGGCAGCCGAGCGGCCATGGTTCTGTACAGTAACTCGGCCTCAGTGAAAGCTCGATTTGGCCAGTATTCGGACCCGAAGGAGTTCGGTGGAGCTGTAGACAGTCTGCCTTACGAGAGAGGATTGACACGAATCGACAAAGCACTGGACCTAACAGCCAAGGATATCTTCGCTCAAAGTAGGTCGGGCGTGCCCAAGATTGCAATGCTGATAACAGACGGTACCCAAACCGCAGCAGCCGACGCCAAAGGCCTAAAAGAGGCTTCCGAACCATTGAGACAGGCAGGTGTTCGTGTTCTAGCCGTAGGTGTCGGCAAGGGTGTGGACAGAGAAGAACTTCGACTGGTCACGGAGAGTGACGAGGATGTTGTGGTGGCGGCTGACTTCGAAGACCTGCTGTTGAAACTCAGCAACCTGACCAGCCAGGCTTGCCGACTTGCAGGTAAGCATCATCAGAAATCTGTTCGTAGCACTTGTGGCCTCAGGGCTGCTGGGGCTTGATAAGCAGGGCAAATGAATATCAATTGAAGGATCGAAAGCAGCTTTTGTCCTTATCAGCCGGGTGTTCTTTTTGTGTGTGCTTGTTGCCGTCTGGTCGTCGTCGTTGTTCTTGTTCTTGTTCTTGTTGTTGCTGTAGCTTTGGTCTTTGTATTGCTTATTTCTTCCCGTTTGCTTTGGCCTTTCTGTTTTTGCCTTGAATTATTTTATTTTATTTCATCTATTTATTTATTTTTTTATTTTTTTTTTTCCCCCCCCTTTTTGCTTTTGTTTCCTTTTAGTTGGTCTTTCCATTAATGTTCAAAAAAACGAAAACAAAAACAGAAAAACCAACAAAAAAAAATACTTGCTATCAAAACCTGTTAGAGGTCGAGCGCTCGATGGAAGTGAACATCCGGGACTTCTCGTAAGATAACGACCAAAATACGAAACGGAACGTACAAGTTTGTCACCTTATTTTCAGAGTTTCCTTTCGTTGCGTGCAAATCGCATCCATTTGAACTTTGCACAATACTAGTCGCTCTCTCCAAATGGGTCATTTACATCGATACACCCTCCTAGCCTCCCAATTTGACAGATTGTTTTCACCTGAAGCCTGAGCTCGACAAAGGCAATTCACAATTGAATGGGACTTTCTCCTAGCAAGCCGGGCGGCCGTTTCACATGTTTTTCAATGGCCACAACTAGTCTGACATGTTGCCTTTCTTTCTCCTCAGCACCACCGCCGTGTAGCACTCCCGTGGATCTGGCATTTATCATCGATTCTTCGGGCAGCATTGGCCGCACAAACTACAAGAAACAGAAGAACTTTGTCAAGGAAGTGGCGAAGACTTTTGGCCTATCTCCAAACGGCAGCCGAGCGGCCATGGTTCTGTACAGTAACTCGGCCTCAGTGAAAGCTCGATTTGGCCAGTATTCGGACCCGAAGGAGTTCGGTGGAGCTGTAGACAGTCTGCCTTACGAGAGAGGATTGACACGAATCGACAAAGCACTGGACCTAACAGCCAAGGATATCTTCGCTCAAAGTAGGTCGGGCGTGCCCAAGATTGCAATGCTGATAACAGACGGTACCCAAACCGCAGCAGCCGACGCCAAAGGCCTAAAAGAGGCTTCCGAACCATTGAGACAGGCAGGTGTTCGTGTTCTAGCCGTAGGTGTCGGCAAGGGTGTGGACAGAGAAGAACTTCGACTGGTCACGGAGAGTGACGAGGATGTTGTGGTGGCGGCTGACTTCGAAGACCTGCTGTTGAAACTCAGCAACCTGACCAGCCAGGCTTGCCGACTTGCAGGTAAGCATCATCAGAAATCTGTTCGTAGCACTTGTGGCCTCAGGGCTGCTGGGGCTTGATAAGCAGGGCAAATGAATATCAATTGAAGGATCGAAAGCAGCTTTTGTCCTTATCAGCCGGGTGTTCTTTTTGTGTGTGCTTGTTGCCGTCTGGTCGTCGTCGTTGTTCTTGTTCTTGTTCTTGTTGTTGCTGTAGCTTTGGTCTTTGTATTGCTTATTTCTTCCCGTTTGCTTTGGCCTTTCTGTTTTTGCCTTGAATTATTTTATTTTATTTCATCTATTTATTTATTTTTTTATTTTTTTTTTTCCCCCCCCCCTTTTTGCTTTTGTTTCCTTTTAGTTGGTCTTTCCATTAATGTTCAAAAAAACGAAAACAAAAACAGAAAAACCAACAAAAAAAAATACTTGCTATCAAAACCTGTTAGAGGTCGAGCGCTCGATGGAAGTGAACATCCGGGACTTCTCGTAAGATAACGACCAAAATACGAAACGGAACGTACAAGTTTGTCACCTTATTTTCAGAGTTTCCTTTCGTTGCGTGCAAATCGCATCCATTTGAACTTTGCACAATACTAGTCGCTCTCTCCAAATGGGTCATTTACATCGATACACCCTCCTAGCCTCCCAATTTGACAGATTGTTTTCACCTGAAGCCTGAGCTCGACAAAGGCAATTCACAATTGAATGGGACTTTCTCCTAGCAAGCCGGGCGGCCGTTTCACATGTTTTTCAATGGCCACAACTAGTCTGACATGTTGCCTTTCTTTCTCCTCAGCACCACCGCCGTGTAGCACTCCCGTGGATCTGGCATTTATCATCGATTCTTCGGGCAGCATTGGCCGCACAAACTACAAGAAACAGAAGAACTTTGTCAAGGAAGTGGCGAAGACTTTTGGCCTATCTCCAAACGGCAGCCGAGCGGCCATGGTTCTGTACAGTAACTCGGCCTCAGTGAAAGCTCGATTTGGCCAGTATTCGGACCCGAAGGAGTTCGGTGGAGCTGTAGACAGTCTGCCTTACGAGAGAGGATTGACACGAATCGACAAAGCACTGGACCTAACAGCCAAGGATATCTTCGCTCAAAGTAGGTCGGGCGTGCCCAAGATTGCAATGCTGATAACAGACGGTACCCAAACCGCAGCAGCCGACGCCAAAGGCCTAAAAGAGGCTTCCGAACCATTGAGACAGGCAGGTGTTCGTGTTCTAGCCGTAGGTGTCGGCAAGGGTGTGGACAGAGAAGAACTTCGACTGGTCACGGAGAGTGACGAGGATGTTGTGGTGGCGGCTGACTTCGAAGACCTGCTGTTGAAACTCAGCAACCTGACCAGCCAGGCTTGCCGACTTGCAGGTAAGCATCATCAGAAATCTGTTCGTAGCACTTGTGGCCTCAGGGCTGCTGGGGCTTGATAAGCAGGGCAAATGAATATCAATTGAAGGATCGAAAGCAGCTTTTGTCCTTATCAGCCGGGTGTTCTTTTTGTGTGTGCTTGTTGCCGTCTGGTCGTCGTCGTTGTTCTTGTTCTTGTTCTTGTTGTTGCTGTAGCTTTGGTCTTTGTATTGCTTATTTCTTCCCGTTTGCTTTGGCCTTTCTGTTTTTGCCTTGAATTATTTTATTTTATTTCATCTATTTATTTATTTTTTTATTTTTTTTTTTCCCCCCCCCCTTTTTGCTTTTGTTTCCTTTTAGTTGGTCTTTCCATTAATGTTCAAAAAAACGAAAACAAAAACAGAAAAACCAACAAAAAAAAATACTTGCTATCAAAACCTGTTAGAGGTCGAGCGCTCGATGGAAGTGAACATCCGGGACTTCTCGTAAGATAACGACCAAAATACGAAACGGAACGTACAAGTTTGTCACCTTATTTTCAGAGTTTCCTTTCGTTGCGTGCAAATCGCATCCATTTGAACTTTGCACAATACTAGTCGCTCTCTCCAAATGGGTCATTTACATCGATACACCCTCCTAGCCTCCCAATTTGACAGATTGTTTTCACCTGAAGCCTGAGCTCGACAAAGGCAATTCACAATTGAATGGGACTTTCTCCTAGCAAGCCGGGCGGCCGTTTCACATGTTTTTCAATGGCCACAACTAGTCTGACATGTTGCCTTTCTTTCTCCTCAGCACCACCGCCGTGTAGCACTCCCGTGGATCTGGCATTTATCATCGATTCTTCGGGCAGCATTGGCCGCACAAACTACAAGAAACAGAAGAACTTTGTCAAGGAAGTGGCGAAGACTTTTGGCCTATCTCCAAACGGCAGCCGAGCGGCCATGGTTCTGTACAGTAACTCGGCCTCAGTGAAAGCTCGATTTGGCCAGTATTCGGACCCGAAGGAGTTCGGTGGAGCTGTAGACAGTCTGCCTTACGAGAGAGGATTGACACGAATCGACAAAGCACTGGACCTAACAGCCAAGGATATCTTCGCTCAAAGTAGGTCGGGCGTGCCCAAGATTGCAATGCTGATAACAGACGGTACCCAAACCGCAGCAGCCGACGCCAAAGGCCTAAAAGAGGCTTCCGAACCATTGAGACAGGCAGGTGTTCGTGTTCTAGCCGTAGGTGTCGGCAAGGGTGTGGACAGAGAAGAACTTCGACTGGTCACGGAGAGTGACGAGGATGTTGTGGTGGCGGCTGACTTCGAAGACCTGCTGTTGAAACTCAGCAACCTGACCAGCCAGGCTTGCCGACTTGCAGGTAAGCATCATCAGAAATCTGTTCGTAGCACTTGTGGCCTCAGGGCTGCTGGGGCTTGATAAGCAGGGCAAATGAATATCAATTGAAGGATCGAAAGCAGCTTTTGTCCTTATCAGCCGGGTGTTCTTTTTGTGTGTGCTTGTTGCCGTCTGGTCGTCGTCGTTGTTCTTGTTCTTGTTCTTGTTGTTGCTGTAGCTTTGGTCTTTGTATTGCTTATTTCTTCCCGTTTGCTTTGGCCTTTCTGTTTTTGCCTTGAATTATTTTATTTTATTTCATCTATTTATTTATTTTTTTATTTTTTTTTTTCCCCCCCCCCTTTTTGCTTTTGTTTCCTTTTAGTTGGTCTTTCCATTAATGTTCAAAAAAACGAAAACAAAAACAGAAAAACCAACAAAAAAAAATACTTGCTATCAAAACCTGTTAGAGGTCGAGCGCTCGATGGAAGTGAACATCCGGGACTTCTCGTAAGATAACGACCAAAATACGAAACGGAACGTACAAGTTTGTCACCTTATTTTCAGAGTTTCCTTTCGTTGCGTGCAAATCGCATCCATTTGAACTTTGCACAATACTAGTCGCTCTCTCCAAATGGGTCATTTACATCGATACACCCTCCTAGCCTCCCAATTTGACAGATTGTTTTCACCTGAAGCCTGAGCTCGACAAAGGCAATTCACAATTGAATGGGACTTTCTCCTAGCAAGCCGGGCGGCCGTTTCACATGTTTTTCAATGGCCACAACTAGTCTGACATGTTGCCTTTCTTTCTCCTCAGCACCACCGCCGTGTAGCACTCCCGTGGATCTGGCATTTATCATCGATTCTTCGGGCAGCATTGGCCGCACAAACTACAAGAAACAGAAGAACTTTGTCAAGGAAGTGGCGAAGACTTTTGGCCTATCTCCAAACGGCAGCCGAGCGGCCATGGTTCTGTACAGTAACTCGGCCTCAGTGAAAGCTCGATTTGGCCAGTATTCGGACCCGAAGGAGTTCGGTGGAGCTGTAGACAGTCTGCCTTACGAGAGAGGATTGACACGAATCGACAAAGCACTGGACCTAACAGCCAAGGATATCTTCGCTCAAAGTAGGTCGGGCGTGCCCAAGATTGCAATGCTGATAACAGACGGTACCCAAACCGCAGCAGCCGACGCCAAAGGCCTAAAAGAGGCTTCCGAACCATTGAGACAGGCAGGTGTTCGTGTTCTAGCCGTAGGTGTCGGCAAGGGTGTGGACAGAGAAGAACTTCGACTGGTCACGGAGAGTGACGAGGATGTTGTGGTGGCGGCTGACTTCGAAGACCTGCTGTTGAAACTCAGCAACCTGACCAGCCAGGCTTGCCGACTTGCAGGTAAGCATCATCAGAAATCTGTTCGTAGCACTTGTGGCCTCAGGGCTGCTGGGGCTTGATAAGCAGGGCAAATGAATATCAATTGAAGGATCGTAAGCAGCTTTTGTCCTTATCAGCCGGGTGTTCTTTTTGTGTGTGCTTGTTGCTGTCTCGTCGTCGTCGTTGTTCTTGTTCTTGTTGTTGCTGTAGCTTTGGTCTTTGTATTGCTTATTTCTTCCCGTTTGCTTTGGCCTTTTTGTTTTTGCCTTTAATTATTTTATTTTATTTTATTTTTTCCCCCTTTTTGCTTTTGTTTCCTTTTAGTTGGTCTTTCCATTAATGTTCAAAAAAACGAAAACAAAAACAGAAAAACCAACAAAAAAAAATACTTGCTATCAAAACCTGTTAGAGGTCGAGCGCTCGATGGAAGTGAACATCCGGGACTTCTCGTAAGATAACGACCAAAATACGAAACGGAACGTACAAGTTTGTCACCTTATTTTCAGAGTTTCCTTTCGTTGCGTGCAAATCGCATCCATTTGAACTTTGCACAATACTAGTCGCTCTCTCCAAATGGGTCATTTACATCGATACACCCTCCTAGCCTCCCAATTTGACAGATTGTTTTCACCTGAAGCCTGAGCTCGACAAAGGCAATTCACAATTGAATGGGACTTTCTCCTAGCAAGCCGGGCGGCCGTTTCACATGTTTTTCAATGGCCACAACTAGTCTGACATGTTGCCTTTCTTTCTCCTCAGCACCACCGCCGTGTAGCACTCCCGTGGATCTGGCATTTATCATCGATTCTTCGGGCAGCATTGGCCGCACAAACTACAAGAAACAGAAGAACTTTGTCAAGGAAGTGGCGAAGACTTTTGGCCTATCTCCAAACGGCAGCCGAGCGGCCATGGTTCTGTACAGTAACTCGGCCTCAGTGAAAGCTCGATTTGGCCAGTATTCGGACCCGAAGGAGTTCGGTGGAGCTGTAGACAGTCTGCCTTACGAGAGAGGATTGACACGAATCGACAAAGCACTGGACCTAACAGCCAAGGATATCTTCGCTCAAAGTAGGTCGGGCGTGCCCAAGATTGCAATGCTGATAACAGACGGTACCCAAACCGCAGCAGCCGACGCCAAAGGCCTAAAAGAGGCTTCCGAACCATTGAGACAGGCAGGTGTTCGTGTTCTAGCCGTAGGTGTCGGCAAGGGTGTGGACAGAGAAGAACTTCGACTGGTCACGGAGAGTGACGAGGATGTTGTGGTGGCGGCTGACTTCGAAGACCTGCTGTTGAAACTCAGCAACCTGACCAGCCAGGCTTGCCGACTTGCAGGTAAGCATCATCAGAAATCTGTTCGTAGCACTTGTGGCCTCAGGGCTGCTGGGGCTTGATAAGCAGGGCAAATGAATATCAATTGAAGGATCGAAAGCAGCTTTTGTCCTTATCAGCCGGGTGTTCTTTTTGTGTGTGCTTGTTGCCGTCTGGTCGTCGTCGTTGTTCTTGTTCTTGTTCTTGTTGTTGCTGTAGCTTTGGTCTTTGTATTGCTTATTTCTTCCCGTTTGCTTTGGCCTTTCTGTTTTTGCCTTGAATTATTTTATTTTATTTCATCTATTTTTTTATTTTTTTATTTTTTTTTTTTCCCCCCCCTTTTTGCTTTTGTTTCCTTTTAGTTGGTCTTTCCATTAATGTTCAAAAAAACGAAAACAAAAACAGAAAAACCAACAAAAAAAAATACTTGCTATCAAAACCTGTTAGAGGTCGAGCGCTCGATGGAAGTGAACATCCGGGACTTCTCGTAAGATAACGACCAAAATACGAAACGGAACGTACAAGTTTGTCACCTTATTTTCAGAGTTTCCTTTCGTTGCGTGCAAATCGCATCCATTTGAACTTTGCACAATACTAGTCGCTCTCTCCAAATGGGTCATTTACATCGATACACCCTCCTAGCCTCCCAATTTGACAGATTGTTTTCACCTGAAGCCTGAGCTCGACAAAGGCAATTCACAATTGAATGGGACTTTCTCCTAGCAAGCCGGGCGGCCGTTTCACATGTTTTTCAATGGCCACAACTAGTCTGACATGTTGCCTTTCTTTCTCCTCAGCACCACCGCCGTGTAGCACTCCCGTGGATCTGGCATTTATCATCGATTCTTCGGGCAGCATTGGCCGCACAAACTACAAGAAACAGAAGAACTTTGTCAAGGAAGTGGCGAAGACTTTTGGCCTATCTCCAAACGGCAGCCGAGCGGCCATGGTTCTGTACAGTAACTCGGCCTCAGTGAAAGCTCGATTTGGCCAGTATTCGGACCCGAAGGAGTTCGGTGGAGCTGTAGACAGTCTGCCTTACGAGAGAGGATTGACACGAATCGACAAAGCACTGGACCTAACAGCCAAGGATATCTTCGCTCAAAGTAGGTCGGGCGTGCCCAAGATTGCAATGCTGATAACAGACGGTACCCAAACCGCAGCAGCCGACGCCAAAGGCCTAAAAGAGGCTTCCGAACCATTGAGACAGGCAGGTGTTCGTGTTCTAGCCGTAGGTGTCGGCAAGGGTGTGGACAGAGAAGAACTTCGACTGGTCACGGAGAGTGACGAGGATGTTGTGGTGGCGGCTGACTTCGAAGACCTGCTGTTGAAACTCAGCAACCTGACCAGCCAGGCTTGCCGACTTGCAGGTAAGCATCATCAGAAATCTGTTCGTAGCACTTGTGGCCTCAGGGCTGCTGGGGCTTGATAAGCAGGGCAAATGAATATCAATTGAAGGATCGAAAGCAGCTTTTGTCCTTATCAGCCGGGTGTTCTTTTTGTGTGTGCTTGTTGCCGTCTGGTCGTCGTCGTTGTTCTTGTTCTTGTTCTTGTTGTTGCTGTAGCTTTGGTCTTTGTATTGCTTATTTCTTCCCGTTTGCTTTGGCCTTTCTGTTTTTGCCTTGAATTATTTTATTTTATTTCATCTATTTATTTATTTTTTCATTTTTTTTTTTTTTCCCCCCCCTTTTTGCTTTTGTTTCCTTTTAGTTGGTCTTTCCATTAATGTTCAAAAAAACGAAAACAAAAACAGAAAAACCAACAAAAAAAAATACTTGCTATCAAAACCTGTTAGAGGTCGAGCGCTCGATGGAAGTGAACATCCGGGACTTCTCGTAAGATAACGACCAAAATACGAAACGGAACGTACAAGTTTGTCACCTTATTTTCAGAGTTTCCTTTCGTTGCGTGCAAATCGCATCCATTTGAACTTTGCACAATACTAGTCGCTCTCTCCAAATGGGTCATTTACATCGATACACCCTCCTAGCCTCCCAATTTGACAGATTGTTTTCACCTGAAGCCTGAGCTCGACAAAGGCAATTCACAATTGAATGGGACTTTCTCCTAGCAAGCCGGGCGGCCGTTTCACATGTTTTTCAATGGCCACAACTAGTCTGACATGTTGCCTTTCTTTCTCCTCAGCACCACCGCCGTGTAGCACTCCCGTGGATCTGGCATTTATCATCGATTCTTCGGGCAGCATTGGCCGCACAAACTACAAGAAACAGAAGAACTTTGTCAAGGAAGTGGCGAAGACTTTTGGCCTATCTCCAAACGGCAGCCGAGCGGCCATGGTTCTGTACAGTAACTCGGCCTCAGTGAAAGCTCGATTTGGCCAGTATTCGGACCCGAAGGAGTTCGGTGGAGCTGTAGACAGTCTGCCTTACGAGAGAGGATTGACACGAATCGACAAAGCACTGGACCTAACAGCCAAGGATATCTTCGCTCAAAGTAGGTCGGGCGTGCCCAAGATTGCAATGCTGATAACAGACGGTACCCAAACCGCAGCAGCCGACGCCAAAGGCCTAAAAGAGGCTTCCGAACCATTGAGACAGGCAGGTGTTCGTGTTCTAGCCGTAGGTGTCGGCAAGGGTGTGGACAGAGAAGAACTTCGACTGGTCACGGAGAGTGACGAGGATGTTGTGGTGGCGGCTGACTTCGAAGACCTGCTGTTGAAACTCAGCAACCTGACCAGCCAGGCTTGCCGACTTGCAGGTAAGCATCATCAGAAATCTGTTCGTAGCACTTGTGGCCTCAGGGCTGCTGGGGCTTGATAAGCAGGGCAAATGAATATCAATTGAAGGATCGAAAGCAGCTTTTGTCCTTATCAGCCGGGTGTTCTTTTTGTGTGTGCTTGTTGCCGTCTGGTCGTCGTCGTTGTTCTTGTTCTTGTTCTTGTTGTTGCTGTAGCTTTGGTCTTTGTATTGCTTATTTCTTCCCGTTTGCTTTGGCCTTTCTGTTTTTGCCTTGAATTATTTTATTTTATTTCATCTATTTATTTATTTTTTTATTTTTTTTTTTTCCCCTCTTTTTGCTTTTGTTTCCTTTTAGTTGGTCTTTCCATTAATGTTCAAAAAAACGAAAACAAAAACAGAAAAACCAACAAAAAAAAATACTTGCTATCAAAACCTGTTAGAGGTCGAGCGCTCGATGGAAGTGAACATCCGGGACTTCTCGTAAGATAACGACCAAAATACGAAACGGAACGTACAAGTTTGTCACCTTATTTTCAGAGTTTCCTTTCGTTGCGTGCAAATCGCATCCATTTGAACTTTGCACAATACTAGTCGCTCTCTCCAAATGGGTCATTTACATCGATACACCCTCCTAGCCTCCCAATTTGACAGATTGTTTTCACCTGAAGCCTGAGCTCGACAAAGGCAATTCACAATTGAATGGGACTTTCTCCTAGCAAGCCGGGCGGCCGTTTCACATGTTTTTCAATGGCCACAACTAGTCTGACATGTTGCCTTTCTTTCTCCTCAGCACCACCGCCGTGTAGCACTCCCGTGGATCTGGCATTTATCATCGATTCTTCGGGCAGCATTGGCCGCACAAACTACAAGAAACAGAAGAACTTTGTCAAGGAAGTGGCGAAGACTTTTGGCCTATCTCCAAACGGCAGCCGAGCGGCCATGGTTCTGTACAGTAACTCGGCCTCAGTGAAAGCTCGATTTGGCCAGTATTCGGACCCGAAGGAGTTCGGTGGAGCTGTAGACAGTCTGCCTTACGAGAGAGGATTGACACGAATCGACAAAGCACTGGACCTAACAGCCAAGGATATCTTCGCTCAAAGTAGGTCGGGCGTGCCCAAGATTGCAATGCTGATAACAGACGGTACCCAAACCGCAGCAGCCGACGCCAAAGGCCTAAAAGAGGCTTCCGAACCATTGAGACAGGCAGGTGTTCGTGTTCTAGCCGTAGGTGTCGGCAAGGGTGTGGACAGAGAAGAACTTCGACTGGTCACGGAGAGTGACGAGGATGTTGTGGTGGCGGCTGACTTCGAAGACCTGCTGTTGAAACTCAGCAACCTGACCAGCCAGGCTTGCCGACTTGCAGGTAAGCATCATCAGAAATCTGTTCGTAGCACTTGTGGCCTCAGGGCTGCTGGGGCTTGATAAGCAGGGCAAATGAATATCAATTGAAGGATCGAAAGCAGCTTTTGTCCTTATCAGCCGGGTGTTCTTTTTGTGTGTGCTTGTTGCCGTCTGGTCGTCGTCGTTGTTCTTGTTCTTGTTCTTGTTGTTGCTGTAGCTTTGGTCTTTGTATTGCTTATTTCTTCCCGTTTGCTTTGGCCTTTCTGTTTTTGCCTTGAATTATTTTATTTTATTTCATCTATTTATTTATTTTTTTATTTTTTTTTTTCCCCCCCCCTTTTTGCTTTTGTTTCCTTTTAGTTGGTCTTTCCATTAATGTTCAAAAAAACGAAAACAAAAACAGAAAAACCAACAAAAAAAAATACTTGCTATCAAAACCTGTTAGAGGTCGAGCGCTCGATGGAAGTGAACATCCGGGACTTCTCGTAAGATAACGACCAAAATACGAAACGGAACGTACAAGTTTGTCACCTTATTTTCAGAGTTTCCTTTCGTTGCGTGCAAATCGCATCCATTTGAACTTTGCACAATACTAGTCGCTCTCTCCAAATGGGTCATTTACATCGATACACCCTCCTAGCCTCCCAATTTGACAGATTGTTTTCACCTGAAGCCTGAGCTCGACAAAGGCAATTCACAATTGAATGGGACTTTCTCCTAGCAAGCCGGGCGGCCGTTTCACATGTTTTTCAATGGCCACAACTAGTCTGACATGTTGCCTTTCTTTCTCCTCAGCACCACCGCCGTGTAGCACTCCCGTGGATCTGGCATTTATCATCGATTCTTCGGGCAGCATTGGCCGCACAAACTACAAGAAACAGAAGAACTTTGTCAAGGAAGTGGCGAAGACTTTTGGCCTATCTCCAAACGGCAGCCGAGCGGCCATGGTTCTGTACAGTAACTCGGCCTCAGTGAAAGCTCGATTTGGCCAGTATTCGGACCCGAAGGAGTTCGGTGGAGCTGTAGACAGTCTGCCTTACGAGAGAGGATTGACACGAATCGACAAAGCACTGGACCTAACAGCCAAGGATATCTTCGCTCAAAGTAGGTCGGGCGTGCCCAAGATTGCAATGCTGATAACAGACGGTACCCAAACCGCAGCAGCCGACGCCAAAGGCCTAAAAGAGGCTTCCGAACCATTGAGACAGGCAGGTGTTCGTGTTCTAGCCGTAGGTGTCGGCAAGGGTGTGGACAGAGAAGAACTTCGACTGGTCACGGAGAGTGACGAGGATGTTGTGGTGGCGGCTGACTTCGAAGACCTGCTGTTGAAACTCAGCAACCTGACCAGCCAGGCTTGCCGACTTGCAGGTAAGCATCATCAGAAATCTGTTCGTAGCACTTGTGGCCTCAGGGCTGCTGGGGCTTGATAAGCAGGGCAAATGAATATCAATTGAAGGATCGAAAGCAGCTTTTGTCCTTATCAGCCGGGTGTTCTTTTTGTGTGTGCTTGTTGCCGTCTGGTCGTCGTCGTTGTTCTTGTTCTTGTTCTTGTTGTTGCTGTAGCTTTGGTCTTTGTATTGCTTATTTCTTCCCGTTTGCTTTGGCCTTTCTGTTTTTGCCTTGAATTATTTTATTTTATTTCATCTATTTATTTATTTTTTCATTTTTTTTTTTTTTCCCCCCCCCCCCTTTTTGCTTTTGTTTCCTTTTAGTTGGTCTTTCCATTAATGTTCAAAAAAACGAAAACAAAAACAGAAAAACCAACAAAAAAAAATACTTGCTATCAAAACCTGTTAGAGGTCGAGCGCTCGATGGAAGTGAACATCCGGGACTTCTCGTAAGATAACGACCAAAATACGAAACGGAACGTACAAGTTTGTCACCTTATTTTCAGAGTTTCCTTTCGTTGCGTGCAAATCGCATCCATTTGAACTTTGCACAATACTAGTCGCTCTCTCCAAATGGGTCATTTACATCGATACACCCTCCTAGCCTCCCAATTTGACAGATTGTTTTCACCTGAAGCCTGAGCTCGACAAAGGCAATTCACAATTGAATGGGACTTTCTCCTAGCAAGCCGGGCGGCCGTTTCACATGTTTTTCAATGGCCACAACTAGTCTGACATGTTGCCTTTCTTTCTCCTCAGCACCACCGCCGTGTAGCACTCCCGTGGATCTGGCATTTATCATCGATTCTTCGGGCAGCATTGGCCGCACAAACTACAAGAAACAGAAGAACTTTGTCAAGGAAGTGGCGAAGACTTTTGGCCTATCTCCAAACGGCAGCCGAGCGGCCATGGTTCTGTACAGTAACTCGGCCTCAGTGAAAGCTCGATTTGGCCAGTATTCGGACCCGAAGGAGTTCGGTGGAGCTGTAGACAGTCTGCCTTACGAGAGAGGATTGACACGAATCGACAAAGCACTGGACCTAACAGCCAAGGATATCTTCGCTCAAAGTAGGTCGGGCGTGCCCAAGATTGCAATGCTGATAACAGACGGTACCCAAACCGCAGCAGCCGACGCCAAAGGCCTAAAAGAGGCTTCCGAACCATTGAGACAGGCAGGTGTTCGTGTTCTAGCCGTAGGTGTCGGCAAGGGTGTGGACAGAGAAGAACTTCGACTGGTCACGGAGAGTGACGAGGATGTTGTGGTGGCGGCTGACTTCGAAGACCTGCTGTTGAAACTCAGCAACCTGACCAGCCAGGCTTGCCGACTTGCAGGTAAGCATCATCAGAAATCTGTTCGTAGCACTTGTGGCCTCAGGGCTGCTGGGGCTTGATAAGCAGGGCAAATGAATATCAATTGAAGGATCGAAAGCAGCTTTTGTCCTTATCAGCCGGGTGTTCTTTTTGTGTGTGCTTGTTGCCGTCTGGTCGTCGTCGTTGTTCTTGTTCTTGTTCTTGTTGTTGCTGTAGCTTTGGTCTTTGTATTGCTTATTTCTTCCCGTTTGCTTTGGCCTTTCTGTTTTTGCCTTTTCTTTTTTTTTCGGTCTTTTTGACAAACGCCTGCTCTAATATTATGCTTTTTTTATTCTAATGGATTGATATTTTGAAGTTCCATAGCATTATAGGTAAAGGTTATTTTTAATTTGTACTACCAGACTTTATATAGTATATTTATAGGGGGTGTTTAGTAAAAGCTGTTTATTTGGGGTCTCTCACTGATATAAGATATTTTATTGCTTTGTGTTTGGTTTGCTAGTATTTGTTTTGAGTGCTAGACTGCTGGAATTTAGATTTCCGGGCTTTTAGATTTTGAATTTTCCTGGGTAAGTTTTTCCGTTGAACTCCTTTAATGTAATGTGACTTTTGCGGGAAGAAACGCCTTTTTTAATGCAGGCAGCCGTCTATAGAATGTTACTATGGAAACCTCAAGAATTTTTTATTTTCGAGTCATTTTATTGGTTCATTAGTCTTATTACGTGATACTCTCTACCTTAGATAGTGTTTTCACAGTTGTGTTGGGTCTGAATTCTTTAAAGCTGTATATTTCGCTGGATTTGTGCTTTTGTGATAAGTATACACATAAGGCTTAGATTATTTAACTTCATTGCGTATCTAGTCGTTGTTAAATAGAGAATAACACATGGGTGCGCGTGGATATGGAGTTTCTCTTCGAGTGTTTAACTCGATGGCTCACGAGTGAGCACAGCGAACGAGTGAGATGTCGAGTTGAATAGGAGAAGAGAAATTTCATATCTAAAAGCAACCATGTATTATTTTGTTTATCACATAAACACAATAGCCCTTTACTTGCAAGAAAATATCTCTTTTTTTTTCACGTGTATTGTTACGGTTTCTCTCGGGGCTGGAAATCCTTGTAAAACACTGTAGTTTATATGATGAATATACAATATATTTTGGCTGTAATCATCAAATTTGTTTCTTTGCCAGCGAAACGGAGGTCGTCTTGTTTGATTCCCATGGATATTGCTTTCCTGTTGGATTCTTCAGATGCCGCTGGAAAGGCTGGTTTTCAGAGGGAGAAGGAGTTTTTCAAACTTATGTCAAGTACTCTATCATTGTCTCTCAGTGGTACTCGTGTAGGTGTAATTTCTTACAGTGCACAAGCAAACCTCGCAGTGGCTCTTCAGGAAAATACCACCGCCCAAAATTTGCGATCTGCCATCGATGCGCTTCAATTTGTGGGAGGAACTCCCAGAATTGAGAAGGCACTTGAATCTGTCCTTACTGACTTGTTTACCTTCGATAGGGGGACCAGGTCTGGAATCCCAAAGGTAGCCGTTCTTTTGACGAAGGTATCAGACTCAAACATTTTGCAGTATGAAACTCTCAGGAGGGCAGCCGCACCATTAAAAACAGAGGGTGTGGAATTAATTGCCGTAGGTGTAGGCCGAGACGGCGATCTTCAAGATTTGCGTGTATTAGTTGGCAGCGAGGAATATGTTTTAGGAACAGAGTCCTTTGATAGCCTTTCTGAATTGGTAGAAGACGTTACGCTTCTTGCATGTAAAGCTGCAGGTGAGAGAACTTTATCTTTACATAATACATTAAATTTTACATAGAGTTACAGCAGTGTTCACGTGGCAAGTTTTAATGGGAAATTTCCATATTTGGAAGACGGAAAAAGGCTGGTAACTTGAAAGGATACTCGTCAATGAATTTAAATGATTTTGGGATATACATACACCAGTAAGTTTTCCAAGGCAAGTGTATTTCACTCGCTATCTTTACTAATGTTTAAGTTGAAACCCTATTTCGTAATATGCGCTCTTGCAGAAACATTTGCTGGTGTAAATGTTGCTTGTAAAATGTGTAAAGAACAAAACTGGGGTGAACAGTTTGCCAAATGTAAACGTTTGCTGTGATCTATTACTGAAAAGACGCATATTAACATGAAAGTTATTACTTTCATATTAAAAAGAAAAAATTAAAGATGAGGTAATCTGAGATCGGTAGATCGTAAGCAAGGACCAATCAAAATGCCTGTATAATTCAGCCAATCAATTAGTAATCTATAAATCACTCACGTCAATTCCTCTTACATGAGTATTTGATTATGTTAAACAGTTATGTTCGCTGTTGCAAAAAAGTGCTCTTTTATTAATCAAATTTTGCGCCTCTACATGTCTTCTAGAACCAAAACGGATCATTTATCCTATGGACGCTGCAATCCTAGTTGACACGTCCGCTGGCATTAGTGCCCTCAACTTCCAGAGGGAGAAAGCTTTTGTTAAGACTCTTATAAGAAGTTTTACCATTTCAAGGAACTTGAGTCGTGTAAGCCTGTTATCTTACGGTAACAAAACAGAAGTCACCGTAAATTTCTTTGACCAGCAAAACAGAGAATCTCTCACACGAAATGTCGATTCTTTGCCCCTCTTGGGTGGGCCGTCGCAAATAAATCAAGCTCTAGAGGTCGCAGCTTCGCAGCTTTTCTCCCCTTCTGGTTCGTCTCGCGCCGCAGTGCCAAGGACTATTGTGGTAGTAACGGATGGTCGACAGGATCTTACGGTGGGCTCCGGTGGTCTAAATGAGACAATAGCCCTGTTGAGGCAAAATGGCGTTAAGATTCTAGTGGTGGCTGTTGGCGGTGAAGACGTTGACGAGGATGGATTGGGCAGCCTTGTTGAAGAGGAAGATCATATATTTACCGCTGAATCGTTTGAAACTTTGGCCGCTAAATTGGAGAAAGTCAGCACTGTAGCCTCCGAAATTGCAGGTTAAATTAAATGTCTTAATTTACCCGATATTTCATCCGTTATATTTCTTTTTTGAAACACTAAGTTTTTGCGCCTAAGCGTGTACACTTCTTACCATTGATCCGATGTAGAAATCAACTTACAGAATTCCTTTCAATGCAAAACAGGTAACGGCAAGATACTTTTAGCTATTGTTTGCGACGAGAAACAAAACTACCTTAAACTTGACGGAATGCACAAATTGTTGTTTCGGTGAGATAAAGAAAACGTCGGCAAAACAAAGATAAAACCGAGTAGAAAACAATAAATACAGTGAGTGATTTATGAGTTTGAAATACTGCAATCTCAAGATACACAAACCTTCCTCATTTTAGTCATTTCAATGAAGTGAGCAAAACTAAAAAATCATTTATCACTGTACTTGTTACCACAGTTTCTTTTTCACAGTTGTCTGATTGGGCTGCAAAAAGAACAATCAATAACTTGCGGAATTAATCCTTAATAAATAACAATTACCGATATTTCAAGTCCTGTTAATCAGCGACGTACAGAATTACGCTAAGCAAAACTCTAGGATAGGAAGAATAAGCCAGAAAGGAGTAAAGGAAGAAATTGACTCGGATTGCAAATAAAAAATGCAAGCCAAATTTGTTAAGATTTGCACACTTGGACGTTGCTCCTTCGACAAATTGTCCTCAGAACCATGCGACGTAAGAATTCGTTTTCCTTTGCCACAAGTTTGAGAATGCCTTAAAATGGCAAAACGAAAAAAACAGTTAAGAAAACACAATAAAATATTTCTGCTGTTGTCTTTCCCAGCACCTGACCGTTGTGGTAAAGTGACTGACATCGCCTTTATAATGGACGCCTCGGACAGTGTTGACAGCCAGAGTTACCGCATTCAAAAGGACTTTGTCAAAGCAATCGCAAAGAGCTTCGGTTTGCAACCAGGGGCGAGCCGAGCAGGAATCATTCTTTCCGGCAAGAAACCAACAGTGAACATTAAGTTTGATGACTACTTGCAAACCGAAGACTTCATAGAGGCGGTAGATAGACTTCCTCACCCTCGCGGACATGCTGGAATAGACAAAGTCCTCGATGTGGCTCTAACTCAGCTATTGGCCAACAGAGGTGGTGCAAGACCTGGATTGGGGAAGATACTAGTGCTATTAACAGCAAACACTCAAAATCAATCTCTAGATACAAAGTTGCTGGATAGTGTCACCAGAAGGCTCCAACAGTTGGGAGTGGCTTTGGTTGTTATCGGTGTCGGTAAACAGGTGGATGAGACACTGCTTCGTCCTTTGGTTACGAAAGGAGAGAATCTTTTCCTAGAAAGATCGTTTGAAAGTCTGATGCTTAAAGCTCGACAAGTAGCACAAATTACGTGTGACAACGCAGGTATTTTTCATTACCACCGCTGAAACTTTCGAAGAGAGCCTTAAGTAGTCCGGAGTGGTCCATGTACCCATATTTCAATTTCAAAACCATTCTTCAAAGTCAGAACTGAATATCAAATCACTTAATATTAAAAAGAATACAAAGATTTCTTACGAGCACTAAATGAAAACCACTTATGAGGCAATGTTAAAGAGAATTGTTTATCCAGTTACCTTTTTATCTAGCTAGGAGGATACGCTAACCTTCCCCTCCCCCCCTCACCTTTGTCACTCCGACAGTTTGACTTTACTCGCCTGAGATGTTTATTAGTATTCAATTTTCTGAGGAATTTTAGTTTGCTACAAGTTGCATTGGTAATATAACTCGCCATTTAAAAAGTGTGAACTCACGCGACAGTTTAAAATGCTGTAAGTTCCTTTACAATTTTCACATGAACAACACATTTTATGCGTTTATTTGAGACTAGTTCGTTCTATTCCTCGCCGCCTTTGACCGCAAATTAAATGATAAATTAAGAAAAATTATGTCTGCAATAGGAAATATTTTTGGAATAGATCTAACAGCGAAAGTGATGGAGGCAAGATTTAATACATACAATATATTAATATGATTTTTTGATAAATATGATTTATTTCCCTTCGTGTAGGATACTCAAGATGCAGAAACCCAGTTGATGTCGCTTTTCTGGTGGACTCTTCGGGTAGTCTTGGCGAGGAAGGTTTCCGCGAGCAAAAGGACTTTATAAAAGTGATTACGAACACCCTCAATGTATCTCCCTCACACAGCAAGGCGGGTGTCATCACTTACAGTGATAGAGCTTCTGTGGCAATAAAATTTTCAGACTATCAATACCACGCACAGTTGGTCAATGCCCTTGACGCGCTGCCATATCAAGGTAAAACCACACGGATTGACAGGGCCATTGTGAAGGCCTCTAAAGAACTCATGACAGTGGAAGGAGGTAGAAGAAAGGATATACCTGGAGTTATGGTCATAATGACCGACGGGAGGCAGACTCAGGACTTTGACGTCACGCCTTTAGAGCAAGCAGCTGCGGTCTCAGAGGAAATGGGGGTAACAACTTTGGTGCTCGGAATTGGGGAACTGGCCAACGTGAATGAGCTCAGAAAAATGACTGCACGAGATGGCGACGTTTTCTTGGCTTCCTCTTCTCGAGCTTTGAACAGTTTTGCACAACCAGTTGCCACAAGAATATGTAATGCTGCAGGTACCTTAAATTGTTGCTTTATACGTTCTGTTCATTTTGGGTACCTTCCCAGATTAACAACTATGATTTTGGTCATAAGTGGTTTCAAATGCCATACTGAGTCCATCAGATGAGCCATATTCAAGGTTATTCCCTTAATTTCATATGTCACTCCCATTTCCAGAGATGCTCCGAGAGTATAGAAAGCCACGCGGACTTTCAATTTCCATAAGGTTATCAATTTCTTCCTGAAAAGAAAGCGTTTTGTAAGTTAACAGAAGATATTATCTTTTTAGCACCAAAGACATGTGATGTTCCACTAGATGTTGCCTTTTTGGTTGAGTCGTCTGAGAACATTTCACCAAGAGACTATAAAAGAATTAAAGATTTCATCAAAGAGGCGGCCACCTACCTGTCAAGAAGCGACAACGAACAGCAAGTTGGTGTCATTGTGTTCAATACCGAGGCCAAGATATCCATAAAGTTTGGACAATATTGGTCGGAATACGATTTTGATCGTGCAATTGATGATCTTCCTCTAAACACAGGACCATCGCAACTTGATACAGCTCTTCGCGTTGCCACCAAATTGTTCACTGCTGAAAATGGAGCCAGACCCGGGGTTCAGAAAGTCGGCATCGTATTAACAAATGGAAAGCATCCTGCTGTAGAAGACCTGGAGGACCTGAAGGATGTGGTAAGACCTCTTCATCAAGCAGGGGTCCATGTCATACCCATTGGAGTGACGTCGTCGGTGGATTGGAAAAAATTGCGCTCCTTAACTGTGGACGACAAGGATGTTATTGTGTCACATTCTTGTGATAGTTTATCCAACAAGATTAACTATCTTTTCAGACGCATTTGCCTCGAAGCTGGTAAGGAAAAAACTTTGTTTTAGATAGCTTGTACTGGCTATAAATGATGTGCGTTCTTCGGCTTACAACAGTTATCTGGGAGGAACTGGATTTATTCACTCTACTTAAATTACATCAAAACTTCGGTGGTCAAACCCTTTTTTTGAAATTGAATATGATCCAGTTGGTTCAAATCGTATTGGTAACCGTGTTCTTGGCCTAATGTTTTTCAAGAGCATCTTTCACCTCTGGGCTTTTTAGTTAAAGGTGCCAAAGACAACTCGGCTTGTAAATAAACAAATTAAGGCTCTGGCTATTCGTTGTTTTCAGTTTATAATGAATTTGCTTTGATTTTGATCTCGAAGCTTACAAAAAATGCGATGGGGTAGCAGATGTGGTATTTGCGATCCACTCCTCGGGGACACTCAGCCCTTCAGAATACCGCAAAGAAAAAGAATTGGTGAAAAGAGTGGCGACAACTCTGAACATTTCACCCGGTAGGAGCCGAGTAGCTTTAATTCTTTATAGCAACTTCGCCACGGCAGCCCTTAGACTTGACGAAAAGATCACCATGGAGTCTTTTGACAATCTTGTGGATAGCTTACCTCATGAACGTGGAGTGACGCGCATCGACAGAGCTTTAAAGCTTGCTCGATCCATTTTCGACTCCGACAGTGCTGTAGTGCGACGAGGAGTGCCTAAGGTATTGATATTGTTCACCGATAGCAAGCAAACCGTTGCTCAAGATGCATTTAATCTGGTGGAAGCTGCCCGACCCCTACTCTATGAGGACGATGTTAGGATTCTTGCAGTGGGAATGGGAAACAATGTAGACGTCAGGGAGCTACGAGCTACAACAGTTGATGAGAAGGACGTCTTTCTGTCACCGTCGTTGGAGAATCTTCTCAGTTTAAGCGGATCTTTGTCTGAGGCTATGTGCGAGGCAGCCAGTGAGTATACAGTGAAAATAGCATTGTCCTATAAACGTAAGGTCAAGTGTAGTATAGTTGGCTCTGTATGGTAAGAGCTGCATGACTGTTTATGTTTTCTTTATTAAAAGTTCATTAACCTGACGGAGGCCTTGGAGTTTTTAGCAGTAAAATCTTGACCATGCATCAATGACTGATCAACCGACAGACTGACCAACCCACTAATCGAAAGACCGACCGGTCGACCAAACGACAATTTGTTAATAATCCATTTATTCACTCGTTAATGATAATATTCCAAACATTTAACAAAGAGACCTCCAATCACTCAAAAGTTGTCATGGTGGTCTACAGTGATTAACTAATGCCTAGAAATCTAGCAACTGGCCAACAGCCACTAGGATGAATGTTAATCGTCTAATAAAGTGAAAAAGGTGAAGAGTAGTGACCAAAGCTGATTGAAAATGAACGTAAAAAAAGATTGAGAATTATTATCAAATTTCTTTTAAAATCACTCAATTATATTTTCAGAGCCTCCAATTTGCCCTGAAGCCATGGATGTCGCCTTCCTGATGGATGCCTCCGGCAGTGTGGGAGCAGACAACTTTGAGAAGCAGAAAGAGTTCATCAAAGCAGTTGCCGGTACTTTAGGACTTAAAAGTGGCTTAGCCCGCGCTGGGTCTCTGGTCTACAGTGACATGGCAACAGTACAACAGTCATTCAACAGCTGCAACGGGACTCATTCGGTTGTAGAAGCAGTAGATCACATTCCATACTATGGTCGAACCACGCGCATTGATCGCGCCTTGTCACTTGCCAATACAGATCTGTTTAGTGATGCCGGTGGAGTGCGATCGTATGTGGCTAACACTCTTTTACTCTTAACGGACGGCAGGCAAACTCCAGCAGCTGACTCGATTTCCATGGAACGCGCCGTGAAACCCCTTAAAGAAAAGAAAGTGAAAAGGATAGCTTTGGGAATCGGTAGTCAAATTAGTCCCGATGAGCTTCGCAAGGTCGTTGATGGAGACGAAGACGTCGTTACAGTAGACAGTTTTGACGATCTTATCTCTTCAATGCATATGGTATCGGAAAAATTATGCACAAGTGCAGGTGGGAGAGTCACCTTGATACCTCTTCCCTTAGAAAAATAGTGTTGAGACAGATTCCTTTATTACAGTCTCGCCTTAGGTATTTACAAGTGGGTTTGTAGTTAGATTAAACTTCTTTCAAGGTCCTTGAACTGAACAAACTTAGTTTACAATTCGGTTGACAAAACAGAACTTACTTAGTCAAAATGTGTTTTTGTTTCAAAGAGCAGAAGAAAGGAAAAGATTAAAAGGAGAACTTAAAGTGAGAAAAGGGTGAGCCGACTTTGGTGACGGACCCTAATTTATTTCGGTTTTGCGTTTGAACGATTGGCAATGTGGCACCAGTTTTCTCGACAATAAGAGGTTCTATGAATGTGCAAATTTAGGTAATGAAAGAAGCACAAGTGGAATTGTTCTAATATGTAATGAATCAATCTCTTGGCAGCTTTAAAGAAGTGCCCTGTTCCTGTAGATATCGCCTTTCTTCTGGACTCATCAGGAAGTATTGGTGAACCAAACTACCGCAAAATGAAAGACTTTGTCAAGGCTGTTGCGAACACCTTTATCATCGGATCAGGCAAAACACTAGCTGCATTAATTTTGTACGGTGACACCGCAACTACGGCCATCCGATTTAGCGATCACGCGAACAACGCCGACTTCGACGCTGCAGTAGACGTTCTTTCATATTTGGGAGGTGAAACTCGCATAGATAAAGCCCTACAGCTTGCTTCCACAGAGCTTTTAACAGAACGTAGCGGCGCACGGGTTGGTGTTGCCAAAGTTGTGATCCTCGTGACAGACGGGCGGCGGTCTCGAGCGCCCGACGGCGTTGAACTTCATAAGGCTGCGAAGCCAATTTTATCGGCAGGTGTGCGTTTGTTTGCAGTGGGTATTGGAACTGAGGTTGATGAAAAAGAGTTACAACTTATCGTTGACAGGAGAGATGACGTCATACTGGTACCGTCGTATAATGGACTCGCCACGAGAGTGAGACAGTTGTCCATTGCCACGTGTGAAAGCTCAGGTAAAACCAGCATCATTTCTTTAAATAGCTCATATATTTTTTAATCATTTAGTAATATGTAACGACGCGCAATATTTTCTCCTCGGTGAATAGTACTTGCTAATCACTCTATTCACCTGTGAGATTGATACTGACTTGGTTTGACTCAAAGTCCCAAGTGTCATCGGTGACTGATTTTTAAATAAGCCCACCTTCGTCAAACTTTTGAAAGTACGAGCACGATCGAGTTTATAAACTTTTCAAGTTGCAAAAATCTTATGATGATCAGGAAAAACAGTTGTTAAGTAGCGTTAATCAGCAAAGTATTTGGAGGTTCACTCCACAGATTATAGCAAAACTTGCATGTTTTTCATTCAACTCGCAAGCGTCAACGAAAAATCAGCAATTAGGTGAATGGCGTAACGTTTTTCAGGTGAAGAAGAATACAAATTCCTTCCTGAAGGGGAAAATTTGGGAAAAAGTCTTTTTCACTCTTGGAATGCCAGCTTAGCTGTTTTTAACAAATGGAAGATACTTGAAGGTAACTGTGCAATAAATCTCTTCCTCAGAAATAGAAGCTTGTGATAATATCATGGACGTAGGTTTTGTCCTCGACTCCTCTGGCAGCCTATCTGCATCCGAATTCCAACAAGTCAAAGACTTCGTCGATCTCATAGCTAACTCCTTCCTCAACAACAAAGTCGGTAGCCGTGTGGGACTTATGCAATACAGCATCTTGCCGAAGATGAATGTTCGGTTTTCCGACGAACTCACGAGAGAGCAGTTCCGAAGTGTCCTGGACAAAGTTCGTTACGAGGGAGGCTACACTCGGCTCGATCGAGCTCTCGAGCTAGCAGCTCAGGAGTTGTTTGTGAATGAAGAAGGTTCTCGTAAGGACATTCCTCGAGTCATGGTTATAATAACAGACGGCATCAACACGGAGGAGCCTGATTCTGTAGCGTTAGACACCGCCGTCGCGCCTCTAAAACGCGCCGGGGTCACAGTGTTTGTTGTCTGCATTGGTAGTGAGAAGGGCCGTGATGAGATGTACCTACTCACAGAACAAAACAAAAACTTGTACTTTGTTCGAACTTACAATGAACTTTCTCTTCAGCTTCGGAAAGTATCCAAGGACATTTGCGAGAGTGGAGGTGAGATGCTTGCATGGATTCGGAGAAGGTGGAGGGCGTTTCTCTGTTATTTACTATACCCGAGAAAATGTCTGCTTTTAGATTGCTTTCTTCCAATTATACTAAGAATCAATGGTGATCTATTTTCACATGCTATGGCAACGATCTGCACTAATTCGTCTTCTTACATGTTAGAGGTCGTGTTCTTAATCAAACATTGCATGTTTACCAGATAACGAACTTTTGACACGAAATTAATTTCGCAAGTCGCTTCTACTTTTTTGAAGTGAAAATAAATCGGGAAGATGTTTTTCTTGGCACGATAAGCAATTTGACGAATGTTTGAACGATCAATCGATAATCTTTGTATTAGTGACAAAATACAATACGGTTTCACTTTCAAAATTAATGACTTTAAGTGACTATACACTCGCTTTGATTTAGAGTACCTCCTCTTTTAAATTCTCCAAACTGCCATGCTTCGAAAGGGCATCTCATGTTAAACATCAACAGCAGACTGATCCTTTTTTTTTCTTCCAAACAGCCCTTCCTGGATGCGACCGAGTGATGGATGTCAGTTTTTTGGTAGACTCTTCAGAGAGTGTTGGCTTACAAAATCTTCAGAAACTTCTCGACTTCGTGCGCAGAATTGCCAAAACCATGCGTATCTCCCCGAGAGGTAGCCATGGAAGTCTCGTCGTTTTTAGTGACAACGCCAAAGTTCAAATCAAACTTGACGACTACGATAATATACAGGAATTCAGCAATGCTTTACGAGATGTCCCCTATATGGGCCAAAAGACCCGGATCGACAAGGCTTTGCGGGTTGCACTGAGCGGAGTTTTCAACAGTAGAGCCGGTATGAGAGCCGGAGTACAAAGAGTTGCGGTCTTGTTGACCGAGGGTCATCAAACGAGAACGTTCGATGCGATACCGCTGAGATACGCGGTAGAACCACTGAGGCGCAGGCGAGTCAATGTGTTTGCGGTTGGCATCGGTAGTGATGTACGTTATAACGAACTCCGATCTGTCACAAGTAGTGATCAAAATGTAATGTTGGTGGAAACGTTTGACGACCTCGCAAGAATTGGTGAAGAGCTGAGCCACAAGATGTGTCGAGGTAGGAGAATGATTTTCGCTTCACTATAAAGTATCAGTTCTCTTGCCTCTGTCCTCAAAAGGGCACGCAGGAACGTGCCTCGCGGAAGTAAGGAGGGAAGGGAACTGACACTTCATATGAAACGTTATTGCAAAGTCACTTGTTGATTTTGAAAGATTGCAGCACTTGTTGTTATGAAAGATAGTATTTCTCAAGTGATCGTTCCCTTGTCCTCTACACTTATCCAATTCATGACGACATGGTAAAGCTAAATTGAATTTTAACACTACTGGTTCCGTCATGATTGAGAGAAATGAACGGTCAATAATTTTATATCTGTTGTGTTCTTGGGAGAGATTCTTACCGTAGAGGTAACGGTTTCCTCGCAAAGGTATGGATAAGTAGATTTTATGATGAGCCACAACACCTGTTATTCTTATGAAGCGACAGCACATATCTAGTGAAGCGATACGAGTCAAAATATGATTCAATGATGAATCAAGGGCCACCGCACTCGTAAAGAGTCGAACAATTTCCTAAGTTTACCCTTTAATTTAATCCTTGTCATTTTATGAGTTACTCCACCCTGAAAACTTGAGACAACCTGATGCTGCTCTAAAGCGCACGTTGGTTGATTGCACGTTGTATAACCAAGGCAGCTAGATCACAGATGAATATCAAAATGAACTAGCGAAAATTCAGGGAAACCAAGCAGACCGATTGGAAAGCAGAACAAGTGACCAAGCTGCGATTTTTGTTTTGGCATTTGATTCGTTAATAGCTGATGCATTTTTTCTAGACCTATTACAAATGTATGATAAAGCGGAACTAAAGTAATCTTGAGCCACTTTCATCTTGCAACTCAAATCGCTCCTAACTCCCACAAATGACCAAACAGAATTTCTCCACACCATATCGATACAGAATCAAACAGATAAGTGAGAAGAATAAAGAAAAATATCAACAAGGGCGTTATTAGTTGATCCAATACCAAATTCTCAGAACTAATATAATACAAGTTGTATAACAATCGGTAAGGAGAGTTACTAATGAGATCTTGGTAGTAAAAGGGGTTAAAACGAAGTGTGGGCTCTTTATGAGCACTTGGCATTATTTTTATTCTCTTTCTCTTCTTTTTCAGGAGGATGAGGATCGACTTTGGGAAGACAATACAGACAAATAAATTAGTACAAAAATTTAAGCTAATATGTAGTGTGCAGTGCTTCAAATATTTCTATTTCATACGAGAGGTTAGCAATGCATTTGCGCGGCTAAGAAACAAAGAAAGGAAAGATTACTCAAGAATTCATGTTGTTACAACACTACAATAATCCAAAACAACTGGATCCATCGGTTTGACACGCAAACTATTCTGCGTGTTTCAAACAGCAGCGCCTGTATATTTCAATTTAAAGTAAACTCCTGCCTTGAGTTTTATTTATTTTTGAAAAGTCGTCACTTTTTATAAATGGATCTCCCGTAATATTCAGTGACGGAAATGTGTAACTGTCTTTAGTTTTCACCGATTCCATGATTCGTTGTGATCAACATGAAAGAATGACGACCATTTTGTAAAGTTTTCTGAGTAAAAAGTTATACTCATTGTGGTAAAGAAAATTAACACAATGACCTGCTGAAAGTATTGCAGTTATTAGAGGAGCCCTTTTAAAGGAATGAATCACTGAGTAGCCGAATATATACGTTAATAGATAATACAACGTAAGTTAAATGGCCTCAAAGGCCGATAAGTTAAATTTTTGTTATCTAAAGTAAGAATAACATTGTATTGAATAAATTAATAATTCTAAATGCAAAGTAGTCGTAGATGCGATTATTTTGTTGTGAGGACTCGCTTCGGGTCTTATCTATACTGCCCCTTTAAAAAAAATCCATCTTCACTTATGCTTTGCATGAAAAAAGAAGTCTCTCTTCTTTATAACTTCTCCTTATGCGTGGCTCCTGCTCCAAAGGAAATCGTCTTAGCGTCTCAAGAATTACGTGAAAACGTAAAATATAATCTAACTGGAGGCGAAGTAGTCTACGTTTCCCTTCCCTGCCCCTCCCCTCTCCTCCCTTCCCCTTCCCCCCTCCCACACCCCTCGCGTTTTACTCTCCACCGCGTGAAAAGAGGTCGGCATTAGATTCCATCCATCAAAACCACCTCGGTCGAGAGGGACTGAGATGCAATATTTAATGACTTGCAAAACATAACCGAAGATTCGCAAGTGATGTAGCCGAACATCCGAAGCTGTAAATCCCATGATTCTTGAGGAACAAACAGAAACAGCATAGCGAGAATTTTAAGTCGCGAACCATTGCTTGATGGTAGACATGCAGATAATTTAGGATACGTAAATTCTGTTGATGAGGCTCATAAACTTATTGCGGAATTTGAAACAGGATTGACGACGAAGTTTTCTTTCTTTAAAGCTGTCAAAGGTTTCGGGAACACCGGTGTATATATATATATATACACCGGTGGCATTACAAAGCTTTGCTATCGCTATTGTGCATTCTCACTAGTTTATCTAGTTCAAGTCCTCTGGCATGGCTTGGATGATACCACAATTGTGGAATCATTCGGTTAACTTAATGCTTACACCTCCTTCCTCGGACAGAAGTCACAAAATACTGGGGGAAGATGCATGAGATATTTAAGGAGCAAAAATTCGTTTTTTACTGGTGTGCCTTTCCTAATTTTGGGAAGGAAAGTGTTCAATTGCCAACACGGCATAGATAAAACAGCTGGAGAGAAAAGGAAACGAAAAGATGCAGAAGAAGTACTGTATATAATAATTTCTTTTTATCCTCAACCTTTGTGTTACTGTCAACTATGGTTTGCTAATTCGAAAGGTCAAATACATGAATGGGTCATATAACATCGATCTCAGAATACTTTTAGGACAAACGTGATAACACTTCAATCTTGGCTAAATTGAAGATGGTTTAGAAGTTAACAATTATAAGAACTTTTCACTAACATATGCTGCTGACAAAGGAGAAAATATATACAATTCTGCATTTTTTGCTTTCTATCAAGCAATCATATGTTGGCTCCTTATCACGCTATGACACTTCCGTTTTGTCACATTCCAAAAAATAAATTGAGAAATACACTGTCACTCATCTTACACTGTTATATTTACCTATTACAGAAGGCTGAAAACAAAGATTTTGTTTTCAAGAAAATAAGATTTCTTTTCCAAGACACAAGGAAGTTTGACTGCAAAGCACAAATAAAAATGCAATAAATTTTTTTTTTCAGAGAACAAAGTAGTTCTACCCATGTATAAACAGAACAAATCCAGTTTAATAAATCAGATATGCGGCATGACTCCTTTTCTTCCATCCCCACTCAAAACAAGCAAACACACCTATATAGGTCCCAGCCTGGTCTGCAAATGAAAAGGAGGAAGGTGATCACTACTAAATTAAGCATTAGGGTTCTTATTTATAACATATTGATTATTGTATACTGGTATCAAGAAATTAAGGTTGCAAGTAGCAGCCAGCTGAGTTATAGTTTGAGTTTTATCAAGTCCATTACTTTGTTAAATTTAGAGTAACCTTGTCTTGAGAGAAGGAAATTGAGGAGCTGTAATATACTTATCATCAATTAGGGACCACAAAGAAAAAGTTATTTATAGAGACTTTTGAAGGAGAGGGGTAAGACTTGTGACAAGCTGGCAGACATATAGATAAACTTTACTGCTAAATGGGTTACAATACAAAGTGCTCAGTATTTGGATCAGCTATGGCTCAACTTAAACTTTGCTTTAGCTTCAAGTTTAATCCTTTGTGGTTTCCTTTCTCTGTGTTTATTTTTCAAGTTATATACACAGAAGAACACAAAAATGACAAGGAATGCTTTTGAATATTAAGAGGCTGGAATAAGCAAGAAACCAAAACTGAATTTTAAACAGTACAAAGTTAATTTGATCTTCCAATGTTATTTAATTTTAACCATTAATAGAATTTGCTATTTATATTTATCCCCTCCATTTTTCTGGATATTGTGAGCAAAAACAAACAATTATCACAAAATGCATGGTATACAATGGTTTGATTCCAATGTGGCAAAGGCCTTTCACTGTCTATCCATAAAAAGGGAAATAGTTTGTAAAATGTAAAACATTCTGCATCTTGAGTGTATACTTATTCATCCATGCGAAATTAAAGGTTACTTGAAATAAATGTGAAAGATTGATAGGATTTTCAGACCCCTGATAACAATTACTGATGTGCTGATTTGTTGTACTTAAAGGTTATGATTTTAGCGGAAATAGTGGAAGAATTTCTGGACCTGGAATTTTGTTGCAAATGTCTGTTTAAGTCAGTTTAAGTCAGTTATAAACTCTCCTGTTTCAAGATTACATGATTGCCACACAAGAACCTTTTGTATTCTATATTGTGCACCATGTTATGATTATGGTTTCAATAATAAAAGGTGCTGACTCAAGAACTTTGCAAAATATCTCTACATACAAAGAAATAGATTGTGGTTATGTACTCCAAATAGCAGGTCACATCAGTCTTCTGTAAGGAAGTAGCAGAAATTGCTATGGTGGTTTTGGTGGATGGAAAGAAACATCCACCAAAACCACTTTATTCTATGTGTTAAGAGTTATGATAATCATTATGAACGTTTGGTCGGTCAGCAATTGTGCACCATAAAACATAATTAGCCAGAGCACTAACTGCTAATTAGTGGTATAAATCTTTTGTCTCCCTGAACATCTAACAGTGGCTATAGATAAAATTAAAAAAATATATTGTTGATGGTTTTGGTCAAAGTTTTGGTGGATGTTCCCTGATGACATCCACCAAAACTACGTAACATCTGGGCACCTTTTAAATACGTGAAATATCTGCATAAAATTGCGTAAAATGTTTTAAAATATTACAATCGAACAATAAATTAATACTTACCATTTCTTGAGTAAAAAGTTTTGACGCAATTTCCCAAACAAATAATACACTTAGGTCATCGGGATAAGTCGGCATGTTGTCGTAGCTTCGTAATTTTAATTTAGTATAACAAGTCATGAGTTGTCCATCATTCCATCTCAGTCCCTCTCGACCAAGGTGGTTTTGGTGGATGGAATCTAATGCTGACCGTGAAAAGAAGCTTGGATGATATCCAAGGTCATCCATTGCGTTACATTTCAAGGACGTCTGCGAAGGAGCTCAGCACGACCAGAAAGCAACTTGATGCCACTGTTGAAAACACGTGGCGAGGATGCCATATGTTTTGTAATGGATTCCGATTAAGAGAGAACCATGCTTCATTCGATAATGAAGTACCTTCCCGAATACGTATCAGAAATAAAGCCAAATGATTCTGGGTAATGTAGTGTCTCGCCTGTTTGCGTATTTCTTTCCTTTGGCAGTTAAGTATATCACCATTCTGTTTTTTTGGTTTTTTTTTTTTTTACCGAAAAAGCGCAACTGATTCAATAAACACCCACACCAATGTCAAAAAAAGAAACATCAGGAATCTTTCACCGATTCCTCTCAGACATTTGAACAAAAGGTCAGACGAGCTTCATTTGACACCAGAACCATCCGTCAGCTTTGCAAAAATAGACCAATTATTACTGTTTTGGGATCATCTAGGCTTCCTTAAGCATAAAAAAATGCTATACTGGTGAGGAGAAGAAGTAAATGGCTGATACTCTTTACCTTTAATGTTATGTCAAATATCGTCTTCCGATATTCACTGCTCGTTACCGAATGTTGTGAAAGATCCGTGATTTAATAAATCTTGAGTGGTTTTGATTGTTATATTAATGCCATTAAGATCTTATTGAAAGACATACAAAAGATTTTGATTTTTTTCGCTTCCGATTTGAGCCAAGGCCCGACCAATGCGGCAGGAAATTTTGAAAGGATTTAACCCCGATCTAGCTGACACTTCGATCACCAAATCGGATAAAAAACTGTGTGAAAGATCACCACGCCTAAAAATCTCTGCAATTTTTACATGCATCAGTCACAAACTGCAGAAAACAGTATTTTTGTCTCTGGGAAGGCACGATTCTCACGCCTCGCAATTTCCGCTGTTCCCCATCCGTGTTAGATCATAAAAGAGTCAGCGGTACCAGCCTTTCACGCCTCGCGAGATATTGACACATAAACCAGTTAATACTTCAGTAGAATAATCCATGGTTTATCTGACTCCTAAGTATAATACAACACAATACTGGATGTTATAAGTTATTGACCTCTATCACGTAATACCTGAGGGTTACCAAGTATGTGGATTTCTTTCCTCTGTGTTGTTTGTCCTTCGCCTTGTTAGAAAAAAGTAATGATGAACTAACTTGGCATTTCCCCAAACAAAAGAGCGTTATTCCTGCAGGATCTCCTGTTGGGATAATCCTGTCTCTTCCCTAATTATTTACATGTCAAATTGTGGGTGGGCAAACGTTTGATACGGATTCAAGATTCATCTATCAACAAAATTAACTTCGCTAAAATAACGATTACTGCTAATTTCAATCGTGGCGCGTGGGTTACAACCGCAATTTTATTGTCTCAAAACCAGACAAAAAACTTTCACTTCGCAGATTTCCTCTCCACTCAATTCTTGTCCTTTATCATTGTTGTTCTTTGTTAGAACAATTAAGTTTCTAAAAACTGAATCAAACCACTCTTAGTCTGAGTTGATCAATATTTCTTACAACTAATATTTCCTCCGTGTGGCTTAACAAAGAACCCCATCGTACAAGTGTGAATGATGCCTCGCTAGCACGCGCCTAGACACACAGAAAACTTCTGTTCTTCTCAATTTTCTAACCGTAAAACAAAGCCCCCCTTTTTTCTTCAGCTACCCCAACGTTTCTAAACAGATGTTCAACTGTCACCTTTCGCTAACTTAACCTACGGTCCAAAATTTTGGAAAACTTGCTTGGTAATTCTTTTAACTATATGATAAAGAATTGATTAAACGAAAAGTTCGGAATGTTTATTCCTAATGTGGTTTGTAGACGATTCAGAGCTCCGTGAAACTTCAGCTTCGCTGAAAAGTGGACTTTTACTCCGTTTTTCAGAGGAAATGGAAACAAAGCGTCCTGTAATTCAGATCATCGTGTCATTTTATTCGTGAACGAGTGAAACATGGTTTAGTTTTTGCACCCATCCATTGATTGGCATCCATTCCTATACAGCATAATTTTGAGATAAAAATAGGTCAAAAAGAAAATAAAAAGTATTTAACCATTTGGAAACGTTTCAGCAGCTTCAAAAGTTGTGTTGAAGAGGTGTGGCCACCCGGCTGTTACGCTAACCTCTGTCTGAACCGCGGTTTCGGGCGCAACAATTCATGCTGTCTAGCACCTTCTATTCTTTAAGAGAATTGCTGCCAGGAAATTACGAAAATATGAATCAATGATAGGAAAAAATATTTTTCTCTATTAAAATCCCTTTTTATTTTGGCATCAGATACGCGTTTCATAGCCATATATTACGAATATTTGGCTGTCTGAGAAATCATTTAGGGAAATTGAGGTATTGAATCGAAAACACTTCAAGTCGGCACTGTATAAACAAATATTAAGAGTTTCTATCCAATTACCGCTTCCTATTTATTTCAAATAACCAGTTGTTGTGAGAACTATGGGAAGTAATCTTGAAGTATTTTTGTTCAGATGACACCAAGGCCAGCAAGAAGTTTGATCGATTTTTTTAAGTTGTTGAAAACTGTTGGCATAACGACAGCACTAATCGATTAAGAAACTCCAAAGGAAAAACAAGAAAATATGAAAGTTTTTAAAGTGTCTAAAAGCGAAACTGAGCCACACCTTGCCCAATGGTTTATTTCTAATAACGATATTTCCGGTGTTCCATACTGTGATGCTGAAATCAAATAGTAAACGTTATGTTATCTTTTTTAAGGTTATAACCCCAGTCAGTCAAAGAATAAGGAGATATTCGCTTCGATTTCTTGAGCGTAGTTTCGCCCAAAATTTGTCAAATTTGACAGATAATAATTTCAGGTGAATTCGGCGGTCATTCCTGTACAAGTTGGGATTCCAGAAGTTGTTGCTTTAGTCCTAACCAAAATCTCACCCTGTACATGAACAAAGTACGTTATATTTGAAAACGGTCGTGGAAGCTTCTAGATAATAGACCACATAGATGGCCGGCTTTAATTCCTTCGTTAAATCGGTAATATTCATACTTCGTAACATTTTTTCATATCCGCCCCTCCTCAGAGTCCTTTCACCTTCCGCGGCTCCGCCAGAGCTCCCTTGGCTCCTCAGCTTTCGTGAGGAAGGCCTTGAACGCAGCGAAACTTGAAAAATTTGCCATCAGAGCTCTCGTCTTTGAAGTACGCAAACCGAAGTTATTTTAAGATGTGGTTTGACATCCAACGCCTACAAAATACAGGAATTTCTTTTTTTTATTCACTAATGACTCATTAGAATTCGGAATTCTTTTGTTTCTGCCATTGTGGTTTTTAAACGGTTCCCTAATAGTTCTTCTAGTATCGGCCATTGTTTACCTCTGATTCTTTATGTTCGTGGCAAAGAGATCTAGTTTAGATTCATTCACCATTAAACTTCCTCCCCCTCATCAAAATTATCAGCGGTAATTTTCACTCAACCAGCAAGTCGCGTGGGCAACAACCGTTGCCTTCTTGGAATTAAAAAGAACACACACACAGATACACTTCCTCCTCCTTACCTGAACATCTTATCCTGCTTTTGATTCTCTCTAAAAACCACAGCCTTGATTTTTTCGTTAAAAAAAGCCAAATTCGCTCTAAATCAAAGCGATCTTTCAACCTTTTTGAAACCTTCCACACGGCAACTGATAGACCTTCTATTAACCTTGTCTGACATTATCTTTTATAGATACTCGCTTATTATGTTATACAGTAAAGAAGACAAAGGAACTGCTCGTTAAGTTTTTTTAGGAACAATCGGTCTAACAACTGTTGAATAAAAAGCACGTTTTTGTAATTGTATACATTAGCAATCTTACGGCGGCCTGTTAAAAACCTGACCGAAATATTCAGTCGTGATTTGTTTTGTAATTCGTCTCAACCTTAACAATCCTTGCCTATCTTCTTTAATTTCTGGTCTTTTCGCCCCACGCTGATGTTTTTCTTTCCATTCCGACAAATATTTTGAGATAACTCTCACCTCGAAGATTCAGGTCTGATAATTTGCATGTTGCAGGTAAACAGCTAAATTTCTCATAACTCAAAAGTTCACTTCTGATGTTCCTTAGGGCAATTTCGTCACTTTGTGAAATGTCATTTGGCAGTGAAATCATCCTTATCAAAAATATCTATTAAAGTCGATGAATCTCGGAAAATTTTTGAAGATCTCTTAGTTGCAGATAACGTAAGCTTTGAACCCCATGGGAAATCACAGTGACAGTTCTTGTGATTAAATTAAATCAAAGCTGGCTTGCGCAAAACCAATCTATGGCACAGAGGTTCTGTAATTTCAGAACACCAAAGAAAGTTACACAAACGTGAAGTCGGTTTGCTTCCGCGGTCCACGGCTTACAAGAGAGTGGAAGAGACTATACAACGGCTATGTGGAAAAATGGTCAGCCTGGGTGGGTGTTTTTACGTTAGAAAGGTGTGGTAATTATTTAAACAAACAATTCTGCAATCATGAGAGAATTGGTGACCACAAAATGGGCCAAAATGGCTGAAACGACGGAAACGACGAGAATTTATACAACACAGCTTCTTTTCTAAAATTAAGGTGTTGCAAATTCAAAGGAAATTTCAAAAATCCTGATCTTGTCTTAAGAACAACCAAAATACCATAACAACTTGCGACGGTTCTGATAAATGAGATTAGAGGGCATCATTATTATGTAAATTGTGTTGCGAAAATTCAAATACTGCTCATTTATACGTGACTGGTCATAAAATATTTGACAACAGCCCGTTGCGCGAGGATGCGTGACACTAGCGCAGGAAACCAATCATAAACTGTGAGTGACACCCCACGCGGAAGCTGTTTATTTTCGTCAGAGTCCTGCCCAGATTTCTAAATGTAATGATTGTAAACAAGCGGCGCATAGTTTAATCCATCCTTGAACTCCTCAAGGTGACGACTGATGCGGAGGTATTTACACGAATTACGCCTCTCTCGTTATAAATTCAGCTGAGCGTTTCGACGTTACAGAGGTAGTGGATTCATTGAAGTCAAAGCGACTGGTGAATTAAGGAACATGGCGACTTTGTACGCGGAGTTTTTCGTGATTTTTGCCCTGATTCTTGTTACGGTGGATTCTCAGTCAGGCGAAAGAAGTAAGTAAACACATTGTTGTTTCGACAAAAAGCCGATTTCTTCTGAAATTGGAGCGTTTTTAATTTGCTATTTGGAAAATTTTTACGAAAGTTAGCTCTCCGAGTAGGACTTAACTTAAGCGGAAAACTGAAGAAAGAACTGAAAAATTTCGCCGAAATTTGAAATCAGTGTAATTCAAGATTGCTCATTTTGTTCTAGGTAATTAGTCTTGCATCCCTTTTGAACGTTTTTTTTTTTTTTTTTTCGCTTGGAGAATTGTTTATATGGGGAAAAGTTTCGTTTTCAACACGTCTTTTTATATCCTGTGGGTAAATCTGCATGTTCTGAAGTCGTATTCTACCAAAAAACCTTTTAATGATTTGCCATACATCCTTAATATATTGACTGGATACCATTGTCGCCAGAATCAAGTATCAAACTTTTCAATTCTAATATTTATTTTATCCTTAAGAAATTGATTTACCTTCGTCGATTAAAAATTCCAGTTAAGACTATTTGAAGACGAGATTCAAGCAAAATTTCTACCAACAAAGGAACGATCAACAGGTCAAAGTCTCTAAAATATTTCAGACAAATGATTTAATCAATAATTAGAAGTCATTGAGCCCTAGCCAGACCCGAAAGCTTCTCAGCCATATTGCTTTTAGTATTTTGTTTTTTACGATAAGATCTTAGGAACACTGTGATATTCCGATATCTCGCCAATGTTTACCAAACTCGTAGTACCCCCATGTAGGTACCATGCTGCCTAATTGATTGCTCATGATTGCCGAGGAACACATATCTTTGGCTGTAAAAATTCTTTTCGTTTTCCGAGGACAAATTAGCGAAAATGAACGGACACCTAAAACTATGTATATTTTAAGTTCCACGAATAACTAACAAAAAGAAAGAAAATTCTTGTTTTCATTCTCCATGACTTGGCTGAAATTCCTTAATGCAGGCTTTATTTCCTTGAAGATAAGCTTTTTAAGCTAATCGTCTTAAAAGGTCTTGCTAAATATAGCATATCCCATGAACATTTCCCTTTAATTTCGAAACTGGATTTTCTCAGGAAAAGTTCAAGTTTGATGCACCCTAAAAATGTTGATAGCTGCTGTGTGAAAGGAAGCGATTATTGAAGCTAACTATGCCAGTCACTTTTTTTATTTTTTCATCTTGTAAACATTGCGAATTAAGACAATTAGTACTGACTTGAGAGCGGTAGAGGCCACTCAACAGGAATCTGGCGGAGCACTTTAAGCCTCATAAACCGGATCAGAGTTTGCGTTTTTTGGCAAAAAGAATCAAATACTACAAAGAAAGAGGGGCTGTCTTGCCGCGATTATATCGCTTTTCGTTTGTGTATTTATGTTGGAACCGGACATGCAAAGCGACAATTAAATCTTGTCACGTTCTTTCAGGGTCAAAAATTTCCTATGACTAAAATTAACATTCCGCCGGCCTTGCTTGGAGGACTGCATTACAATATCGAGCAAAGTATACTTCACACAAGCATCTTTTAAATGCTATTAAAACTAGTGCGGTTTTGCGGTTTGCCCTGACCTTCTAAGGCCGAGGCAATTTTAAACGGAAAATTTTGAGCATCAATACAAGTCTTCCTTTCAAATGCTCAAAACATTAGAAAGCTTCCAATATAACCCCATGAAATGTATTTGAAAAGCCCTTTGAAAGCCACTTCCTGGGTGAAGTCTTAACTTTCAATTAACACGTGATAACAACTATATCATAATATCAAAGTGTATTCGTTCTAAGACAGACACCTTTAAGTAATCTCTCCTGGAATACTGTCACAAGACCCTTTTTCCTATTCTTACAAACTCACTTTGGCAACATTTTGCACGGAATCCATAGATTACAGCAAATCTAAATTTTTTTTCCAGAATTGTGACTGCGAATAAAAACTACTTTGTCAACTATATTATGCCTGCATGCAGTGAAGCAACCTGTATTTTGAAATGCTACAACGTTTTTGTTAGCCAGCTGGTGTTTTCTGTCAAGAAAATCTTGTTTTGACATTGAAAGGAATGACAAACCACAGAAATTATAAATAACTTGTTGCATGCAGTATGACATGCTGCAAATCATTCAAAAGTTATGAACAGGAGCAAATTCACTATCACTTTTTCCATAAGATGATAAAAATTGTCTGAAAAACTAATTCGATACTTTCTTTTCGTGCCATGTTCTTTTTGGGTTGGAAAGTAAGAAAGATAAATTTGAGAAGACTTTCAACTGAAACATATCAAGTGGCAGCTGACACATAATCTCATAATCGCAAACGGGCACCTCCGCTCGACTGCCTGCACTGAAATCTCATTTGAACACTCGCATTTCAACGCTGCATTTCACATTCTTGTTAGTAAGACTATGATGCAGTGACCAGGAATTAAAACTTTCATAGCCCACCCTTTTGCAGGTGGTCCGTTAGTATTTGGGAAGCAAACTCTCCCTAAAAGTTATTTCGATCCACGCTACGATCACTGACTCACCCGTTTACTAACTCAGCACCTGGAAAAGACGATTGCGAGTGTATAACCGAACCCAACCACAAGGTGTTGCTTCTCTTGTTTGATTACAATTCCTTCTAAGAACGCATCAATGAAAATGAATTAATTTGATCTATATACTCCTCCATCAGAACAATGTACTCAGAAATCAGACATCGTATTTGTGGTGGACTCTTCGGGGAGCATCTCCAGACGAAACTTTAAAAGAGAGAAACTATTCGTTGAAGAAGTCGCCTCAACCTTCAAGATGGGCCCCGACCAATCACAAATCGCCGTTATCTCATACAGCGAGAGCGCTCAAGTCGACATCAAATTCGGGGAATATACCAACGTTAACGATTTCACCGCTGCATTGGGCGAAGTGAGACATCAACGGAAAAGAACACGCATCGACTTAGCACTTAAACTTGCCGCCGAAAAAGTCTTCACCGCCGAGGGTGGAGCGCGTCCTAACGTCACCAAGGTGATGGTCATTTTGACAGACGGACAACAAACTGAGACGAACGATAGTACGCCGCTGGACGAGGCTGTACGGCCGCTTTTGGACATGAACGTGACCATTTTTGCTGTCGGTGTTGGGAGCGCTATCGATATTACCGAGTTATTAGAGTTGGTGGGTTACAGGGATGAGAATTTGTTCAGGGCGGAAAATTTTGATCAATTGGCAAGAGACAGTGTAAAGGTTGCTACTCAAACATGTAAACAACTACAGCCAGGTAAAATTGCTTATATCTTTTTTTATTGACATAAAGCCCATTGCTAAACTTTACAATATGAACGCCGGCGAGATGATAAACCCCAAGTTGCTTGTTTCTCGAGATTCTTTTATTTGACCCTTTACACTTTAACAATGGTATGCATATTCCCCTCACTTTTTTCTACTCGTTTCCTGTGGTATTAACACGGAGAATCTGTTAAACGATCAAGAGCTACTTAAGTTAGTGATCATATCCTTTATTCTCATGAGTGACTAAGAAAGAATTTCTCCTTACGATATAAATACAATATCAACAAGATAAGTGATGAGAATAAAGAACAATATCAATTTGGGAATAATTATTTGATCTAATACTAAATTCTCTGAACTAACATTAAAAGAATTGTATGGTTGACGGTAAAGAGAATTAAAAATTTGATCTGGGAGTGAAAGGGTTAAAGGGAAGTGTGCTCCGAAAGCTAATAGACTGTTATCTCCCCCACTGGTCCATAGATTGTTTCATTGATTGAACATTGATTGACAGTTAAGCTTTGTACTTTACATCACATTTCAGTCAGGAAAATCAATTTCAAAAGGAAAGGTCTAGTGTAATTTGCTAACCCGAAACAAGCCTTTAAGCTAACCTGTAGCCAGCGGCCCGCCACAGAAATCGAATAATTGCAGTATCGTCTCAATAAACAACAATCAAATTATACGATTTGTGGTGGATCAGTTCATCAGCATTAATTTCTCCGCGGAACAATGATAACAATCTTAAAATATCATCGCATTTCCTTATTCTGCTTAGATCTCACGGCTACTGAAAAAAAGTGCATCTTAAGGCATTTTAAATCAGCAATTCGACAGAGATCCCTAATTATGTAGCACTTACCCTTCCAAAGAGGGAGGAAATATTTCTGAGTTACTTCTGGTTATCATTAGGGATATAACTTAATATAATCAGAAGCGTTGCATCGAGAAATCGGGTTATTAATTTTTATGATATCGATAACGCTCTTCGAATCATTTGCGTTTCAGTTCATGGTAACTGGTCTGCTTGGGCAGAATGGAGTGACTGTTCTGCTTCTTGTGGAGGAGGGATCCAGGGACGTCGACGTTACTGTATAAATCCACCGCCCAAAAATGGCGGCCGAGATTGCTCTGGCAAAGGATACGATGTTCAGAGATGCAATACGCAAGGTTGTCCAGGTAAAGTGCCAAATAGTTGATGTTTATTAAGCTTCTCTTCCGGAAACAACCAGAATAGTGGGAGACGTAGAGATCATGAAATATATCTGGACTGGACTAGACTGCACTGGACACCGGATCGAAAGTTCCGGTTTCGATCTTTGAGAAAGACTCTCGATTCTTACAAAACGAAACGTTTTTTTATTTTATTTCTATCGTCCGTTTTTATTGATTTAAAATCACGATGTAGCGGTTTAATATGGGTGACAGTGGAACATTGTTCGTGTTATTAAGTGCAAAATTAAAATGAATATATGACAGAAAAGCAGGGGAAAACGATTTTCGATCAAATTCGCAAGAGTTTGATTTCTCGTGAGTAGACTCTAAGGTTGTAGTTTGTTGATAAAAAGAAAACAGAATGGGAATACAAAATTAACTAGGAATGGAGAAGAAGAAATGACCGCTAAATCAAAAGAAGCCCAAAAGTTATCTTTAGCTAAGACTTCGAAATACCAGAAGTGAAATCATGAAGCACCCCTGCACGAATATATCAGAGGATAGGATTAAAACGAACTTAGATCCTGCTCATTTGATTTGGTTCATGGTTCACTGATCTGGAAATCTGGAAATCTACCACAGTAAACGGATCTTGGACTGAGTGGAGTGACTGGGGTTCCTGTAGTCTTACCTGTGGTGATGGCGGAATCAAGAAACGTATTAGAACTTGCACCAACCCTCCCCCGGCCAACGGTGGATTGGAGTGTGAGGGAGCTGGGGAGGAGACAGAAGCATGCAAAGCTGGAGAGTGTCCAGGTATGTAGAATATCCGTTTACACATTTTTGCGAAACGTTTAAGCCTTTGACTACCTATATCAAAACTTCAATTCTCTGTCCTGTTTGTCATGCATTTCATATTGTTTTAGCTCCAAGAATTTGCTGTTTAATTGAACAGTAAACCATGACTACAATTTTTCTTTCTTCCTATTACATGTTTTAAAAATGTTGTAATATTACTCTTAGTAAATCTTAAGTAATAAAAGTTAAACAGCGTATATCCTCAGCAATTTTCAAAACAACTACCTATCAGAAAAATGGCAACAGATTGTCGCTATGTGAAGAGTGAAAGTTCCAGTGTTTCAAAAAACAATATGACGCTTTTCTACAGAGAATCCAAAAATCAAATCGAGGGTCATCATAACAGCCAATCAGGACAAAGGAAATAAACAGTAGCCAATGAGAACTCGGAGAAAAAATTAAGCAAACAGACCGAGGCGCTGGAATTCAAATTGAGTTAAGTTTTGAATATGAGTGATTGAGATGATGGCGCGACCTTCCTGGACAAATCACAAAGCGTGGCAAAGCAAGACCAAAAGAGTCTTGGATTATTTTCAACACTAAATAAAAAAATTTTTCTCTGTCAAGCGTTTCTCTATAGAACTTGCGATGACTCCGACAAAAACCGTTTAATAGAAGAAATGTCATCTAATTTTCTTTATAGTGGATGGAAAATGGGGCGAATGGAGTGACTGGGGTGTTTGCTCGAGATCATGTGGAACCGGAATTCAATCACGCTTTCGAGACTGCGATAATCCACCACCAGCACACGGAGGAAAGCAGTGTCCAGGGTCCAGCACGGAGACGCGCAACTGCAGCACAAATAACTGTCCAGGTACAAAATTGACTAAGGTCAAAGGAGTTACGTTATAAAGACAGTTTATACATTTCGATTAAGTATCGCAAAACCTAAGTACTCACAACAGCCAATCATGGCAGAGGATGGAATCACAAGGAGTCAATCAAAACCTAGTAACAAATAAACTGCCTGAAGCGCGAGAAAAGGCGAATGACTACCAGTTCTTTCAGTTTTGAATCTGATTGATTAAGGACGTGGTAGTAGGTTTCTGGATCAATTTACATATCGAAAAATGCAAAACCGAGGCAATACCAAGTTTATTCCGACAACCAGCGGAAAATTTCTCTAACGGAAGGAAACATTGAAATATTTAAGAGACCTTGTTGTTACAGAGAGACTTCAAGAAAGTAGGAACAGATCAAAGATACGAGAATGGCTAAGAATGTCCAAGATTAACACATATTTCAAATGAAGAACTTAAAAATTATCTTATAACAACGATACAAATCCTTTTAAGTCTAAAACAGCCCGAACGGTATTTAAGCAACCTCACTTGGAAGTGGAGTTTAAATTATATTTGGCAGCAGCGCATCTTGGAGAAGTTTTTCATCCATTTACCGCAAATTGGAAACCACCTCATAAAACACTTAAGAGTCCCGCATAAAGAAAATTTCATTTCTCTTTGTTTCATCGGTCGTTAACTATGGTTTCATAATGATGATAAGGGTCATGATATAAAACATACACCTGTTTGAAATCGTCAAACCAAAAAGGAAGTATGACCAGGTTCAAAATTTGATGATCTTTTTAATCTCTAGTGGACGGTGGGTGGACTGTCTGGAATCAATGGGGCAGGTGTTCGAAATCTTGTGGCGGTGGGTCACAAACCAGCTCTCGCACGTGCACAAATCCTCCCCCGGCACATGGCGGTAAAGAATGCAGCGGAGAAAGTGAACGGTCACGTGAATGTAACACGCAGCCCTGTCCAAGTAAGATAATAACATTAATTATCACATAAACTGCGGTGTTATACAAGGATTTCTGGCCCTGAGAAAAGCCGTAACAACACACGTGAAAAAATATCGTATTTTTTCACGTGTGTTGATATAGCCCATCAGCTGCTTATACGTCACTCGCCTTTGGCGCCACTCGGTCTGGTTGATGAATGAACGGCAAAGCCTTCACGATTCTCAATGCAAGTTGTTTGTCGGAGTTTTCTCCAATTATGGCGGCTAAAACACCAAAAAATCCGTATCGCTGGCAGACAATGAGGTTCAAACTTTCTTAGAAAGGGAAGAAAACCAATGTACTAAAAGAAAAACCGAAAGTTGCGTATTCAGTGGCTTCGGTGTTAGCATTTCTCTCGTCTGAGAATGAAAATCGACAACTGGAAGATTTGCTACTAGCCGATTTTGGCCGTTTACTTGAAAGACTTCTTCTGTCGGTAAGGACAAATTTAATAAATGAGAATTTTGTAAATTGAAAATTACGACCATTGTTGTTTTTGTAATCATGATTCAACGCATTTTTCCATCTGAAGAGTCAGCGCTAACGCACTATATGATTATTATTCGAGGATTGCCGATTCATTTATTTTCATTCATTAATGAAGTCGGCTTTTCTTCCCAATAAAGGGCTATTGTGTTTATATGATAAACAAAATAATACATGGTTGCTTGTAGATATGAAATTTCTCTTCTCGTGTTCAACTCGAAGAGAAATTCCATATCTACGCGCGCCCATGTATTATTTTCTATTTATTGTTTGACTGGCTCCAGGAAGAAAATTTGTGATTCCTTTACTTTGATGAATCTTTGTAATTTCTAGTCGACGGTAGATGGAGCGAGTGGAATCAATGGGGCACTTGTTCTAAATCTTGTGGCGGTGGAACACAGAACAGCTCTCGCACGTGCATAAATCCTCCTCCAGCACATGGTGGAAAAAATTGCAGCGGAGAAAGTGAACGAACTCGTGAATGCAATACGCAGCCCTGTCCAAGTAAGAGCAACGATTCCTCTTAAATACATTATTCCTTCACATCAATCGTTAATCGATTACTGGAGGCTCAAGACTAAACCTCAAGAAAAGTCTTTTTGTCGCGTCCACTATATCAAGTCTTTCAAGATAAATGTAGGGCAACATCGGTAATCCTGATTAGAACGAATCATGCTCTAAACAATTCAACCTTCTGTAAATAGTCTTAAGAGACTTCCTTGGGTAAATGCAAACGCACATCAGTGAATTTCATCGGTCCCTCGGCTATCTAATATGAGTGAAGCTCGAGTTATCAGTGGAAGGGAACCTGACCATCAATTAGGCTCGTCCGCATGTCCTATTGAAAACGTTAAGCTGTTAAATAGTTTTACGGTTGAGCTGAACTGGCAAAAAAAATACTTTTAAGTAAATAAGTACTTTTAAAAAAGCACAACCCAGCCTTGTGAATGAGTTGAGAAGGTGGAACAATTTTTTTTTTCGCTAAAGGAATTCTTAGATATGGAAATTTAGCACCAAAACTTCTCTTAACGAATGTTAGTTTTTTAGGTTCGTCATCAATTTCCCTAAAATCACTTTTGACATGGTAATTGATTTTAATCAAGAGAGAAGGAGCTTTCTGTTACTATCCTAGTTGTTACTGATCCTATGCACATAGAGTCTTAACATGATAGTGTTTCCTTAACAGTTGATGGTAGTTGGAGTGATTGGAGAGAGTGGGGTCCTTGTACAAAATCCTGTGGTGGTGGAGAACAGAGGAGAACACGAAGTTGCACCAATCCATCACCTGCATTTGGTGGTAGAAATTGCATTGGAGAACGACAACAGACACAAACCTGCAATCAGAATGTGTGTCCAGGTGAGCTATTTCTTCTTCAGCTAAATCTAATTCTGCTGCTCGGTTACCTTGGCTATGACTTCTGCAAGTAGTTCAACACTGCACTACACTACCATTTCCTTTTTTTTGAAGACACCTGTTGTAAGTCAACGGATAACTTTGTCAGCTATTTTTTCTCACAAAGATAAGGATCAATGTCAGTATCTAAGGCACTGCATACCTACCCCTCCCCTAACACAACCTTAACCTTAACTTGTTATCACTCGACTGCTTTTGGCTCAGGGAGGGGAAGGTATGCAGTTGCTGAGTTACTGACTTTCAAGAGGTAAATAAGCAAAGAAATTGAGATAAAGTTTTAATTTTTATCTACTACCATTCTAGTGGACGGTCAGTGGAGCCGCTGGACGGACTGGACTATTTGTTCCAGGACATGTGGAATTGGACTCAAGAAACGCTCTCGAACTTGTACAGAACCAGCACCTGCTCACGGAGGCAAGGGTTGTGAGGGATCAGTGGATGAAACACGGGAATGTAGCGAGAGAATTTGTCCAGGTTAGCGTGTGATCCGTTCTTCAGCGAAATAATAAAACCTTTCCTTCCAGGATTTGGAAACCAACGTCGGTTTCTGTCGAGAGTTTTAATTTTCATGAAGGGCTTTCCGGATTAATGGTGGTTTTATCAAATTTCTTGCACAGTTGACGGTGGATGGAGTGAATGGAAGGGCTGGACGCTATGTTCAACTTCATGTGGTAACGGAACTCAAGAACGTGAACGCTCGTGCACAGAACCGCGCCCAGAATTTGGTGGGAAAGATTGTGATGGTATCAGTCGGGAAACCAAGACATGTCAAACAATACCATGCCCAGGTTAGTTTGTTATTTTAATGGATTCATCGAGTAAGATCCACTTGTACGAATAAAACTTCTATCAAATTGGGAACATCAGACATGTTTCTTTTTAACAGTGCATGGTCAGTGGAGTGAGTGGAAGGAGTGGACATCCTGTTCAAAGACTTGTGGCACTGGAACACAAGAAAGGGAACGTTCGTGTACCAATCCGCCCCCAGCGTTTGGTGGGGAGGATTGCGTCGGCTTGGGAAGGCAAATTAAATCATGCCAGGAAAAAATTTGTGCTGGTAAAAGAAATCAAATTGCTCTATACATATTGATTCAAAAGCAATCTAGGTGAACAATTTCAACAAATTCATGCCTCTCACCTTGAAGTTATTTTCCCTTTTTTGTTCCCCAGTTCACGGAGGCTGGAGTCCCTGGAAGGACTGGGGCCCTTGTACCAAAACATGTGGATCTGGACAACAAACAAGAGAGCGAAAATGTGATAGCCCCAGGCCAGAACATGGAGGAAGACCGTGTGAGGGGTCTGGAGAACAAGTGCGAGTGTGCAACACCAGGCAATGTCCAAGTAAGATTCTCACCGTTGCTTAACAATTTTCCTGTAATTTCAAAAATACCTGTGGGAAACTGGTAGCCCAGCGGTTAGTGCGCAAACTCCGGGCTGAGAGGTGTGGTTTTAAGCCCTAACGTAGTCACCGTGTTGTGTGTTTAGACCCAGGGGTATGGCTGAGGTGCGGCCAAATGTCAAGGAAGCCTGGCGAAACGTAGGGTGGGGGAGGGGGGAGGGGTTAAGGGGAAGAATGGGGCTGCCTGCAATGCAGTCGCTTCAAGGTACAAAAATCAGAATAAGCTCCAACGACTTGGCTCGATTGTAAACTTTATTTTACTTTATTTAGAGTTATATTGCTTCTTATCTACCAACAATGTTTCTAACAATAAAAGAAAACTATACGTTAACCGAATGATGCCAAGTAAGTTTCACCTTTGGTTTTTGTACACAGTTGATGGACAGTGGAGTGAATGGAAACCTTGGACAGAATGCACAAGAACTTGCGGCGGAGGAGTTCAGACGCGTGCCCGCACGTGCACTCAACCCAGTCCCGCGTATGGGGGAAAAGATTGCGAAGGTCGTATAGACGAGACTAGACCTTGTGGCACTGACGCATGTCCAGGTAAACTGATGTGGAAAAAAGCCTGACATGAGATAATTGATATTTGATACGAGAGTTTATTTGCAATATGTACGAGGGAATATTCTAAGAAGTATTTAGAGCAAGAAATGAATGGGAAAGGAAATGTCACCTAGAGGGTCTACCTTACATATTTTTGCGAAACGACATCCTCAGATGTCAAGTAGTGTTTGAATAGGCTTCATCTCACAGAAATTATAATTCCGATGTCATCCGTAGTTGGAACAAATGTGGAACGAACAAATTGAAGATAATGTATCCATGGCGATTTCTAAAGAAGTACTTACAAAAGTGTGAAGATTATATGAAATAATTCATATTTGTACTGCGGTTGTAGATGAAAGTGAAATGTGATCATCGCAGTAAATTTTCCAATTTAAGCAATTGGAGAGAAGAAGCCTGAAAAAAATCAGGGCTTCAACGGGATTCGAACCCGTGACCTCCGCGATACCGGTGCGATGCTCTACCAACTGAGCTATGAAGCCACACATTGGGAGCGAGGTCAATTTATTGAGTTCATATCTTCCCGTGCAGTGAAATGATGTGAAGATTATATGAAATAATTCATATTTGTACTGCGGTTGTAGATGAAAGTGAAATGTGATCATCGCAGTAAATTTTCCAATTTAAGCAATTGGAGAGAAGAAGCCTGAAAAAAAATCAGGGCTTCAACGGGATTCGAACCCGTGACCTCCGCGATACCGGTGCGATGCTCTACCAACTGAGCTATGAAGCCACACATTGGGAGCGAGGTCAATTTATTGAGTTCATATCTTCCCGTGCAGTGAAATGATGTGAAGATTATATGAAATAATTCATATTTGTACGGGAAGATATGAACTCAATAAATTGACCTCGCTCCAGTACAAATATGAATTATTTCATATAATCTTCACATCATTTCACTGCACGGGAAGATATGAACTCAATAAATTGACCTCGCTCCCAATGTGTGGCTTCATAGCTCAGTTGGTAGAGCATCGCACCGGTATCGCGGAGGTCACGGGTTCGAATCCCGTTGAAGCCCTGATTTTTTTCAGGCTTCTTCTCTCCAATTGCTTAAATTGGAAAATTTACTGCGATGATCACATTTCACTTTCACTTACAAAAGTGTTAAAAATTTGAGCCGTAAAAGCAACCGTTATGATTCGGAACTTGGATTTTAATAGTAGGTCCTTACGTGGGTAAAAACAACTGATGAGGAGAAAGGTGGTAAGTTAGAAGACTATCGCGTGATGTTGTGACACCGAATTCTTAATCTATTTATGAAATGATTTCAGTCGATGGAAGCTGGACCGAGTGGACAGAATGGCGGGAATGTTCCAGGTCCTGCGGCGGTGGATTCCATTCTCGATCAAGAACCTGTACCAATCCCCGCCCGAAACATGGTGGGAAAAACTGTTCGGGAAGACCTGATGAGACTCGGCCTTGTAACACGCAGACTTGCCCAGGTGAAAAATCTTACCAAAATCAAGAAAAAATATCGAAAAATTGTAGGAGTGAGAAGTGTTTTTTTAGTTAAAATAGTAACCGACTTTGGTTTCTCTCACACATTTGGCGTGTTTTTTTTTTTCCTTTAAAGACAATAAAGCCGTAATTTTGTAAATGAGCGCTCAGTTCTGTAGCGTCGGATCATCAACAAAAAATTGGTAAAGGGCATCGCTGCATCGACATTTCAGTAACCAAATTTGCCTTCTTGCTTAAATATGTTTCATTTTCACAGTGGATGGCCAGTGGAGTGACTGGACTGACTGGACGGCCTGCTCAAAGTTGTGTGGTACAGGTGAGCGAGAGAGGACCAGAACCTGTACCAAACCGGCCCCAACCAATGGCGGAAAACAATGCTCTGGTCGAGATCGGCAGACACAGGAGTGTAATGTTCAACCATGCACAGGTACGTTATAGCTAAAACAAAATTTCTAGAGAAGTGTTTCTACGAGACTCTGATTTATTTAGACTAAGAGAAGTCCCATTTTTCGACGAAGTCTGTTTCACGAGTCCAAAAAATATCGGCGGAAAAAGAATTTGATTTTTGCGCGCCGCTCGGATCTCTGAGGCGAAATGCAAGAAAAGTTTTTCGTGTGCCTCACATCCATAGTTCCGTGCGCCGAGCGAATATCCCTTTGTTATTCGCTGAATTTTTTTGACTCGTAAGATGGACTACGCCAAAAAGGAGGGACTTCTCATAACCTATGATTTGTGCCAAACATGAAGCTAAGGGATAGAACGCCCGCCATATTGGGTTCGAGCAGTTTCGGTATCAATGAATGACGAGGTACAATGAGAGTCGGATTTTCTTCGCGTTCTTTTATAAATATCCTGAACCTTTATAGTGGAATTGAAGCAAAACATTTAAGTAGTCTTGGAAAAAAAAGTTAAAATCAAGTGAAAGCGAGAATATTGTATACTTGATTTATATCGAAAAAAGGAACACAAGGCCTTGACATTTTTTCCTGCGCAGACCTACTTTTTTAAAGCTTCAGAATCGAACGGAAGCGATGTAAGATCGCTAACCATATCCTTCTCCTTTGATAACTAGGTTGTTCTGAAATCGCTGATATTGCCTTTCTGGTGGATGCGTCGGAAAGCATGACAGAAAAAGACTTTGAAAAAGAGAAAGACGTCATCAAGAAAGTTGCAGCTACCTTCGACGTCGGCGAAACTAAGTCCCACCTCGGTCTCATCTCATTCAGCAGTAACGCAAACATCGACGTGAAATTTGGAGACCTTTTGGACCTGCGCAGTTTCCAAGACGAAGTCGACAAAATTCCATTTTCAGCCGGTGGCACACGATTTGACAAGGCGTTCGGCGTAGCGGCCAACGGGCTGTTCTCTCCTAACGGCGGAGTTCGCTCTAATCTCCCCAAAGTCCTGATCATCCTTACAGATGGCAAGCAGAGCGCTGATTTTGATGCTGTGCCAGTGGAGAAAGCGGTGCTTCCCTTGCGCCATCTTGGCGTCCGGGTTTTCGTCTTAGCAATCGGGAGCCAAATCGACATGGTAGAGCTTCAACAAATGGTAACAAATCCAAAAGATATTCTCGTAGTGAATAAATTTGACGAGCTGTTAGATGACGTGAAAAAGATTGGAAACAAAACTTGTGAAACCATCAAAAGACCCGGTAGGTTGTTGAAGAATGAAGCTTTTAGAGAATGTACATTAGCTTAGACCAGATCCTCATGTTAACGAGGCATACACAAATTAGGCAACCGCATACTAACAGTGTAGCCAAAGCATATGTATATAGCTTTGTAATCCAATGGATGTTTAAAGCATATACTCCAAACCAGGCAGAATGGAAGAGCAGTAAAGCTTTGTTGTCGTGCCCAGGCCCAAATGTATCTGTAGTCAATCCACTCGATCGTGAGGGATCTGAGGAGGAGACTAGATAGAGAGATTGGCTTAAAACTTTGAATATAAATACTCCTAAACACAAAGCAAAGGAAATATCCAAGAAAGGTAACTAAAACTTCTCGTTTACCCGTACCTTGCCTACGTCCTTGGGCGTTGACTTGGGACAGTTCTTGTAAAGTTCCTATTACTTATGCTTGTGCCTGCTCGAGCAGAGTAACACTTAGTTCCTTTAGAAGCATTGGCACAATAACTCTGGCCCTAGCTGCGTGAACGATATAAAACATTAACGAAATTCGGTGAATAACTGTTTGCAGAATCAACTGCTCACATAATTAAAACTAAAATTCTAGGTATTGATTTTTTTCTTATATCACTCTGAACTCAGAACTTCTCTGCACCGAAAAGGCTGATGTTGCTTTTCTCATGGACGGGTCTGAGAGCATGACAGAGCAAGATTTTGAGAAGCAGAAGGACTTTGTAACAAGAGTTGCTGAATCATTTCACATGACTCCAACAATGACTCAATTTGCCCTCATCACCTACAGTAGCAGCGCAAACCTGCACATTCGGTTCAAAGATCACATGAATCAGAGCGCTTTTAGCACGATAGTAAGACAACTTCCCTTCGCGGCTGGTGGAACACGATTTGACAAAGCTATCAAGCTCGCAGCGGAGAACGTTTTCACAGAAGAAAGTGGAGCACGGCCTGGTGTGCCAAAGGTTATGATCATTCTCACAGACGGGCAACAGAGTCAAGAATACGACGCCCTACCTCTACAACAAGCTGTCCTTCCATTGCACCGCCTCTCGGTCCAGGTTCACGCTGTCGCGATCGGCAATCAAGTCAAAATGGCGGAGCTACGCAAGTTAGTACAGAAAGAAGAGGATATTTTCAGCATAAAGGACTTTGATAATTTGGTTGACAAGTCTCGCCAATTGGCCAGGAAAACGTGCGATATCATAACGCGTCCTCCTCAAGGTAACTACGGCTGTTATGGCCTTAAAAAAAATGCAAAAACTTCATACCTTTTCCTTCTAAGTAACTTTCCGTCAAGATATCGCCAATTCTCTGGCCACTGCTTGGTTAAAATTTCTCTGATAAAAAGTATTTAAAGCTGTGCAAAAAATTTTGAACTCGGTAGTCGATTAACCTAGCTTCACATCCTAACTTAAGCATGCATATTCTCCATACATTTTCTAAGGTGTTGACAAGGAGAATTTGTCTAGCAATCAAGAGCTTCTTCAGTTGATGATCATTTCCTTTATTCTCGTGACCTAAATGTGCAATTCAGGAGTGATATTGTACGGAGAAATTAGATGCAAGTCAATCTTAGAGGTCAAAGAGTTGAAAAGGACTTTTTAAGTTTAATTTCTCAACTCATCATCTTCCATTTTTCCTCGTGTCTTTTCAGTTGTGAAATGTTCTGATGACACAGACGTTGCCTTCGTAGTCGACACATCTGGAAGCATCAGTGACGAGAACTTTGTTAAACAAAAAGACTTCATCAAAGTTCTTGCCTCTGCATTCGATCCCTCCATAGAAGACCATCAGCTTGGTCTAATATCATATAGCAGTGACGCCCAAGTAGAAGTCAGCTTTCGAGACAAAGCCGATGCAGCACAATTCGAAAGCGCCGTCGACCGTGTTCCACATACGAAGGGGCGGACGCGCCTTGATAAAGCGTTGGCGTTAGCGGCTACTCAAGTGTTTTCCACCAGCGGCGGCACACGCTCGGGAAAACGTAAAATCATGGTGATCCTTACAGATGGACGACAGAGTCAAGATCCAGATACGATACCCCTTCAGGAAGCTGTCAGTCCTTTACGAAAGCTTGGTGTACGCGTTTATACAGTGGCAATTGGAGACGAAGTCGATCTTAACGAACTTTATCAAGTTACTGAAGGGAAAGAAGATGTGTTCCCCGTCAGTGATTTTGCTAACTTGGCTAACATGGCAACCGACATTGCTTTGAAAACGTGCAAAGTAAAACCTTTCCAAGGTAAGTATTTTTATTTATTATATCGCTGGCAGCGCCCGTGGGCAAGATGAAGCGAATCCTGTGTTCTAATTGGCTATCTGCGCGGGCAAGAAAGGCCCATATTGCCCTCTCGGGGTTGTCCGCTTTGATCTCTAGGAAATGAAAAAAAGTTGCGTGTTGTAAACTGACAAAGTTTGTTTACGAAGTCCAAAATAATTGACTGATTATTTTTATTTATTGTATGAAGCTGAATGTAAAGAACGCATCAACTTGGCTTTCGTTATGGATATGTCAAGTAGCATCACAGCCAAAAACTACCCAAAACAAAAAGACTTTATCAAAAGAGTGGCAGACACATTTTCGATCTCAGAGACGCAGACGGACGTTGGTGTTATCACTTACAACCGGGAAGCCAAGTTATGGATCAGTTTCGGACAGTACAACAACAACAACGAATTTAAAGATGCTGTTGACAAGATTCCATACTGGGGAGGTCAAACGCGAATCGACAACGGTCTTGAAATGGCAGCTGTTTCGCTTTTTGGTGAGTTGAAAGGCGGACGCGAAAAGCTCCCAAATGTGCTGATTCTACTAACGGACGGCCAGCAATCTTCAGATCTGAAAGCTACGCCTTTAGAGGAAGCCGTGGTGCCGTTGTTTCAGCTCGGTGTTAAGGTGTTTGCTGTTGGGGTTGGTGACCAGTTCTCGCGCGATGAGCTAAGGTTGATTGTTGAAAAGGATCGCGACATCTTCACTGTGAATGATTTTGATGACCTGCTCACGAAATCTCACGAGATTGCTCGCACAGCCTGCGACGCAGCTGAAAGTAAGTGTTTTAGAGGTGTTGCTTAATCATATTTGCTGACTTAATGATTTGAAAGTAAGTGCTCGAAACAGTTGTCATCATCATATGCCAAGGCTGCCAGGGCATTTGGGATTGTACTGACTTGGAAGGTTTTAGAATCTTGGTGTACTATGATGTCAATTATACTCGTCTTTTGCCAGGGCGACCCAGCATTCTTTAAAAAGTATTTGTTTCATTTCTCCCGTTCTAATCCGTCATAATTTTTCAGATTCACAGGGATCAGCCGGTAATTACCAGCCAAAGTCTTGTTTCAAAAACATAGACGTCGGATTTACTGTCGACTCTTCAGATAGCGTCAGCGAACAGGGATACCAAAAACAGAAACAGCTTGTTCAGCGGCTCTCCTCCTTTTACGATATCTCAAAACAGGACACCAGGATCGGAGTTGTAATATACGGTGATAAAGCTTTCACTACCATCGGGATGAACAGTTACCGCGACTCCTCCATTCTCCAGCGTGCTGTAGGATTTCTACCCCGTCTCGGTGGAGGCAACAGAAAGGAGAAAGCCTTGGTTGCAGCTAGGAAGATGTTCAAGGCAAAACGACCACCAAGCCAGTCGGGAGCTTCACAGCCAACCAAAGTTCTAGTCTTCATTACAGAAGGCCCGCAGTCTGCCACAGAATCTGACACATTCTCATTATACCACGCGGTTCACCCGCTCGAGAGAAACGGAGTCCGTGTTATTGCGGTGGGGATTGGGTCCAAAGTGGTATATCAGGAGCTCAGAAGCCTTGTGCTAGATTCCAATGACATTTACCTGACAACGTCATTGGATGACGTAGACAAAGTATCACGTGATCTGATCAAGCTGATTTGTAAGGTAAGTTGAGATTTCATTGTAACGCTAAAAAATAATCTACCAGCTGGCTTTGTCGATTGCAACATCTTTCTTCAATCCTTGAACCCACTTTCCGAGCTTAAGATTCACCATCTAACTTGTGGCTTTCCACATTACTGATCCTGCCAGTTTGCTGGATGTGATATCGACCTATTAATGGAAGATGATTTGGTTCCATCAACTTAGTTGATAATGTAAATTGGCCACTGTCAAGAGTTTTTAAAGCGGACGTTTCGAGCGTTAGTCCTTCGTCAGAGCGTTGGCAGTGCCTTAAGGTGATTCTATGGGGCGCCGAATCAATCAATATTCCCTCTGTATTTCTATGACCCAGTTTACTATTTATATGGACAATTCGACTCTTAATATGGTCAACTCGACTTTTTATGTGATCAACTTTTTACTATTTATATGGTTGATTCGACTTTTTAGCTAACGATCAAAGCCCTGACCTCCTCCCCCATCCTCTTCCCCCCCCCCCCCTTCAGTCCTATAGGGAAATCTGCAGCGTTTTAGATAAAAATTGCTAACACCTTTTCTCAATTTTCTCTTTGCAGTATTGAGATGACGAATAACATCAAGAGGCGAGTGGATTCCAGTCACATCCTATATTGGTGGCAGCTAAGAACATTTCACAAAATGACAAAATAAATCTGGTTTGGAAAATATATTTGTGGATACAAAACCTCGTACCATCATCAACAAAAATCAAGTGACGTCTAACTGTATCGTACTCTCCAATTTGGGAAAGTTTCTGATTGGTTACGTAACGGAAGCTTTTTGTTGGTTTCCCTATCTTGTCATCTAGTCAAAGAGGAAGATACTACATAAATATGACTGGCGTCATCCTTCTTCTGACGCGCGTGGCTTGATTTTGTATTAGTAGAGAAATGAAGGAAATCCATTTCGAGATGTTACTGGTCAATCAGAAACTTAATCAACTGAAGCGGTACAGTCCTTTTCTCCGCAAGATTTTATAAACGAGACAATAAGCTGAAATTTGTTGAAACAGGCAGATTTTCAGAAGAACTGGTAATATTACATGCTACAATTAATTGATATGATTTTAAATATACAATATATGTATTTTTTTGTAAGTTGACTACGATCAGAACGCTTTGGTTGATTGTGACAAAGCGGATCAGGAAGATAGTCATTGAATATTTTTGACTAAATGTAACGCGCGTAAATTACATCTCTTGACGTGCACTGCCAAGAAATTATTTTACAAGCAGCTTTCCTTTCAGAAATAAATGAATTAAGACACAAGGAAATAGTTGAAATTATTTATTGTCATTTGATAAAAATAAGAGTTTGGTATTTTAAAACTGCTGTTGAAAGGATTTGTAAATAATCCAATTAAGACATTGTTAGGGAATAAAAAGAATTGACCTTAATCCATGGTATGTTTGTTTATAAAACGGTTGAAATTGTAACGCGTGGAGGCGTTTGCGATCAAACTAAGTAAAGGCTGGAGGCGGAGAACCTGAACGCTGTTCTATTTAACAAATAAAGAAGCCTTGATTGTGCTCTGTTCTGATGTAAAGTACACCCGAAGCAGCTAGCGCACGAAAGAAGTGTAAAAAGAAACAGGAGACGTAGTTCTTGAGTGCTCCAGCCGCTTCCAAGACTACATTTCTTTTCCCAAGATTGAAGTGTAATGTAAAGACAGAAAAAAAAACAGTCTGTCAATTCAAGATTTTATTAAAAATTCTTCAAGTATTTTTCATAAATAAGCATTGAATATTCTGGTTGCCTGAAAGTCTGGAACAGACTCCATGCAACAACCATAATTTATTCACAATTTAATATAAAATTCAACAAAATTTTTCAAATCACTTTTTACAAGTGATGGAAACTTTTCATTCTTCTGTTCCATTGATGCGTCATATCTATTCCAAAATTTTGCATGCATTTGAAGCCAATTGAATTGAAATGCATTTATTTAGCAATGTTTAGAAAAGAAACTAATAAATTGAAAATGACTATCTATTATATACTTTACATACTTTCCTCTTCTCTTTCTAGGAATGGGACTATAGTAAAGTGTAATTACAAACTACTGGCATTCTCACACTTTACTGCAATTAGCATGCAAAAGAAAAAAAGCAAAAGAATTCACAAAGATGAACAAACAAACTTCTAGTCACCTGAATAAGTACTGTGCAGATACACTTTAAAAAAAGTCAACATCAGCAAACCCAACTTACAGGTTTAAATCTCATGACAAGGACATCCCAACTAAATAAGTTTGAGAAAGAATGAGTTTTCCTCCAATGGCACATAAACATTACGCTGAAATTTTCTCTTATTTGGGTCACCATATGAGGAGAACAGAACAAGTTTTCAATTCAAAGTGAATGCAAATATCTTCATAAACAGCTTAAGGCAAGCCAGCTAGCAAAGCGTAAATTTACCATCTACAAACAACACAATTGTTATGGCCTTACTTGAGCTTAAGTGACATTTTAAAATAACCAAATCCATCAATCTTTTGGGAGCTGGTTCTAAGGTCCTTTCCATGAACCCTTTCACTTAACATATCAGAGGAGTAATCCTCCCTTTGGACTCCATGAAAATTAGTAGAGAGAACTTGGTGTTATTTCAAGATTTCATCCTCTAGATGATGAGTTGGTCTGTTCTTATCACCTGATTACTTAACAATGTATTAATATTGTAGAGAGAGGTTCCGAATTAATAATCTCTGGGATTTATGTGTACAATTAAGGTTGGGTTGTGTTGAAATAATCTGAAGAGCAACTATTGGCAATGAAAGTAATAATACAAAAAAAAAAAATACTCAAAAGTGACATAAACGAATTGTCTTCAAAGCTGAAATTGAGATGGGTACAGAGTTCTCATGCTAAAAATAAAACATGAGAAATATAAAATAGCTCCGATCTGCGTAATAATACATCTTATATTGAGCAATGATTTTTGTTTTTCAACCCCATCACTCAGACTTCAATATATGATCATGATATTATTAATATTTTTACCAAAAAAAATATGCACAAGAAATGAAAAGGGAAAAGTGAAAAAACCCCAAGACTGACTTGTGTCCACTTTCTCCGGACAATTTCTAACACATTCATATATACCTGTGAGAGAATTTTTTTTTCAAGATTTTGAATTAGTACAGTCAGAGTACCAGTATTTAGAAATTGTTGTGCCAGCGAGGACCAAATTCTTCTCATTTTTGGTGATCAGTTGGTTCATTTGTTAATGAGCTTGAGGTATTTGGAAGGGTATTTTCAGTCTTGGAAAATTCACATTCCTCAATGATAGCAACTTCTTGGACTGTATCAGAACACATGTCAATGCCGCTGTCAGCCAATGAGAGAGCATCTGCATCACCAGTGGGAGAATTATCTCCATTCCGGTCTATGTAGACATCTGTTTCACTGAGATTATCAGCACTCCCCATAAAAGATTCAGTGTCGAGACTATCAAATGAAATGTCAAATTGGTCAGTTTCATCCACAGTTGATTCTTGTGCACAGAGTTCCTCATTACCATGAATCAGTTCCTTGCAGTTACACTGGCAGTTGTCTCTTTCATCCTCAAAGCCTCCATTTGTTGGTTCTCTTTCATCTTCAAATTCTCCATGAGATGTCTCTCTTTCACCTCCTCTTTCTTTGTTTTCAGTATGAATACCATCAACTTTTCCATTCAGCAGATTTGGCATTGAACCACTCTTTTGTTCCCCTATTTCGAGCTTTCCTTTGTGCTTTAGAGATTTTAGCCGAGGCCTTTCATTCGACTGTCTCAATTTAAGCCACTGTCTTACACTCCTTTGTATTACTGTGGCTGCTTTCTTTAGTTTCAAAAAATGGCGCCTTTCTCTGAAACGTTTAAAGGCAGCTTGAATGATTCTTACTGCATTATCTAACACAGCTTCTTGAAACTTCTCAATTAGTTTGTTACAGGCACTGTAATCTTCTTTAGATGCCAGTGATTCTTGATTATTTTGAAGACTATTTTCATCCTTTGTGTTGTATGCACAATCCACTTTATCTTTATTGTATAAATCTATGCTCTCATGCCCTCTTTCTAAATCCTTTTCATTGCTCCCAACCCCTGCTGAATTGCGGTCACTCTCATCACCTTTAATTGTGTCATCTTTTGCATTTTCACCTTGTTCTGAGATTGGCTGCAGGGCCCTGTCAACAACACAAATCAGACAAGCAAGCATGAGTCACTTTGCATGAATGTTCTCTGTGTCAAAAATCTCTGACATTCTTCAATATTTAACATGCATTGCTTTTGACAAAAATTGCCTTATCAGAATTTGTCTTTACAAATAGAAATTGTACAACATTGTCTGTTGTTTATACTCTACTCGGGTAATTAACCCTGATTTTGTTTTCGTTTCACTTTCCTGTCATCTGTGATCTAATCGACAAGATATAAATGGAAATGAACTGTATTTGTTTTTGTTTTCCTTTAAGCAATGATTATGCTCAACAGTTTCTGCTGGTGAAAAGGCAACGTGGCTGTCTTCAGAATTCAGATCTGTAACAGTTGTCAACTTTACTCAATAAACATCTAGCAAGTGACAACTAGCTCTGCCAGAGGCTAGCAGAGCATAGCATTGTGATAATCTAATGAATAGCCAAGTTATTAAAATTAGGCTTAAAGGAAGCACACATGGTATCAATAACAGGAAATCAAATGCTTAAGCTTGTGAGGAAGAGGTACAAGATGCTAGCCAGCACTGTGTAAAAATTAAACCGTTTCCAATCAACAGTATAAAATTTTGAAGCTATATATGCGTGAGAGAAGTCACAGATGATACAGCATAAAAGTTTGTAGCTAGACATGATTGAGAGAAATCAGAAATGATTCAGAATTGACTAGCAATTAGTAATGTTTTTTTACAAAAGTAAGCAATAGCTGTTTGCGGTTTTTTGAGGAGAACACTCCTGTGACCGAATGTCATCAGTGTTACACAACGATGGAAATCTGATGTGTGGTTTCGCCACTGTAAACCAATACGAAGTTCATTAAAAACAATAGGTCCACGTGTTTACCATAGAGAAAGAAAAACCGCCTACTATTTTTGTGAATCACAAGCCACATCCAAAATCCTTAGGGGTAAAACCGACCACAAACTATTGTGTAGTTGATGGTTCTAGAAAATTAATGCCAAAGTGTTGTTTTGGGCGACAAAACTCTCATGGCAGGCGACAACAATTCTAAACACAGCGAGGAGTTCAACTTGTTTACCCAGTTGACAAAAAATAAAACCAATATACGTCGCAAATCGAATTAAAAACCTTCTGCAAAAATAATGTGTTCAGGATTATTAAAATTAAAGGAATTTATCCTCGTCAAGAATCGAAATTGTTTAGCTTCTGTGGTTTGGCAAGTTATTAAATATGAATCGAAAATCATTGTGTTTTGAGGATCGATGAACGATTTCATACGCGTGCCCAAATATTCTTCCCATAATAAAAATTCGAAGTGGTCTCGACTCAACACTTAAGGAAGACCAATACAAAATATTTAAGAAAGAGAAGCTTTCGAACAGCCGCCAACTACAAAGGGGTTTTACCCGAATATTTTCAATTTCGTGCCTACACAGATAAAACCGGGGATTTTTAAAGAGAAAGAAATTCACCTGACCGATGAAATTAACAAGCAAGCGTTCAAATTTGGATTTCGTTCGTTAGATGTTTTCAAGAAATATAAAAAATCTGAGATGAAATTCATATCCAGTCGACGAATCGACTCTTTGCGATATTGAAGAACTACGAGAAACCATCTGCTGTAACATATTTTTTTGCAAAAATAATTCTCAACGCCTATCATTTACGCTAAAACATTCTGCAAACGCATACATCTGAAATACCAGTAATAATGCATCTTTGTGATATTAGAGTTGAACAACTTTTGTTACACAATATGATGCGATGTTTGCCTCTGGAATCCACGGGGAGTTCATTACCGTGCAGAATATCTGCGAACATGACGAAGGATGTGAAGTATCAACAATTACTTTTGATTGCCGCCAATTCAAGTAAAACTACTCGATCCAACATGCAGAAAAAGGTTTTGATCTTGCCACAAAGGGGAGATGATAAAATAAGAAAAACATACCTCGTAAAATACTTCCATCTCCATCTCCAATTACTCTGTTTTTGACGAAAACTGCGTTTGACAGCGGGAAAACACTTTACAGTGCTCGCTTCCAGTACATTCGGTTCACTTTCAGGCGTAGAAAAGTTCTCGCGATGTCTTTTCTTATTTTCTTCCGAGGGAGAATTCATTGACTTTAGCGCTAGCGGACCCAAATGTCGAGCAATACGTGTTGGAAGCCAGGTTTATACTGTTGTAATCTGGCACCAGAGAGTTCTAGCACTGTTTTCAAACACGATCTCCGTTTGTACGTACGGGAAGTAGGGGAGGGAATATTTCGAACTTTGAACAGAATTTGAAATTTGAGTATTGCTGTCCAGGCTGCGCGCAGTCACATCTGACCGATGTTGACAACATCTGCTCTTAAGAGCTTTCAACAATCAAGTTCTGACATATCTTTCAAGTTGATACAACAATTGTACCACTTTAAGCAAGTTCGAAACCAATTATTCCTTATTTGGCGAAGATCGTTTATCAAAAACAGATCATCGAAAAACTCTCGACCAAGACGTAAAAATAGGATTAGGTCCCAGCGCTCTCTCAAGATGGCGGCTGCAGGGCCGATAGCGGATGCTGTGATTGCGGCAATGAGTAAGTTTTATTGCGGAACTTCCCAGTTATCTCTATAGTAAAATCAAAATCAGTGAATTTCTTTACTCTTGCCATTTGGTCATGTTTAATGAAACATCATATCTCGTGATATAAGTGTGACTGCCCCTGATGGGCACCAATGCATCTAAAAGGAAACTTTCACGGATACGAAAGATCAATTTTCGTAGACTTTTTCATGCATTGCGAGTGTCGTTAATAGAGCTCTCAAGTCTGGTGCGTTAAGCGTGAGATTCACTTAAATCCAAGACTCACGCTAAAAATATTATTTATCACTTATTAGTGAGGTTTGTCAATTCTACTGTTCATTTTGAGATAGCAAACTGCTACTTTAGTTAGTACCAATATAATTAATTTATCCTTTTAAATATAATTTATTCCTTGTACCCTCTGTACTTGCTTTGAGCACTTTCAAATTGACTTTCAAAATGGAAATTCTTTCTCATAGCTAAGGAAAGCATTCACAGGTGATTTTTTTCACAATTTGCAAGGGAGCATACCCCCATACACCCCCCCTTAGATAGGATATGCCCAGGGCATCTCACTCTTAACCAGAAAATTAACTTGAGAGCTCTGATTACAACACAAACTTAAATGTATGAATAAATTTAAACTAGATATACAAAGCAAACCTGCTATTAGTAATAATTACAACTGAGGACACCTCTACTCTTCCCTTACATCTCTTCTATTACAATTTGTAGATGGCATCTTGTGACAGGTACATTTCCTTAGTTTTCATGAGATCCAACCTAAGAAATATTGTTTATTAGAAAAACTGCACAGTAAGATTTCCAGAGAGCTCCATACTATGATAAAACAAAGCTATAGTCCAAAAGGCAATCTATTGTTTTCACTTTGCTTTTCTTTATCCAAGAACTTTATCCCTTTAATTCCCAGGATCTGATTGTTAATTCTCCCCTCCAGCTGCTACACATTTTCTTGTAAATTAGTTGCAAGAATTTGGTGTTAGATCAAGATAACAACTTCTACCTGATACATTTGAGTATTCTCATTACCTGTTTGCTGGACAGTGGATGGATATTGTAGGAAGAAGTTACATGTGAATCACTTTTGGGATTTAAAGGGTTATGCATAGGGCTGTGTGGAAATCATATTAACTTGAATGAATTTATATTTTCAGGCACAGAACATGGTGTATGGCCTGACAATGTGGAGCTATATGAACCCTGCAAAGGTAATATTTCTTGAATAAAGATCTCATTAATTTCATTTTTCATTGCAAGGGAGCTATTCTTCATTGAATCTCCTGCTAGGATTTGTGGAAATTTGATTCCACATGAAGTCTTCAACCCCTTACACCCTAACATCAGAATGCAAGTTCTCCATACAGTTCTCTATACATTTTCTCAGGTGCTGACAGGGAGAACTTGTTTAAAAATGAAGAGCCTCTTTAGGAGGGGGTATTGGGGGCACTGGGATTGGTAGTTTGCAGATTTACCTTTCTTTTGGCATTTGGTGTGCAGTTTTCATCAAAAATACGGATGGGTTTTTGGATTTGGTATCTAAAGTGGTTTTCAGGTTTTCCTATTTGGGTTCCAGTTTCTCTTCGATCTGAGCAGTGATTAAGCACCTCCACTGATCTCAAATAGCTGTGAAATACAAATGTTATTGAAAGGAATGCATGACAAACCAAATGTCACCAAAATAATTTCTTGTAGGTGAAATATCATGGGTTTCCATAGGAGGTCATGTGTCTTGAATAATGCTAGAGACTTTGACCTTGCAATGTGGAGTATTTAGTCCGATCAGTTTGTAAACTATGGCTTTTAAAGTCCCTCATGCGCTGGCAACGGAAGAAGCTCAAGGACCTCAAGAAGCAATTGTTGATTGTGTCACAAGAGAAAATGCAGCAAGAATTTCATGCAGTTTTCAGTTTTGATCAAATTTTTATGCAGTTTTGCAGTATTTCATAGACCCCAGTACCCCCCTTCTTTAGTTGGTGATCATTTCCCCTATTCTCATAAACTTACTCTTTGATTCAGGGGAAATGTTGTAGAGAGAAATAAGATGCTACTTGCTCTTTGACGTCAAATGGTTAATAGCCAATGTGATGGATTGGTTTTCATTTAATATTTCTTATTTCTATATTTCCTGTAGACACCATTCTTCTGACAGATGCTGCAAGTTGTAGAGGTATAGAGGTGAGTGTATTTTTCTTTAGCCACGATAGAAAAGAAAACTGATAAAAAAACCCACTTTTTTGGGTTTGTGTGAGTGATTTTTATCAACATTGCAAAGGGGAAAGGGGCAATTGTTTGCTACCTACATGGATTTAAGAATTTACTTATTCACAACCTTTTTGTCTGAAGTGTCCTAAGAATATTGTCAAGTATTGTATGTGGAGAAAAATGCAACAAATGTTAAGTGTTCTGTGGAAAAAAAAAAACTCTCTACTCTCTTTCAATCAAGTGATTGAATCTGTAGATATTGATCAACTGGAAAGACATTTTGTTCATGGGTCATGAGGCTATTTTTGCTTTAAACTGCAATTTTTTCCCTTTACAGGCTTACCTTAGATTTTGTGGATTGGCCCATGAAGTTAAGTGCAGAAGGAATGCTGAATTTATGTCTCCAACAGGTGGGTGGTTTTTTTATTTGTATTGTTTTTGGAAGAAGGATAAGTTATACAGAGCTGTACAGCACCTTGATAATGTCCTTTCATGAGGAACTTAGAAAAAAAATTTAAAGTTTTACTGATATGTTTTACTTTTGTATTTAGGCAATGTTCCATTTCTAAGAGCAGATAGAGATTTGATTGGTGATTTTCAAGAAATAGTTTCATTTGTTGAGGCTAAGGTATGGGTATTAGTTACTTAATCTATGTAGGATCTGTTGAGTATAAGTTACAGAGTTCATCGCTTTTTGATAGGTTCACAGATGTTGGCTATCAAGTCATTACCTCAAGCGTGACTTAAATTGAGAGGAGACTTGTGTTTCACCTTTATGATTTTGTATGATTTTAAAAGAAGCATGTGTTCAGTAACTTTTGACCAAGGGATTCTTAGTTAAGCCAAATAATAGATAACATCTAGTCCTAAAAACTGCCAATCTTTGCTGAAGCCAAACACTATTTTGGTAGCATTAAGTCATGGATGAAATGCAGGTTCATCCCTGGTAACCTTCAGCATTTGGTCAAGCTTTCTTGATAGTCCATGGATGCTTATTTATGATCCTGGGTGGAGAGCTGCACTGTGAGAGGAAAGTGTCTTGCCCACAAGTGTCTTGCAACACAACACCCTGACCTGGACAGAACTTGAACCCAGATCTCCTAGCTTGAGTTCACCAAACTTGAACCCAGATCTCTCAGTTTGAGTTCACTGTATTAACAACCACACTACTGCTTCTGAGAAATCCAACATTACCAGCAAAATTAATTATACATTTAACTTTTTTAAAAAATTGTAGGCTTAATATTGAATAGAAACTAATTAAACCTGTAGACTGAAAGAAGATAGAAGTACTATTTGGGAATCTCTGTAGCATTTTAAATATCAGCTTCTTACTAACTGAGCATGAGGGCCATACTGGGGATTTGAACCTGTAATCTGAAAGAAGATAGAAGTACTACTTTGGAATCTGTGTAACATTTTAGATATCAACTTCTTACAACTGAGCACCAGGGCCATACTGGGGAATATTAGCCCTTGGTTGTGGTAGTTTGGACTAAGGGCAGTGCAGCAGTTTATTATATTGCACTTGAAACAAACCCATTTATTTTGAATATGCTGGCTATTGCCATAAAAATTACATGGCTTATTACTGTTTCTGTGGAAATAATCTGTATAGCAATATATAGACCTAGTAAGAACCATCAGAATGCTTGGATTTACCTCATGACTACCTTTCCATATAATAAAAGTCTTTATCTCTAAACTTTACATTGACAGGGCTTCTCTACAAGTGCAAACTTTGAAATGAAAGACAAAGCAGAAATGAAAGCATATTTATCACTCATTGAAAACTCTCTTGTTCCATCTGAGGTAATGTGAAGATTCTGTCATAAATAGTATACAGGGTCACTATGAGTTCTAACCAATCATTGAGCATTGTTTTGTACTATGAGATGCCTTCCTTCCAGAAAAAAAAAGAAGCAAAATTTCACTTTTGTCCCAATGCATTCAAGTAATGCAGGGGACAGGATTCTATGCTAGAATATTGTGACTGTGACAACATTTCTCTAGGAGTGATTCAATAAACTTCTATGGTCTAACTAACATTTGAAACATTTATCTGAATAGTATACAGGGTCATTACATTACTGCATTACTTGAGTGCTTTTGGATAAAAGTGAAAGTTTGCTCTTTTTTTCTGGAAGGAAGACAACTCTTGGAGCAAGGAAAAGAATCAACTGAACCCCAGACATGATATTATGTCTAAGAAATTAACTTTGTGAACAGTGGTAAGGAGTTAGGGTGTTCAAAACTGCAATATTTTGTTTTTGTTTTTTGAGACTGATCATGGTCAAGGGGATGAGACAGTTATCTCCTGTGCTGTTGTTCAATATTAAGAGCTTCCTTGCTGTCAGCCCTTTACACCTTAAGATCAGTATGCACATTCTCCTTACTGTTCTCTACACATTTCCTATGGTTCTGACAAAGAGAATTTGCTTAAAAAATCAAGAGCTTCTTTAGTTGGTGATCATTTCCTTTATTCTCATGGCCTTAACCCTTTAAACCCTAAGAGTGATCAGCATCTAATTTCTCCATACAGCAATACTGGTGAATCATTCATTAGGATCATGAGAAAACAAAAACATGATCGCCAACTAAAGAGGTTTTGATTGTTAAACAAATTCTCCTTGTCAGTACCAAAGGATATGCACAGAGAAGAGTATGGAGAATATGGATACTGATGTTAGGAAGTAAAGGGTTAATGTTTGATTCAGGGTTGATATTGTAAGGAGAAATTACATGCTGGTCACTCTAAGGGGTTGAAGGGTTGAAAGCCAGTCATGGTTCTATAGAATTATCATAAGGTTTGATGCAATATTTTTATCTCTCTTGGCCTTAATAGCTTTACATGTTGTGGTGGAAGAAAGACTGGGCAGTGCGTACAAGGCAGCATTATGGCAGTCAGTTCCCTTTTCCGTTGAATCTTGTTCTTAGCTACAGGAGGCAGTGGAAAATCTGTCAACAACTGAAGGCAGATGGGTGGCATCACAAGACAGAAAATGAGGTATATATATGCTTTGTACAGTTCTAGCATTTTACCTAATGGGTACTTTCCAACAGTGATCAATAAAGATGCAGGCATTGGCATGGCTCAATGGCTGAACATTTTAAGAGTGGACCTTAGGACCTCACATTAAATAGTTAAAACGTTTGGCATCTGAATCACTTAGACTCTTAACCCATGACACCCTCACATCAGTATGCATATTCTCTATACTGTTCCCTTTACATTTCCTGTGGTACTGACCAGAAGAATTGGTTTAACAATCAAAAGTTTCCGTTGGTGATCACATCCTATATTCTCATGACCTAAGTGTTTGATTCAGTGGTGATATTGTGTAGAGAAATTAGATGCTAGTCTCTCATAAGGGTCCAGGGCTAATAGCTCTGTTTCTTCCCTTTTTTCTCCTGCTGATACAAAAAGTCAAACTATTTGCGCAAGATATCTTAAACATGAATCCACTTTCATTTTATTTGTCAACTTGTAGCTCATTTTTCAAATCGTCCCATGCTGTCCAAATCAGCATCAAATATTCTCATCATCTGAATTGCATTTCTTATAGTGTTAGCATTGAGAATTTGGTTTCAAATCGATGCAAGTACCAATGAAATGGCAATCTTTCTCTCTTGAGCTGTACCTGTATTTAATCTGCAGCCTTTGCTTTTTCACACCATGTCCAGAACTTTCAGTTTCAGTTTTGCTCTTTCATTTGTTGTTAAATATGTTTATTTTATTCAACAGGTTCTTGAAGAATTCAAGCGGACATGTCAAGCCCTCTCTGAAAAACTTGGAAATAACAAATTCTTCATAAACGACAGGTAAATAACCAAACGTTGATTAAGTAACAGAGAAGTTATTATCATGTTTAGTGTGTTTGTTTTGTTTTTTTTGTTGGCATAAAAGACTCAGTCTGTAAATTGCTCTTCAGTGTGTCACCTTAATAGCTACTAACATGTCTCTTTGGCATTAGTCATCAGCTCAAAATGATTTTTTTTTAATCAGCTGTGTTGATAAAGCTGACTTTTCGAGTGTTAGTCCTTTGCTCGGAGGGAGGACAAACGCTCGAAAATTATCTATGGAGACAATTTACATTATCAACTCAGTAAGAACCCCCTGCCCCACCAACGCAGAAACTTTCCCCCTTTATTCATAAGCTCAACAGATTGTTTTGATCTTTTCAATGTTTAGATTTTTATTTTCCATCACCACTCTTTTTATTTCCTTTTAACTTTCCACTGAATTTACAAATTAGCTAAAGAGTGTCACGGTGTTAGAATTAATTTCTCTCAGAAAAAGTATTCATTATCATCATCACTATTGTTCTTGTTGTTGGTGTTTTTGTCGTGATAATCATTCACATTGTTATCGGTTTGCTATTTTAGGCCTACAGAGTTGGATGCTCTTGTGTTCGGCCATCTTCACACACTACTGACCAGATACTTACCAGATGATTCGCTCAGCTCTGTAGTAAGGGCTCACAGAAATCTTGGAGACTTCGTTATGAGGATCCTGGGGGAATTCTTTCAATAAGCAGGAGCAACTACTGTTAAAACTTCGTTATGAGGATCCTGGAGGAATTCTCTCAATAAGCAGGAGCAACGGTTGTTTAAATAAACCATTTTACAGACTCGAGACTCTCTAAAAAAGCCATCTAACGATTTACTATAAATACATGAGAGCACGAAGCTGCCTGTCCCTTGTCTTTAGAGAGGGTTGTATGACACTCACGGCAAGCAAAATTGAGCAAAAGTGAATTTGTTTCCATCTGTCTTCAGCTGTTTTTGCACTATTTTGAAATTACATATATTATTTGTGGTTTCTGGGTTTATCTAACGATTCATATATGCAATCGCGTTGTTGCACTTCAATTAATCTTAGGCGTTAATGTTGCGCAATTTTCCTCTTAATTAGTGTTCCTCTTGTCCTTATAAGAAGAGATTTAGAGAAACTTTTGATTGCAAATTTCAACGCTAGAAAGTTATTAAAATGCATAGAAACTTCTAAAAACTTACAACACTGTTCGTACGTATTTTGACGACGTTGCTTCACGTCATTATCAAGTCAAGAGTAAAAATGACAGGTGGAAATATTTTAAGTAATCAATATCGATGGGAAAAAGGTTTTTGTTCCTCTGAGTATAGTTCCTAAAGGTGAAATAACAACGAAGAGGTAACAAAAAAGTTTGGCGCGAATTGAATCAGTCTGTTGGTTGAACGAATGTCTTCGCAATTTATCGAGTTAATTAAACCACAGGTTTTTGCCTGCTACGACGAGAACGAAGAACAGTAACAGTTCTCTTTCTGACTGTTACACACCCGTTCTCCTTAACTGCTGGTTCATATCCCGTGCCTGGCTATCGGTTTCTGAAAACAAGCGAATGAGGGCAAAAGAAGGAAGAACGGTAGAGGTGCGTCGCTTGCCCGCTCTATAATCCACTAACTGAGAGCCTAGAATAGCCTAACATAAATCTGTAGGCGGAGGGAGGAGCCGGGCGCGCGTCAAATCCATTTTTGTTGGGGGACTATGCCGTAATTTTGAGAAACGGACAGAAGTGATTAGTTAATGTCACAAACTAAAATTTTCCTTTACGGCATAAATTTCACAAAATTATTTAAAACATACAATCAGATCAATGTTTGAATATTCAATGGAGATTCTAACTCCTCAGAAAAAACTAACGGCTCATTTCCTGGTACAATTAAGCATAGCTACTTTGGTTTTTTTCTCAGAGCTGGAGCGGGCATAATTCAACAAATCCTTTAGTTCAGTGAATAGGTTTGAGAGTACGGGCGACTTTTAACATTATGTTAGTAACCTTCAGAGGGCTCCTTCACATATGTGCGGGTAGAATTTCAACAAAAATAAAACGTGAAAGGTATTTGCTGCTTTGTGGTCTTGTAATGTTTATCTCTGCGTCTTGAAAAGTTCTCGAACGTTTTCCGATAATTTTACAAGTTGTGGCAATATCTTCGGCAATTTCCGGAGGTCGCCGGCATATTTTCGGAAATTTGGGAGGCATGAATCTTCAGCATTAAAAAACCCACGGAAACGTTTTTAGGTTCAGATTTGTCAATGTATCCTTAATTGAGCTGGGGATAGAGTTTCCTCTTTAAGGGTACTTGTTCAATTTGAGAACCTGAAGGCGTCCATTTTAGCGACTGCCGTTTAATAGTGGGAACTATTGACCTGTTACCAGGAATGCTGCCCTTCTTGACGTAGCCTAATTTTTGAACACTCTCTTTTGAGGCCCTTCTGGTCATAATGAATGACATCAATGACATCAGTCGATGTTCAAAGTATCTCGAGCTTCTCAAGCTTGTTTTGTTCGGTACCCAGGGTGGACTGGGGTCTAACAAACTCCTCGTGTAACGCGAGACAGCCTGGGTACGAACGTTGTTTTCGGAGAAGAAGAAGGCGCCATTTTTGAATTGATTATCGGTGTTTCATCAATACTAAAAAGAATCCACGACAAAAGTTCCCTTGAGGACTATCTTCAAGAGCCATTACAGAGTATACCCTGTAATGGAACGGAACTCTTGGATACATGGAGGGGGAAAGAATTCTTAAGGCGCTTCTGAATGGTGAAACAGACGATCTCTTTGAAGATACCAAGGTTGGTCTTCGCCAGTTTCACAACGAGTTTTCTTGCTTTTGATAGTTTTAAAGTTTTATACAGTTGTTTGTTTGTGGATAATGACAGCATTTTGAATGCATGGAATAATTATGTTTATGTTGTATGTTTTAAGAACTACCTCTCTCCATTGCGATCACCTCTGAATGCCAAAAATGGCTGCAAGTTGGGCTGCAAAATTGCAGAAGAATCTGTGTCAAAATACACATTGTTTTCAACCAAGTTTCTGAGATGTGCTATTGAGACCTTGAAAAAGGTCAAAACAAAAGGGAAACACCTTGATGAAATCACAAACTCCTTAAATTTAGGTAAGTGATGACTTCATAGTTAGTGTGCAGAGTTCACGGTAAGTCTGTCTGTCAACAAGTTGGTTGTTAGCTTTGTGGAGTAGACAGCAGGCTGAAAATTTGAGGGCTCCTTCCTGGGGTCGCAAGGGGGGTGGGTGGGTGCTTCCCCACAAAATATCATTTTTGAAATATTATTTCTGAAATCTATTTTATGCATTCAGTTGGAGTTATATGCAAAGCAATATGGCTTTTAGTTGGCTAGCTGAGTAAACATGTGCCATTAACATGTAGCAATTGGAAGAGTGCTCAACTAGCAAAAAAATGCAAAGGCATTAATGTTCTTGTAGAATGTGTAAATGGCTTTTCAGAACGTTGTCTGTTTATGAAACTTTCTGTTGCAGTGACTTGTTTTAATTTTTATTTCAGTTTTTTGTTCACCATTGACAAATATTATTTTATTAAAAGTGGGCAACTCAGAAATATAGTTAGCTGGCTTTTTAGTTGGCGGGTGGCACCTAATGAGAACCCTGATTGTATATGACCTTTTTTCCCTCCAAGCATCTGAAATAAAAAAATAACTGGCCCGATATCAACAAAGACTCAAAATTTTGTTGTTTTCCTTTCCTCCAATAATCAAGCTTACAATTGATTGAATCTCTTACTCTAGTTCCAAGTTGTATTAAAATGGGAGGGGGAGGGGATAACACCCCTGTAAAATCTCTAAAACACCTTACATCACTTTGGTGAAACCGCTGTTTTAACTTTAACTCTTTAACTCCCAAGATCTGCTTATAAAATTCTCCCCACCAGCTGGTATGCATTTCCTTGTTAGTTGGTTAGTGTTGGGTCAAGGTACATGTAACAACTTCTACATGTTAATTTGGAGTATTCTCATTACCTGCTTTCTGGATAATGTATGGATATTCTAGGGAGAAGTTACTTAACTTGTAAATCATTTCTGGGAGCTTAAGGGTTAATATGTACCAATGAACAACTTTCCTCAGAGGGTTGAAAAATAATAACTTTGTTTATGAAAGTTCATACATGTTGCTTATCAGAAGTAAAGTGGTAAGTGAATTGATGACTGACTAACTCACAATTCTCTGCATTTTTGGTTTAGTGAGTACATTGCTCAGTGACACATTAGCTATTGAGAATGGTAAATACCTCAAGTTTATTCCTTCTCTGGACCAACTTGGCAAGACGATATATTTGATTATGGTTCAGCTTATATCTAAGTCACAGTTTGACAAGGCTTTTTGTCATGCTAGTGACTTGCTCAAGTTCATTCAAGTTGTTAAATCATGGAAAAACTATGACAGTGGAAAAATGGAGAAGGAGCTCTCTTCACTTGCTACTCGAACATCTGATGCTTTGCTTCAAGGAGCAGGAAAGTTAGAGGAAGTGAAGGTAACTGCAACAGAAAGAGCATCTCATTTGTGTGTTGTTTTGGACTGGAGAAGGTTGTCATTACTTTTCCAAGTAGAAGAGGTCACACCTTCTTCACTGAAATCACTTGTGGATAAAACTTTGAAATGTGGAACAAAATATCAGCTTGACTGTGGGCAGAAGAATGTCGATTTTAAGTATCTGACAAATTTCTTTGAATCTGTTTTTAACAAGCTCATGGTGAAGTTTGGACAACTGATCATTGGTTGTTTAGACTCAATCTTGTTTGTAGCTGAACTAGGATTTCACTATGGCAGGAGTTGCAGCAAAGCTGGAATGTCAATGCAAGCCTTAGATGTTTTTGACAAACTCTTGGAAATTTCAAGAAATGTCATCCATACCAAGAATGGACACTCAAAGCTTCATACACCACATCAAATTTGTTGTTGCATTTGTTTCATTGGCAAGGCTACAATTTTGTTAAACTGCTCCTCAAATCCAACATCAGAAACTCTTGATTCTCTTGAAACAGTACTGTCAGAGGGAAGCAGACTACTTTCACAACTATTAAAATGCAAGGGTTTGTCATCATCAATGTTGAAAGTTGTTTCAGATTCCTTAGAGTATTTCAGAGTTACTTTACAAAATTATTCCACCAAAGAAACAAAAAAAGCAACACCCCTCTCATGGAGAATTTGTCAAGAGGCAATGCAGCTACTCAAGTTATATGGGACAATTCTGTCACGTCATTGTGAACTCATCAAGAATGCTCTGCGCAAAGCCAGCAGTGACAACTTGATTTTACAGTATACCCAACAGTTACAAAAGACCACAGCAAGACAACTGACCCTCTTGAACTTTGTAATTTCTTCTTATCAAGATCAGCTGAAAAGTGAAGAGAAGGCAAAAGTTTGTGACAGGAGTTCAAGGTTAGGAAATCCAAATATGTATCTATTAATTCATATAAAAACACCAGTGATGATGTATGTTTTGGTTCAGTTTTATCCTAGGTTCAAACTTTACCTTGTCTTAAATGTATTAGCATACATTGCCATATCCAAAACAAAAGAAAATTAAGTTTGAACCAATGTTAAGATTGAATTGCAACAACTATATTATCATTTTGATAATAAATTTGAGTGTAGTGAAGTGGATGATCTCCATTATCAGGTAGAACTCCTTATCCTGTGAAAGAAAAGTATTCTACTGTACAGTTCATTACTACAGTATGCAAGGGGTTAAGGGTAAAATACATGTTTAGTGTATGTTAATTGTTGCACAAAGTGTGGTTTTTGATACAGTTTTCTTTTATTCACAGAATTTATATCCTAAGAGAATGTTTTACAGTTGCACAACAGGCAAACAAGGTTATTCAAAATGCTCTTGAAGATCCTGACATTCCTATGTCTCCAAATGAGCTGCGATGGCTAGGTAGCAGTGTCTACAATGTAGGCTGTGTGTCCTATAAAAGTGACTGTTTTGCTGAGGGAGTGCCATTGCTGGCTCTTGCTTGTGATGAGTTAAAAATCTGGAGCTTTGGGGCTGAAACAGAGGAGAAAATTGTTCTCCAAGCTGAAGAGGTACAGTCTGTTAAATTTGTTAAGTGTCATATTTGAAGTTTAATGAAATAATATTTCTGTTGAACTATAGTTTTATCCTCTGGATGAGGGTTTTCCTTGCATAAAATGTTACATTCAAGTACTGTTTCAACAACTGACTTTTGGGAGGCTGGTATTCTAAGCTAGAACAGGATCATTTAATACAATCAACAACTACCAGCACCTTACAAATGTTTTAATTACCATTAGATAAATACATGTAGAAGCAGTGAACAACATTGTTGGACCTACAAAACTGACCAATCAGAATTTTTTGACACTGCATTGCACTTACAGGAAGAAATATGGTGTCACAAGGGTCCTTTTTGTGACCATCCCTAACTATCCAATGAAATAATATGGTCATTTGTTACTCTCCTGTTCGAACTTGAAGGTGAACATTTAAGAGTTGTTGGTTCAGTGGACTCTGGAGTGAAAGTTCACTGGCAGGGTCATTGTGGCATGTTTGTGGTCAAGACACTTTACTCTCACTATTCTCTCTTTACCCAGTGCCTAGTTGTTCAAAAGGCAGAAAGAGATAAACTGGGATTAAAAGTTTAACTTGTCCTTGATTTCCCTCGCTAGCTAAATCATACTTTGAACAACTCAGTTTTTAGTTAAACTGCTTTGTGGTGGAGGGTGGGGTAACCTTTTCATGAAACTGGTATTACTTCCAGAGGAATCACTAATACTACATAGTAATCAATTCATCGAATTACGGTCAAGTGGCCAACAGTTCAACTCGCCAACGCCAACTTGCCTACTTGTAAAATCGAGTAGAAAAATTGGCAAGTTGGTCTTCAATCCTGCAGAACTTATTAGAAGTTAAACATATAGAAAAGCAAAAGATCTATAGTACAAAAACAAGTTTTTTTTCTTCCAACAAAGTTTATAAGGATCTCATTGCGAATAAAGCAAGATAAACATTGCCAATGACTATCAAAGCTTCAGACACAAACAAGTTATTGTGTGACAACAATACTTTAAGACTCATCACATCAATCGGTCAGATTTTTTTTAGATTTTAGAAAACTTGGCTTTCTAGACAAGATCTTTAGTAAAAAACAAGTCTTTTTATTTCCAACAAAGTTTATAAGGATGTCAAGGCAAATAAAGCAAGGTGAATATTGTCAACGACCAAAAAAGATGCAAACGAGTTCTTGTGACATCCCTATAAACTTTGTTGGAAATAAAAAGAATTGTTTTTTACTTTTAAGATCTTAAAAGATCTTGTCTAGAAAGCCAAGTTTTCTGAAAAAAAATCTGAGCAATTGACATGATGAGTCTTTACAGTGTTGTTGTCACACAATAACTCATTTGCATCTGAAGCTTTTATAGTCATTGGCAATGTTTACCTTGCTTTATTCACAATGAGATCCTTATAAACTTTGTTGGAAGAAAAAAATAGTTTTTTTACTAAAGATCTTTTACTTTTCTATATGTTTAACTTCTAATAAGTTGTACTGGATTGAAGACAAACTTGTTGACGTTTCTACTCGATTTTACACATCAGCGAGTTGGTGTTGGCAAGTTGATCCATCAGCAATTTGACTGGATACCAATTCATGATTCTGAAACTGGAATAAGCTGTGACAAAATTGGCCAAGTTGGAAATGTTTGAAAGGCAATGTTTGAAAATGATCTTCAGGTGAAGCTGCTCACAAAGTATGCCTTACTGGTTGACTGTCAAAGAAGAGCTGGAGGAATCAGGGATGCACTAAAGACTGCTACAACTCTGGTCCTGATAGCACTGAAAACAACCCCTGATGCCCACATCATAAAACAGCAAGTCAAACTGTGGGCCTCAGTGAAACATGAGCTGACAAAGAATCTTCAGAATGGAGAAAAACTGTTTGAAAGATCCAGGTTTGTAAAACAGTTCAAAAGAAATATCACATAAATTTTTATTTTTTTATGTGGATTAATTTGAAAGCTTGTTTGTTATAAGCTGATCTCATATCATACTGTGTAAACAAAGTTAAGATAGTGCAAAAAGGATCACATGCATGCATGTTGATTTCATAATCACTCAGAATGTACTTCCTGAAATTATTATGACATAACCATGGAAATGTAAGAGATTTTTCTTCTCATTTCTCAAAAATCCCAGTTTATTGCAGGGTCACGGCTTCCCAGGGATTGGAAAAATTATAAGAGGGAAGAAAAATGGGGGCCTTCTCCTTATAGTTTTATTGTTGACTCTGGAGATAAAAGTTGTAGTGATCATTTAAGTTTAAATGATATTATAACAGCATGGAACAATGGTAAGAATCAATAAAAGAGGAGACAGTCTAAAGAAATTTGTTGGTTCCTCTTTTCTTCCCAGAACCCTATGCAGTGCATTTGCAGAGCAAGAAGATGCAGAAGATGTTGAAGGAAGCCAGCTTTGTTTTGTTTTACAGGAAGAGCTTGCTTGTTACAAGGCAAAAAGGTAACAACAGGAGCTTCTAACAAGATTTTCATTCGAATCCTGATATTTCACCTAATGCTTTCTTTTATAAGTGAAGTACCTGCCCAAAGGTTTAATTTGCCCTTAACTTTTTTCAGCTATGACACAGCAGTAGAGCAAATTGCAGTCATCAAACAGATAATGGAGCTGTACCTTGTTCAAGAAGATGAATTCCACCATGCGTCAGCTATGTTAGAACTTGCTATAGCTTTGCATAGCCTAGGAGATGTAGAGCTTGAAGAAGAGAAGTAAGTGTTTTATCCTGGAAGATTAATAGTTTCATGCATTAAAGGCCTATAGTGCTGTTGGACAGGATGGCAAAATGATTGATTGCATGTAAAACATGATTGCATGTAAAAAAAAAATTGCAAAAGGAAGGAAGGTTTGGTTACAGTTAAACCTGTGTCAGGCAGGCACCTTGTATTAAGTGGACTCTACTGACCCAAGCCTGAATTTTTTTCTCCCATATACATGTTGTGGTTCAATTTTATCCTTGGTTCAAATTTTCTTTTCCTTTGTTTTTGGGTATTGTAATGTATGATAATGAGTTTGAAACAAAGGAAAATAAAATTTGAACCAAGGATAAAATTGAACCACAACATACACATGTATTTTGAAACAATCATTTACTCAGCTGATACCTCTTCAAGTGGACATGGACATCAAATTTAAACCCTTTTCAGTTTAATCCTTTCTCAGTATATAAAACCTGCTTCAGTTGGGAACCACTTTTAGAAATTTGAGTCGCATTTACTTAAAGTTTTACTTTTAATAGTTTCTACTAGTAATTGAGTGTTATTCCTACCCAAAATGGTCAGATTCTAAAGGTTGCTCCTTAAAACTTTGTTTTATTTGGGGTGTAACCCTTTACCTCTTAAGAATGACTGGGATCTACATGTCATTTCTCCTTATAGCATCACTGCTCAATCAAACATTAAGGTCATGAGAATAAAGAAAATAATTCAGCAAACTAACGAAGCTCATGATTTACAAGCAAACTTCCCTTGTCAGTACTATAGGAAATGTATAAGGAGCAGTTTGGAAACATAGATGATGTATACCAGTAATTTGTACCTATGGTCATTTCATACCCATGGTCATTTTGTACCCATGGTCATTTTGTACCCATGGTTGTTTCATAACCACAGTCATTTCATATCCATGGTTGTTTTGTACCCACAATCATTTTGTACCCATTTAAGTTGTTTCATACCCATGCCTGGTCGTTTCATATCTACAGTTGTTTTGTATCCAGTCATTTCATACCCAAATTCAGTCAATTTGTACTCAGTTTGAGCCAGTTTGTACCCAAATGGCTGGTTCATTCCTACCTGTCCCAATATACATTCATTCAAAATACCTCACACACAAGCACATGAACACATGTTGATTGTTGTGTATGACAAATTAGTAGAGCCAAGCAATCAAGATCCAAGCAAAATTCTTTTGTGTATACTTGCAACCTTGTTAACACAAGATAAGTGTGATATTTTTAATGAACCAGTCTATTGTTTACACTTTTGACTTTCTTGACAATGAAAGTTAGTGGAAGTGTGATATTTTTTCCCCCTTAGTTATTAGCAGTTATAGATTTGTTTATTTGTTTATTCTATTCTTACTATAAATACTTAACACAGAAAAGATACTTTTTTAGTATGGGCACAAAAGGACTCAACTGAATTGGTGCAAATCAACAGAACTGCATGGGTACAAAACAGCTGTGGGTACAAACTGACTGGTAACAACATAGTAGGTTGATGTTTTAACTATTGTTGCACAACTTACTGAACCCTTATTAAGCAGACATTAGCAAGAGTTCTGCCAGAGCCTGCTTAATATGTAACTCACTGCATCTTTGTTTCTTCAGATCTGCACTTGAGTACTGTCAAGAAGCTGGGGAGATTCTAGAGCAGTTATTGGACTCAGAAGGCTGCAAAGATGAGGAGGGAAACTTGCAAGCATGTCTGCTGGATAGACTTGGTGCTGTCTATTTATGGCAGGCTTTGTTTGAGCACAAAGATGCCATGAATGACAGAGCAACTTCAGCAATGCAAGAGCTCAGTGACAGTTATGAAGCCGAAGAGGTACACCAGTCTTGATAAGATCTGAAAGATTAACTTCTCAAAACCAATGACAATGTGTTTCTCTGTTAGCTAGTACTGAGAATTTACAGTTACCTCCCAAAGCCTTATTAAGTAACCTTTTTGATAGTTTTTTTTGGCCCCTCAGCTCAACAGGCTTAGAGAGTAAAAATACAGAGTTAATATGAAACTAACTTAAGCATACAAATCTATTTTTTCTTTCTTCTCTTTTTGCAGTACCTCTCTGGAAACTATTAGTTATAGATAAAAATAAAACGATATTGTTAGCTTACATCCTTACTAAGTGTGACTTATGTTAGAGAGGCACTGGTGAAAGTTAAAGGTTAAGTCCATACCTGTGTGAATTGATCCAGCCAGGAGTGTTGCCACTAACCCTGGATGGGGTGCTTTTCCATCATGGGTTACCCCTCTGTCCCAAGCATTTAGTGAGGCTCCCCTGACAGTTTGCTGGTACCCATCTTTACTTCTGGATGCAGAAAGGCATTATTAGAATAAAGCATCTTGCCCAAGAACACAATTTGATGACCTACCCAGGTCTTGAAGCTTGACCTCTTGAGGTCATATTAGCTGTTAGGTCACTGTGCCTCCAACTAAGGGAGGCACTGGAGCAAGATTTTTATTTCAGTTAACTTGAAGTCGAGAGTGTTACTTGAATGTGTAAACCAGAATTGGACTGATTTTACATTGTTCCTTTTTATTAACAAATTTGCAGGAACAAATTGTTTTCTTTGATAAAATTTCATGTGCCTGTCCTACTATGAACGTGAATTTTGTTATCAGTTTTTTTTTCTAACAACAGTATACATGTACATGACTTGTGTGACCATGCAGAAGGGAAAGGGGTTGTGACATTGGACCTCAGGTGCATCCCTAAAAGTATCTCTTTCCCATTGGACCTCAGGTGCATCCCTGAAATTATCAGACTGTTAAATAAAACTTTGGTGCTACATTTCAGATAGAAGATATTTGCCTGGAGCAACCATTTATGGCATCACTTCATGCAGCTTTGGAAACATGGACAGCACTAAGAACCAAATCACTGCAACAAGACCCCAGTGGAAAGGTAAATGTTTCCTGGTGAAAGCATTCTGGGACAATGTATACTTTTTGATCTTGTCAAAACTTTTTATGATGTGAGATTTCTTTCTTTGAAACTGAGTGAACTTATAATATTCCAAGAACAGTTTTCTTTCATGAGGAATTTGTCATGAGAACTAAATACGCAACTAATCAGCTTTTAATACTTTTAGAGGTTTCACCATTGGTACTTAAACACTTTGAAAGATGTGTCGTTAAAGATTTATAGGATTGAAAATTTCAACACTGTATTAGCAGTAAGTCTGTACCCCTGTACCCCAGGCCAAGTGGCCCATCTTGTCAGAGTTTATCTGGGTATCCATAGCACGATGCAAGTAGGAATATTACTATCCCTCTCCCCCAGATGGGATGCCAGTCCAATCACAAGGTCACCGCCCCCACCCCCCCAGTATTTCATCAGGCTTCCCTTGACAGTTTGCCACCACCCATCAATACTCCTGAGTCAAAAGAGGTGTTGTGAAAGTGCAGTGTTTTGCCCACGAACACAACACAAAGACACAGCCAGGTCTCAAACCCAGACCTCATGACTGTAACTCCAGTGCACTAATCATTGGGGCATTGCATCCCCCACTGTAGATCATACATTTATTCTTGGATTAATGTTAGCCTCGTTGATTTTTTGTTTCAGGTTAACCTGGACCATTTTATTAATCCTGAGGAGACGTATCGTTACTTGCTTATCACAGCAGAAATGTTTGGGCTTTTAAAACAGGTGAAACTTGCTACATACTTTCATAGGTGACAATTTGGATTTCTCGCAAGCAGTGACTGTTCATGCAGTGCTGTCATAACATTATGACCATGGCAATAGGAATGTTTAAAAAAAATTTCAGCACAAGGAATGACAACAGTGTGAAGAGATTTTTATACATGATGGAAAAGTCTATCATTCAAAAGATTTTCTCCATTCAGGTCTTTTTTATTTTGTAAAATGAAAGTGTTATTCATTAAGTCCTTCACTTTTATATCAGTGGTGTAATGAATGATTCAGCTCCTGTGTCAGTAGAGGTTATAACAGGATAGTGTGGTTTTATCAGCTGGGTTGATAATATACACTCAGTGTATGTTCCTGAGGGAAACAGTTTTGTTTTCCCAAGAGTCCTGATGTTCCGCAAGACAAAGCTGAGGGAAAACAAAACTAGCTAGGGTTAACTTTCCCAAGGGACCATCAATTAAGTGCTTTGTCATATATTTAGACTTTCCCTTAAACAATCATATGGCAAAAACAAACAAACAAAGACACTGATCACATGCTGTTGTATTTGGCGTGCGGGCAACAACTGCACAATTGTATCCTGGTCAGGATACATTTGAATTCGATCAGGGGCATGTGACCAAGAATCAACCAATCACAGTGTTCATTTTGTTGAGTGAAAGTTGAGGTATATATATTAACTGGCCACTGAAAAGAGTTTTTAAAGCTGATGTTAGTTTAGCTCTTCATCAGAGCTAATAATGAAGGGCTAATACTTGAAATATTAGCTTTAGAAACTCTTTTTGGAGGCAGATTTACATGTACATAATCAACTCAGCTGATGAAACCAAATTACATAAAGTAACCCCACAGTTACTCATTAGAAACTTTCCCCTTTTATTCTTTTAACGAATGAATTGTTCCTCGCAGCCCCTCAAAAAGGTTGGTGCTCTGTACATGGCTGCCAGTATATCCCAATCATTTGGTACCAAAGATATGCTGGATAGTGGATTGTGTGCCCTAAGTGATGCTGTTCACTTGTTGTGTGACATGCTGGACTTGTCACATGCTTCAGTTATTCTGTCTCATGCCACCAACCTGATGAATAGATTTGAGCCATGCAGTACATCATGGGTTCAATTCTTGTTGGCCAAGAGTCACTATTTGCTGGTGACAGGAAAGGTATAAATAATCAAAATCATTATTAACCCTTGGCTATCACTTCCATAAGAAATTTTCCCCCCTGTCTACCACACTCTTCTCATGATGTTAGTTTGGAGAAGTCGGTAGTGGTTCCTATAATAATTCCCTGATGAATATTTTTCTCTATTCTTATCACTTGTCTGCTTGTTATTATTTTTATTGTTGTTGTAAGGAGAATCCTGTCTTAGTCACACTCAATCATGCAGACATATGGTACACTTGCTATTACTAGGTGCCAAATAACTTGGAACTACTTTAAGCAGGGAGACTATGAACCAGCTAGTCTCAGAGATCAAATTGTAGTATATAGTGTAAGGGGGCCCCTTTAGATTCTCTCATCTCACTTGGAAAAAAAAAATAGCTATTTTTAAACAGGTGATTGCTTAGCTTGCTACATGTGTGTTGCTCATGATTCTAACAGATTAATGTTTAGTTTTCAGAAGGAGAGGACTCTCTAAAAGAAGCATCAGAGAGTGAAGTCTTTACACACAAGAGCTATAAGTCACACCTGTTGAAAGCTAGATGGCAATCAATTTGCTGTAAATATGCAATGTTCCCACCTACAGTCCATGAATTTAAGATAGTTGTTGGTACGTTCACTTTTTGTCTTTGGAGATACATCTTTCCAACAGCTAGGTCTGCTTTCTCTACAATTATTTAGTAACTTTTCATAATGGGAATGGGTGAACATTCCATCAGGTGGCTCTTCTTGTCCACTGATTCCAGGTCAAATCGGATTTCAATGCTGGTTTTTGAGAACCCTGTGGAAAGACCTGTAGAGCAAGGACAAGAACCAACAACAAACTCAACCCACATGTGGTACCAGGTCCCAGAATTGAACCTATGGGAGGAAAGGGCTCTTACCACTGCCAACCCCACCTTCCCAATTGATATTTATTTTTCATGCTGGAACTGTTGCCTAGTGACCTGCTTTAAACATTTAGGGAGACTTAATACTAGCAAAACAGTCAGTTCAACCAGATAATGTTTTGGTACTAATTAACCACTCAATCAATTGATCAGTTTATCAGTCATTACCAACAGTTAATTTGTTCATAATTATTATCATTTTTAGATCCTCTGCTTGGTTCACTGACTCCTCTGGAATGGGCCATAGATGAGCTTCATAAGCTAACACAAATGGCTGAAGAGATCTTTGGTTTGGATGTATTTTGTACTGGCAAACAGATGCAAAAACAAGAGGAAAATTTGTCAGGTAAGGGAATTGGAAAATTTTTGTGTCCATTCTTGACACAACTCTGGAGAGCTCTGTTTTGCAAGGTAGTACCCCTGATTTCTAAGAGCTTCCACTAGGGACAATGTGTCCTGACAATCAGGATGATATACTTAAGTCATGTGGTAAGCAATACTGCACAGTCCTACTTCAGGCTTTGAGATAGAGTCATGGTTGTAATTAAATTAGTTAAAATAGGGAAAATGCAATCAAACTGGCCTGAAACATAAGAAGTTTTCATCTTTTGTCTGTGAAGATTTGCTATTCAAGTCAGAGGGTTCTGGCCAAAGCCTTTTTAGACTGTCTATCCTAAATGACTTGCTGTCAGCCCTGTTACAAGTTGGTCAGCTGTATGCTCATCAGGGAGCTGTGAGGGAAGCATTGAGGCAATTTGTGGATGGAATTACACTGGCAAGGCAATTTTGCCTGCCATACAGGTAAACTATTCATATTCAGTAAAAGTTCTGTTAAAGTTTTGGACCCTCACCAAAACAAAATGTCAGTGAGCTTTAAAAAAATAATAATAAAGTTAGATATTAGGCCAATCATAAAATTTAGATTAAAGAATGTTGTAAGAGCTCTAAATTTCAAAACTTTTTGGAACAGAGGGGCATTAGTATGAAAACTACTACAGTAAAAAGTGTGTATTTTATTTATATTGTAACTTACATATTTCACATATATTTTGATTGGTTCTTACCTGTGATCTGTTGAAGGATAGACACATAGATGATGTCACCTTAACGATATTTTCTTTTTTTATCATACAAACAACTAGATACTATGTTACCTTAGGTCTGTTCAGTAATAGATCACACAATGTCTAAATGTGTTAAACATCAGTGACACACTCAGCTGCACCTCATGAGCCACTTCTGTGATCTTGCCACATATTGATGTAATGTGTGATCTACAGATTGAAACTTGATTGTAACCTTGAGAATTTGTTCTTATTGTCTATAATTGCTTGTTTGTTTGAGTGCATTATTATTTTGAGATTAGAAAAAAGGTGAAGGAGTTCAGTTTGAGATTTGAATGTTCTAAAATCAGATCTTTGCAATTTTTAGGACTATGGAATTCCTTATCAACATTGTACAGCTTGAAGTGATGCAAGGCAAGACAGAAAAGAGCCAATGTAGGGTTGATCAGGTGCAGAGAATCCTTCAACCAACTATGAAATCTGAAAGCAAGTCTAAACTCTCCGAATGTTGTGTTCAAGAACCACTGTTCACAGAACATCCACAAACATGTGAATGTGTCGGTTGCCTTGATCCTGTATTGCATGTTATCTTTGTGGAGTACTTGATGAGTCTTTCCAACCACCTTGCACTTACCTCAAGACCTGAACAATCATTGCTAGCCTTGGATGTGGCCAACTTAGTTTGTGAAACTGCTATGTATAAAATAAAACATGCTTTAAAAAGACTTGATGCTGTTGTGTATCCTTTGGAAACCAATGATGAAAGTTCAAAGGGAACAAAGAAAAGAAAAGGAGCCAATTCTGGAAGAGGGAGAAAACAGAAGAAGGATGCAGTGGTAACAGAATGCTCTATTTCACAGTCCATGTTCAGTCAGCATCAAGTTACTTTGCATTGCATGAATGCCAAGACCTTACTTCAGAATGGAAACCTTACAAAAGCCAATCTTGTGTTATCAGAAGCAATGGTGCTATTACACTATTTAGAAAATGTGAATCAGAGCACCCCAGCTCACTTGGTGCATCATAAAGCCATTTTACTCCACTTACAAGGAGTAGCAGTATTGCTTGGAAACAGGAATTTGGCTAGTGAAGTTTCTGTAGATCGTAACTGGTTTTATAAGACTCAGATGAACACCACATCTTGTGGAAGTACAGAAGAAAATCCTATTGTTGTTGTGGATGATGAAGAACCTGAGCTTGAAATGCCAAGAAAGGCTTCAAATAGAAAAACCAGGACTTCTAAAGCTGTGGAAAAAACTTCTACTTTGGATAATGGGAGGAAGAAATCTTCAAGAGCAAAGGGCAGGGGAAAGAACAAAAAAGTAACAGAGGAGCATTTAGAATGTGAGAAATCTGATGCAAATCCTGAACAAAAGCCAAAGCAACAAACTAGGAAACCATCTAAAGCTATTTGTTGTGATGTGGGTGATCATATCCAAGGTATAGACCATTGTTTCCCAACTCTCATTTCATAACACACCGGTATCCTCTCTAGACATAGGACCATTTGAGATGGTCCCACCACAATTTTGTGAAAAATCATACCACTTAAAAATCTCAGCACTTAATAGGACTAGCCCATCTGAATTAGATGCATATCAGCTACAAATTATTCAAGTTGTTGGTTTTGTTTTGACATTTCTCTCTATCCAGCTTCTGTCAAACAGCTCAATCAAGCCATCCAGTACTTCAGTGAAGCATTTAATCTCTGTCAAGTGTGTCCTCCTCCTGCCCTGTTCTCTGACATCTGTCAAGGATTAGCCTTCTGCCTTGGAAGATCAGCACCTGAACTCACAACATACTACTTAAACTTGTCCATGTCTGTTACTCTTAGACATCAAGCTGTTACCAGAACAGGAAAGAGAATAAAGTAAGAACTTACTATAAATTATTTATTGAGCATTAAATGACATTGGAATTAAATGGTGTTAATTATTTTTGTTTTATTTGGCTGATATGAGTTCAACATTGAATTTGTTGAATTGGCAAATTTACCAAATCCAAATCAGCAAAATGGTTATTTTTCAATTTTTTTCCAGAAATTGCAGCAAATATGTCAGAAATGAGTGATATTTATCACGTTTAAATAAACAAGTGTGTAAAAACTTTCATTTCAACCTGTTGTGTCCTTCATATCCTCACCATGGTATAGATGCCAAAGAGTAGTTGTTTAGCATAATTTGGAACTAGGTTGTAGAACACTCACCCACACTACAAAGAGAATGGCAAGGTTTACCAACTTTTTGTTGATTTAAGTTGTAGTTCAACTCAAATTTATTGATTATGACCTCACTGACTAATGTCCAGGGGTGTATTGTAATTGAATCCACTGTGATTTTGTTATTTCAGGAGATTAGCAAAGGATTTTTCTCAACCTTTGCCAGTAAGTATTTGTGACTACTCTGATGCACTTGGTAGATTTCTATTTGTTATGTATAACCTCTCAGCTATTATTAAATCTCAGTGGCCAAAAGGCACATCAAAGTTTGTCTGTTCCTCTGGATGGGATGCCAGAACAGGGAACTAGAACATGGGATGCCAGAACAGGGAACTAGTAAGATAAATCTACAAATAGATTTCTCTTTGTTTCCTTATTTCCTTTTGTTTGCTAGGAGAATGAAAGAGATCTAGTGCAGCTTGCAGAACATCTTTCTTCCTTGTCACTTGATGACTCTTCAACTGATAATACTCACCATAAACTGGCAGCTCTGGTAAAGACTCGAAACATCATGAAGTTTTCTTTGTGTGCAAATGAAAGAGGAAAACTATGTCTATTTACTCCAGAAGAAATTTCCCTTTTGCAGAACATGCCTAAAGGTACATTAAAATTATTTTATAAGAGATAGATAGCTTCCAGTTGTGTTATGCAGCCAAACCAGCATTAAATAAAGTGTTTAAGAGTTCAACTTCCTCAGGACTGGCTTGTATGACAGTATGACTTTAATAACATGAAAATTTATTCTTCCTGTAAACTGTGATAATTATTTATATGAAATGATTTGAGTTCTTTACACAAAATTACATCGTTAAAAATGTTTTGATGCCAGAACACCACACTAAAACTCTAGCCAATTCTTCTGCTTGTGTCACATAGATAATTGCATTTTTCATGATCTGACATTTCTTTAACAATTAGAACTGAAACTTAATTCATAACGTTAAGCAAATAATGAATTAGGTAATAATCCTGTAGTGGGATATTGGTGAGGTAGGAAATAAAATTATTGTTTTCTAGAGTGGACTGTTTGCACTTTGGAAACCTTCACACATCCAGTGAGCAAGGACAGAGAACTGCTGATCAGCAGGATGAGGGCTGGCTGTGATCCTGCTGTGGTTAAGATTAACACAACATCTGGAGAGGAACAGAGCAAGGATTGCATTGTATGTCACTTTGTTTGTAACAACTTGATTTTATTACAATTACTCTGTTAGATTCACTTAGGGAGAGTGGAGATTCTATCCCTAAGTTGGAAGAGGTAGTAGCTTACCATCAGTGGTGATTCTGTAATAAAAGATCTGAGTGTAAGCTTTGTCTAAGGCCACTGCAATGAGTTCTTGGGTAAAATACTAATTAAACTCTCGTACCTCTTTATGTAGAAGATAAGTATGAATATGTGTAGCTTGATTAAGCAAACTATCTGGGATATCTGACATAGCCTGAGCTTACCAGATGAATTCTCATTTAACCTCTAGAAAGTCTGTAAGTAATGATAATGAACATAACCAGACTTACCAGTATGTTCTTTTGGCAATGCAATTTAACTTTAATTAACAATTGACTGAAATTTTTTTTTTGGTAAAGGGAGATGAAGTTGTTATGGATCTTTCAAAACTGTTCCAGTCTGGTGTATTGGAGGAGTTTGCAGATATAATGAGTGACAGCATCAAAAGTATGAACATTAACAACACAGCAGAGTGGTGGGCACTGAGGACAAGGCTTGACAGGAGAATGAAGGTGATCAGACTTAAACTCCCACAAGTGATGAATGTGTATCTTCTCCTAACAGGATCAGTACAGTATACAGGAATAAGGAGAAGAGAAAAGGCAGATTCATCAATAACATAGTGTTATCTTGATATATCTCCAAATTTGAGGGAAAAATTTCAGAAAGAAATGTTTAAAGCTGAAAAGGAGAAGTAAAAATCAGATTTTTGAGGTTACAGTGTTTAAATTGGTAGAGTTAAATTATTTTGCTGGGGATGAGCAAAGTGCCTTTCTGCTGGTTTTGAACTTGCCTTAATCAAAGACTTTCAAGTATTTGATGGGCCAAATTTGTTAAATTTTTCTATAATCTATCTCAGAGCATTTTGACACATTATTTTTCTGGTCAAATGGCCTGGTATTTCCATGGATAACAAAGTTGATAGATTGTTATTTCCTAATGTGGCCCATTTTACGTCCACATTTGATGTTCATAGGAGTTATTGCCAGTACTTCATCTTTTGATAACGGCTTTTCAATTGATTCTGGCAACCAAAACAAAAATAATCACAGTGGTCAATGAGAACTCTGCAACTGGAATCCAAATGAAGTTTCCAAGAGGCAATAAGAACTTTAAGTGAAAACATGTGGAGTGTTGGAAATGTCAGAAGACACAGTTAAATGACCAGGTCACAATTTGTTTTACTTCTGCATCCAATTGATGGAAAGTTTGGTTAGAGCTTTAAAGACCAATCTCAGTATGTAGTAAAGTATATCTTGAGTCATCTAGATATATTTGTGAAAATCAAACAAGTTCCTCTGTTCTAACTTATTACCATAATCATCACTGCATGGATATCACATAGTTAAAAAAGAAATTTGTGATTTTTCTGATCATTTCTTTAGAACCTTTTGGAGAAGATTGAAGGTTCTTGGCTTGGGAGATGGAGAGGAGTTCTTCTTGGTCAGCCTGTCAGTCAGGAACATCATGAATCAGTAGCATCCCTAGCTAGAGAGTTGGAAGAGAAGATATTAGTCATGTGTGGATACCAACCCGATTATCATTTGCTTGAGGTATGACATGCATGAATTGATCAGAGTTTCTTATGTTCCAAGAAAGGCAGATTGAATGATAAATGTTTTGTCTGTCAATCTTTGTTACTATTTATAAATCATCTTCTTAAGTGCATGATCTGGAAATGATGATTGAAGCAGCTAGCAAAACCTTGCATTGTAACTGAAAGGGAACCAGGGATGGTGCATTGGTGAGAGTACTTGCCTCCCACCACTGTGGCCACATGTGGGTTGAGTTTGTTTTTGGTTTGCGGCTTTGCTCTAAGGGTTTTTTGTCTGGGTCATCAGGTTTTCCTCCCTCCACAAAAACTAACATTTCAAATTCCAATTTGACCTGGAACATGTGGACAAGAAGAGCCACTTTGTGGAATGTCCACAGTTGTATCTAATTATTATCATTATCATTATCATTATCATTATCATTATCATTATCATTATCATTATCATTATCATTATCATTATCATTATCATTATCATTATCATTATCATTATCATTATCATTATTATTATTATCATTAAGTGTTCTTTGTTTGTTTCAGGTCCTCATAGATTCATCATTCTGCTTGTCAAGAAAAGAAACTGCTGAAGCACTGATTGAAATTACTGGCATGGATGCTACCTTACCATCCTTTGAAAAAGTACAAACAAAACTTTTCATGCAAGAGAAGAATTCCTCAATGTCAGCTTTAGCAATGCTTGATGTAAACCAATTGCAATTTGGTCTAACCTTCTTCCTAGACATAGCATCCCTCAGCTGTTGATTATTTTTGTTTTGATTATTTGGTGTGCATTAAAATTTCACCATATTAGTTTGTCGTGGTGGATTACTTGACAGGAGAATGTGTTTGGTCTTAGCAGCTAGATGGTGTTGTTCCTCAGCCTTGCCCCTTAAATTAATCATCTCTCATTTCATGATCTCTCACATTGTGTATTTCAGCTACTTGATGAAGTTGAGAACCTCACTGGCAAGCTATTTGAAGACAGAGACAAGAAGAGCAGCATAAACAGGTTTGGGGGAACATCAAGATTGATCTTCTTTCCTACCTTCCATTGCTTCTACTCTTGAAAATTATTGATGACGACAAAAATTTCTTCTCAGGTCTGGTGATCACTCTGCTGAGAACATTGCCCGCCATCCCGTAATCCTAATTCTTGGGAAAGTAAGAGCCAGCTTTTTTGGTCTGATATTCATTTAGTAATCAGCTATAAACATGTTCTATAGCTCTGGCTCTAAAGACCTGACAAATGTAGAGCCAACATGTAAGTTCTTTGTTAGTGGGTGTTGGTGGACTGTCAAAGAATCAAAGCTCAGCCAAATGCTGAGGTGGGGGGGGGGGCAGGGGGGGTATCTGTAATGGACTGGCATTACATGATAGGGAAGTAGTGATACTCTTAGTTAAGAAAGCTTGAGCTCCATATTCAGCTGTTTGGAAAATGATGGTCATACATGGTCACATACAATGTCAGTGTAATGGGTATTGGTTGTTCAACATTATTTTTGTTTAATAAAATTCAAGGTATTCTGACACAAAGGTAAATCTATGGGCATGCATACACATGCTACCATTGTAAAATGTATGGTTAAATTGTGGTAGCAAATATTACATATCAATTCACTCAGTATTGTTACAAGATGGCATTATATGAGCCAGAAATGATGAACCAGAGTCAGTTTATGGCAATTGTATGAATCAAACTGACATCTTTTATGATTTATAGGAAATTCAGCATCTTCCTTGGGAAAGTATACCCATGCTGTTTGACCAACCTGTGACTAGGGTCCCATCTCTGCAGTATCTTTTGTCCAAGGTACACATTCCATTAAACCATTAAAAGTTTGAAAACCTGACTTGTTTCTCAAGAACTGTCCTGTTTTCTCCCAAAACCATATTGATTTTTGTCTCGGCTATGAAGTATGTTTGAAGACAGGTCGATGATGCCCATTTTGAGATTCCAAAGAGTAACCTAACCTTTTGAGAATTGTCTTCAAATGTACAAAAATTGGACTATAGATTCTGGGAATTTGATATTGCTTGGTAACCCAGCTGCTTACATGTGATTCAACAGACATTAGCTCACACTATGGCTGCACTGATTTTACACTGACCAGAACTGGAGGGTGAGAAAAATGGAAAAATAAAGACCAATGACTATAGTAGTAGTTTTTTTTAACACTTTACATCCATTGTCATTTGTTTTGAACTGTGGGACATCATGTGCAGCTTGACAATACTGAGTTGTTTTCAAAATGGCAACATCTGTATACTTTTTTCTTCTTTTTTGCACATTTGGAGACAAATTTCAAAAAAATTTGCAATACTCTTTGGAGTCTCAAAATACAAAGTATTAAGTTTTTCAAGATCCTTTTCAATGGCAGAGACAAAACTATATGGTCTGATTATTTAAACAAAGTTTAATGGTTGTTTAACAAAACCATCTTGTAAACAATCCTCAATTTAGTTGAACCTTTTTTTCTGATCACTTTTTTTTGGGTGTCAGGAGAACCCAAAGCTAGAAGTGGAAGGACATCTATTTAATTCTATTAATCCTCTTAAAGAGAAAGCCTGAAGCCCACTGGTTGTGTAAAACCATGGTTTGGGTTTGACCTTATGTAAATAACTGGCCCTATGGTTTCTGGAGCAAGGTTGTCCCTTAAAATAATGATTTCATAATTTCATTAGCATTTTTCTTTTTCTTTTTTTTTATAACATACATTTTGTTACACATTAAAAAATGTATGTTATTTTGTTATCTATTAGCCAAGGTAAGCAAAAGGGGAAAATTGCCAGTTGATTGAATGGGTTGAAGCTCTCTTTAAGATGTGGTTGCCTGTCACAACAGTTTATGTGCCAGATTGTTAGTTTTTTAATACCATGATGTTCAGTATCAATAAATAATTTTTTTTGCATTTTTCTTGATAGTTATCTTGTCAGAGACAGTTGCCAGAGATTAATCCTGAGAAAACATTCTATGCACTCAATCCTCAGAATAACCTGCCTAACACTCAGAAAATGTTTCAGAAGTGGTTTGAAAGGTATGAAACACAAGCAAACAAACCAAAATGAAACAGAAGAAAGACCTGATATTGCTTTTCTTGTACATTAAACTAGGTTATACAAGTTGATAGAGGTTACTCAGTAAATAAACCCCTTCAGGCAGCAGGTATTGTGGCTGATGTCTGCAGTTGAAATATTGTGCAAAAAATGAACATTTGGACTGGAAGCAAAGCTTTGAGGGCAAATGTGAAATGTTGAGGGCAATCTGTCAGCAAAGGAAATTATCTGCGGACATCCCAGTAAGCTAGAAGAAGGTGTATAACCTTCCCTTTAATTTTCATACCACTGGAATCTACAAAAGGAGTCCATTTTTCTTCCATCTGAAGTAATTCAGATGAAAAGGGAAACTTGTGAGCTAGCTTTTTTCTGCTGGGTTTGTTTCTTTTTTACAGAAATAATTGGAGGACAAATATTAACATAAAGGGGTTATTGCATGATAACTGTCCAATGATTTGCACTATGTGACATAGGGTAGCATCTAAAATAGTGTCAAAATTAATCATTAATTATTATCATTAATTAAATACACTAAAAATAATTGTTGTGGTTTGCAGTGAGGATGGATGGCAGGGTATCACTGGCAATGCTCCAACACAGGAACAGTTCAGGAGTGCTTTGACTGACCATGACCTGTTCATGTAAGTTTCTGTAAATGCACTAGTAAACCTCCTATTTTATGAGTTCCCTTTGTCAAGAACATCAAGATTCTGGTGGGCCTCCTCTCTCTCATAAGCCACTTATGCCCCCCGCCCCCTCTCTAGAACAAAAGCTACCCAATGCTTGTTATATACTTACAGAGCTATCAGTGCTGAAATACTAAGAGTTATGACTCATAAATGATAAAGAAGCTGAATAAAATAGAAAAAGATATTTTTGGTTTCTTTTAGCAGTATAAATACTTAAAATTTTGTTTGTGTGGTTACTTAAGTTGGATTTCCCACATTATGATTTGTTGGTATCAGTTAGTAATGATTTATTAATGATTTATGTTATGTTGACTGAACTGTGTACAATACTACTGGAACAAGAGAGATGATGGTTTTTGAGTGGCATAGGCATACCTTGAAAAAAAGTTAATGTCAGAAGTCAGATCTATGACCCTTTGTATATGTTGTGGTTCAATTTTATCCTTGGTTCAAATTTTATTTTCCTTTGATTCAAACTCATTATCATACATTACAATACCCAAAAACAAAAGAAAATAAAATTTGAACCAAGGATAAAATTGAAGCACAACTTGCATCCAAGATATGGTAGGGTTGTAATAGCTAAGATGCCAAGCTAGGCCCAAAATACAAACATGGATGTGATAAACATTTTCAGATTAGGTATCTACAGTACAAAGTTTTATTGTTTCTGTTGCTTTAATCATCACATCAATATTCTTTCTAGATATTTTGGTCATGGCACTGGGCGTGAATTTCTCCAGGGTGATGACATTCAGAGGTTGGATTGTCGAGCGGTCACTCTGCTTATGGGTTGCAGCTCTGGAAAATTACAGGTTAGTATATTCCAGACTGTGGAGGAAAATATTTCCATATAATTGGTGCAGACAAACCAACAAAGGCAAAGGAAGTGTTCAATTGTTTGGTTCTTTTGTGAAGTATGCATGTTGAGACTGGGGCATATTAGTAACTGAATTGTTTTAAATTCTCAAGATTGGTGGTGAGTGTGAGCCAAGAGGGATGGCATTAAACTATCTTCTGGCAGGCTGGTATGTTTTTGATGTTCCTTTGTTGCATTAGTTTGCCTTAAAAAGTCTTTATGGCTGTGCTCTATCAGTATTTTCAATAACTTGTTCACTAAGCAGCTGGTGATATTGTATTAGGCAGCTGTACTCAGAGATGGAGCCATAAAGCAAAACCCAAATACAGGAGCCTATTTTTAGCTCCCATGAGTGACCAAGACAGAATTTCTCCTTACAACATCTATACAATATCAGGCAGACAAGTGATGAGAATAAAGAAAAATATAATTAGGGGATTACTAATTGACTCAAGACCAAATTCTTCAAACCAATATCACAAAAACTATATGACAGACAGTAAGGAGAATTACTAATAAGATCTTGGGAGTTAAAGGGTTTACAGATGGCAGTAAGAGGTCCTATAGGCAGTGGTAGACTGCTGTTATCAAATGTTATAATTTTTGTCAATAATATTTATAATATATTCACTTTCAGCCCAGCCATTGTTGCTAACCTGTGGGATGTTACTGACAAAGACATTGATCGCTTCAGTGAATTGCTGCTGAAACAGTGGCTTCAATCAGGGTTGTGTTTGTCATTACCACAAGTACTAAGCCAGTCACGACAAGCTTGTAAACTGAAATATCTGATAGGAGCATCTCCTGTACTTTATGGCCTTCCAGCTTACACCAAAGAACAAAATGATTAACTAAGATTAACATAGATTAGTTTTAGAAAGGAACGGCAAAGTATTTGCCATACTAGCAAAGTGTTGAACAAACAGTAGTGCATACAAGGCACAGTTATTAATTACATGTAATCAATTCACTAATGTATCATCAACTGGAAACAGTTCAAGAAAAATGTCATCTGTATTGTTTTTCATTAGCTTAAAGTTTAGCTTGCATATTAAGGGTATTTCTCTGATATCTATATCAATTGTGAAAACATAGAAAAACATTATTGACTGAATTGATGTTCCTTGTTTCCAAGCAGATACTTGGTGATTTTAGTATTAAATATTTTTTTAAATTCTTGTGCTCAAATGGTGATGATGATGTTGCCTCAATAAAGTGTAATTATTCATGGAAATATATATTTCTAGGTTTCCTCTCAATTGAGCAATTTTCATTTGTCCAAGTTAATTAAAAAGGAACCCTGTTATACTAAATTTTAAAGATCCAAAATGATAGTTTATTCCTTGGAAATGTAAAATTCATAACTGAATGTCAGCCATGATTTCAAGATATATCTTCATTTGTTTAGTAACTTTGCAAATCGGGAAAAGTGCATTTTTGCTGATCGTTGAAGGGTTTGTTATGGTGAAAGAGAACTGGTTTTCATGCAAACTTCATGAAAACAAAACAAACTCAGAGGAAGCCTTTTGTTAACTTTTTAAACTCTGAGAGTGATCAGCATCTAGTTTCTCCTTACCATTATAATGCTGAATCTCTTATTAAGATCATGAGCACAAAGGAAATGATCTCCAATCTAAGAAGCTTTCATTGTTAAACAAAGGAAATGTAAAGAGAGGAATATGGATACTTTAGTTAGGTTGATGCTATTGAATTACAAACTCTTCTTTTGACTGTCTTTTGTCTTGTTTTCTCCAAAATGGGTATCAACACATTTCTATGTAAGTAAGGAGTGAAATGAAGTGCTCAACAACTGTATTTTTTAATAAATATAGTGTATCAATATTTCAAGCTAAGTAAAGAATTAAATTTGCCAGTTTATTTATGTTTTGCACCAACATTACAAATTAAGTTTATTTGGTTAATCTGTCTATTTTAGACCTTTTTTTGATACTAGAAACACCAACCATATTGGCTGTTTTTTCATGGTCAGTGTTGAGCTAACAGCTTTCCTCCTTTACACAATGCTTTCCAATTTTTACCTGACATTTCAAAGAATAGCTGCAAAGGACTTGAACAAACAGCTTAAAACCAATCACCAAGCCTGACCTTTAAAACCAAGGCCCAGTTGCTCAAAGGATGGATAACTCACTCTCCAGTGGATAAGTGTCAACAAAATGTACCACACTATCCACTGGATAGAGATTTATCTGACAAGTAAAAAGCATAATCCAGCCTTTGAACAAACAGTGCCAGGAATTCAGCAAGCCATTACCCTTGGGCCAATTTACGTTCCATAGAATTGTACAGAAGGTACTATGTTATTATAAAAATGTTGTCTAATATTCTCTGTATTAGCTTTGCATGTTCCTAGATATCAAGTAGGATGTCTAAAACTCTGATCTTATACTCTTTTAATTAAAAGCATAGTAATAAACCCTTCTACACCTTCTGGTGGCCATTTCTGGCTAATAATATTCTGTTTACTACACTTCTTGTAAAATATACCTAGTGTATAGGCTAGAAAGCCAGTGAGAGACCACTGAGGTAGCAAACTTCCTACCCTGCACAACCATCAAATGCCAAGCAATATTAAAAAGAACTGGTTTAAAAGATCCTGAAGAAACCCACCCATAGTAACTTCATGCATACACATAGGTATATTGGGCATACTGTGCTAAAATATTGCACTCGTTTGGCAAATATAATATTGTTTGCTGAGCTGGAAATTATTAAATAAATGTGATCTCTGAGAGAAGATCACTGAGCTACTTGCATAACCAGTGATAATGCTGAGGACGTCTAAGTTACCAAATGAGGTCATAAGTTTGATACCCAAATGTTTCAGCTGGCCTCAGAGAGACTGTCCTTTTAGAGTTAATCACAGATGTGAAAGACTGGCTTTATACAGTTAAAATTTACTATGAAAAAATTTAGAAATGTTGCTTACAACCTTCACTGCAGGTTAGAGTTACAACCACCTAACAACTCTTTGACAGGACCTCTGAACTGAAGAGCATATTCCTTTAATTTTGCTTCTGACACAAATGGTTTAGAAAATGGTGAGGCCACCTGGCCCCATTTAGCCTAAATTAAAAGGTATACATGGTAATTTAGAACTATCAACTGAGTTGATAACATTAATTGGCCACCTTAAATAGTAAAAAAGATGACATTTTGAGCATTGATCAGCTTTGTCACTCTTTACGGTGGGCAATTTATGTTATCAACTCAATTGATAACGCTTAATTACCCTGCTTTATTCTCCCACCGACGCAGCACTACACTTTCTTTAGAAACTTACCCCCTTTAAAAGGTAAACATGTTTGCATCAAGCCAAATTTCTAGGCATGAGGAGTGATAACATTCATTCATTACATCTCTAAGTCACCTTACAGTACTTTTGTCTGCCATAATTTAGCTGGGCAAAACAACCTATTCTTTCAGAATCGCCTTGCACTATTAATAATTGTATCATCTAAAAGATAGCCAACATAAATAAACTATCTCAACGTTGTTGATCTTCCTTCAGGAACTGGAACACAGATGAAAAGTCTAGCTTAGCATATCCTTTGTTGCACATTATTCTATAAATCTGATGTGCAAGTGAACCCATGGGTGTGGGACTGGTGGTAGCAGTTGCTGCACTTTGAGCAAGACCTAAGTCCTGTAACAAAAACAAAAACAAAAACATTTAATGCTTTTTATTAACAATAACTAGCCACTGAATTCCAAATGCTCACACTGTACTTTGATAATAAGGTAAACTGAAAAAACCAATTTTTTTCCATCACTTGCCCTTGCTATAAAACAAAGGTTTGGGAAGTATTTCAGTTTTTTTTTCTGGTGGTCAAAATCATGTTGACTCATTTGTGTTTGAAATTTTTTGAAGATTGGCACCAAACTGATTTGAAAAAATTTGATTTGAAAAAAAAAATGATTTCAAAATACCAAGAAAAAAAAGTTCTTATTTTCATTTATTTATTTATTCATTTATTTATCTATTCACCTTTTTTTGCAGGGGGGGGGGCAGGTGGGGGGAGTTGGGTGGAAGGAGGCTAAAGGATTTGACAATGCAGCATGTTGAAAGCAGCTACATCTGTTGGATCCAAGTACTAGATACCATTTCCCAAAATTTAAAAAAGAACATTAATCAATAGATTTAAGCAATAGCACTTCCATTTCCTGGCCCTTTAACCAGTGTCTTAAAGTCAAATTGTAATTTTGGCCTATTGGTTTTTTTGAAGGAAGAAGAAAACTCTTCAAGGAAGGACAAACCAAAAAAAACTCAACCTACATGTGAAAAAGGCCCCAGTTGTTGAAAGGGTGGACAACACTATCCAATGGATAAATCTCTATCTAGTACATAATGCTGTGTGTTTTGTGAATGCTTAACCTCTGCAGGAAAGTATCATTCTTCCCTTCAAACAACTGGGCTCAGGACTGCTATGGTGGGAGGGGAGCACTCTTGCCATCTGGCCAAACCCTGCAGCCTACCTGTGACACAAAGGTACCCCCACCCTTCTTATCTAAGAACACAACTTCTTGCTAATCATATTTTCATCTTGCACCAACTTACCTTGACCATAAGCTGTGATGCAAATCCTCCTTGATAGTTGTTACTGGAAGGGATACCTTCAATGATTCCAGGACAGGGATTGTAAGTGTCACTGGACCAGCAACGACCACTGCTTGTGTTAATTACCTTGGCGATCATTTCTGGTTCTAGACCCAGCCGAATTCCTAGATTTGTGGCCTCTGAAACTCCTATCATGCTCACAGCTAGTAACAAATTGTTGCAAATCTTGGCTGCCTGTAAAGAGAAGGTTATGCCAAGTGTTAAATCGTAATTGTATCTGCTCCCAATCTGTGAATCCCTCACATCTTGCTACCCAAGAGGGCATGTTTACAGAAAACCATTCTTTTTCTTCAGAATTACCTGAACATTGTCTTTGCTAGTTGAGCTTGGAGATCATTTTGTTCATCTTCTCCATTTCAATGTGAAGTGCTGATGAACTGCTTGGAATTAGCAATGTATAAGTGTAATGTATACAGCTGTTTGCAGAAAGGTTGTCAGAAAAAGCGCTACAACTCCCAAAAGCAGTGTGAATAGTTTTAAGGTATTCAGGGAAATCTGAAAAAATGTCAGTTTAAGGAAGACACATAGGGGGTTTGATAAATTTATTTTGTTTGCAAGACTGACTTTTAACTCTAAACCTGATGAAAAATGAAAAAAGAACGGACCAATCTCAATGAACAACAGAAACAATATAAAACTCAACGAGAACAAATTCTGGGTGACCTGAGCAAAAAATATTTTAAAAAACAATATTCTATTGTTTTGTTCCTCTCATATTCACATGCATGTTGGCATTTGTCAAAATTTATCAGTTTCAATTAAAATTCATTGATCACTGGATACTCAGATTACCTTTAGAGATTGTCACATGCACTTTTTCATTTTTCCGACAACCTTTCTGCAAACAGCCGTAAATGTTAATTCTCATTTATCACTGTTATTCTTGCCATAACCATCATTGTTATTATTAATAGTAAGAGATTTAACCCTTTCACTTCAGGATCTCTTACTGAATGCCATACAATTCTTACAATGTCAGTTTGGAGAATTTGGTGTTGGATTAAGTAATAATCACCTAATTGATATTTTTCTTAACTCTCATCACTTGTCTGCTTGACATTGTATTGACACTGTAAAGAGAAAATTTGTCTTGGTCACTTATGGGAGTGAAAGGGTTAAGTAGATGCATTCTACTCAAACTACCTGTCCTGTGCCAATAGCTCCAGTGTGAATTACATTCTTTCCCATGTGTTGTAATATTTTTGTAGCTCTTTCATAAGCTTCATCTTCACCACCAACCATAAATGTTAAAGTTCCTCCTTTAGCTGCTGTTACCCCTGAAATCAATTTGCAGACAAATATTTGGTAAAATTGAGAGTTTGATCAACATTATATACTCCACCTAATAACCTCTTTCTCCCATCACTGGTTCAAAAAGTTAAAAAGGGATAAACCCAGTACACTCCCTAAACTGGTTTGTGAAAGTGATAGGGCTCACCTTCAAATTTTTCGCACTACATTTTTTGTTTTTTCTCACCATTGCTGGATTAACAACTCAAAAAAAGGTACACTGTTTGTAGCCAAAGGCTAACTTTAAATTGTCAATTGGCTCTGTAACCTTTTATCTCCCATGAGTGACCAAGACTGAGTACTCCTTCAATATCAAGCAGTCAAGTGATGAGAATAAATAAATATATCAATCTGGGGATAATTAATTGATCCAATACTAAATTATCCAAGCGAACATCTTATAAATTGTATGGCAGAAAGTAAAGAGAATTACCAATGAGATCTTTGGAGTCAAAGGGTTAACTTGTCACTTTTTTCTAATCAAAGGCTGCCAACTTCCTATGGTTCCTGTACTTCCCCTATATGGTGATGGCAATTTCCCACAGAAACTGTGTATAATTTTGTATCTTTTGAGCTGTCTTCCTTTGAAAATTCACACCACAGGTGTGATGTGTCTGTCATGTGAACCCTTCAACCCCTAAGATTTACGAAGCATAAATTTATCCTCACAATATTACCCCTGAATCAAACATGAAGGTTATGAAAACAGAGGAAATGATCACCACAGAGAGCAGTAAGGAGAACATGCATACTGATGTTCAGATGTTGAGGGTTACATGACACCTCACCTCCAGATACTGGTGCATCCAGAAACGTGGCTCCTTTGCCCTGTACAATTTCACCCATCTCCTTGGCAACGGCTGGTTCTATTGTGCTTGTGTCAATCAACAATGATCCAGGCTTCACAGAACTACAAAAATTATATGTTTTATTTGTAACAGTAACAGACATTTCAAAATTCAGTCTTTCAATGAAGCAATTCCCAAATATACCCAAGCAGACCCCAGAAGGGTCTCAAAACAAAAAGTCTTGAAGGAATTTATGTTTCAATAAATAACTTTCCAGGGGGCTGGGGAAGGTGGCTTAAGGCAAAAACACCTGTAGGCCTCTTTCATAATGGTGACCAACTTGCTTTTCCTTCCTGTGCATTCAAATCAACTTTCTCATATTTTTAAGGCAAATTGAGTTTGCCATTGTTACTCTTTATTGATGAGGCTAAAAGAGATAATTTATATCAAATATAAAAGAATAAAGATGATTCCCTCCATCACAAAAAAGAGTGCAGGGAATAGAAGGAAGAAGTATTCTTCGAAGTAATACAAAGCTAGAAATAACAGGGCTATTTTCATTTACCTCAGGATACCACTCTCACCACAATAAACTTCTTTCACATTTGGACTGCAATCAGAAACAAACTGTTAATGAATTGAATTTCAATGGAGTGGTAGCTGGTCCTTAAAGTTATTGTCGACAGGTGTGATAAGTCCCAACAAAGATTGTTACCAGGGGCAGTTACTGACATTTTAACAACCTGAGCAGATATTATTATGATTAGGGTCATCAACTGTATCCCATGCACAATCTCATTGGATAAATCATTCCATATAGCCCAAGGCCATCAAAAAGTTATCAGCAAATTACTCTAGTCATATGATTTAGATGTTTGTCAAGCTTGAGTTTAGTGACTGGAGCATCACTGTGACATGATAGGAAGGCAACACCGACGCATATTTTAACCCTTTACTCCCTAACATCAGTATGCATATTCTCCATACTGTTCTCTATACATTTCCTAAGTTGCTGATAAGGAGAATTTGTTTAACAATCAAGAGCTTCTTTGGTTGGTGATCATTTCCTTTATTCTCATGACCTAAATGTGTGACTCAGGGGTGATATTGTGGGGAGAAATAAGATGTGAGTCACTCTTAGGGGTTAAAGGGTTAAAGTTATAAGAGCAATAAAAAAAACCTGATTGAATACATACATTAGAGCTAACTACTGAAACATCTTGACGTTTTAGGTTTAATTTTTTGAAGCAATATATGATTCATATAAGTTAACAGACAGTTACAGACAATGCCCTTGGCTAAAAGTGTGTCCTTAGAATTTTTCAGTCACTCTTTTCAACTGTTGATATTTTGGGCGATATTGCAGTTGGACATCATTCTCCGATGCATAAGCTGCTGAAAAACATCTTTTTTAATAAACTTTAGGTTACTAGAAAGTGTGTCTGCTGGCGGTGAGAAAGGTATCAAGTACTTAAATTACCTGGAAGGTAACATGGTGACTATTGTGGTTGCCTTGGAAGCCACTTCACTGGGCGTGGTGGCTGTAGCAGCTCCCAGTTGTTTCAGATCTACAACAGCCTCTGAGAATATGTCATGGACTAAAATCTCATGTCCTGCATTCAACAAATTCTTCGCCATGGGACCTCCCATGTTTCCCAAGCCTATAAACCCAATGGGCTCTCCCTGAGAGAAATAGGAGATAATGAAAAGAAAAATGATTTGAAAAGAAACACAACACTCTGATGAAGAAAAAAACCGTCTTGGTTGCACACATCCTGCACCATGTCTACAAAAGTGTCACAGGAAACTAACGTTTTAATAATTATTAAACAAGTTTTCACCACTTATTTCAGTGAATTAAGTAATAGTCCAGAAAAAAAGCAAACCCGCAACACAACTTTACTCTTGTTCGTCCGTTACGCGCCACCTCCCCCTAAAACACCCCTATGGAAACAGTCAAATGCCTGACTGTCCATGTCTTACAGCAGGTTAGATAAAGACGACTGTATTAGCCATCCAACTTTAACTTTTGAGATTTAAGCCTATGTGCTCGCTCGTAATTACCGAAAAAGTTTCATCCGTGACTATTATTTCATTTATTGACCATTCAACCAACATAAGTTATATCTAATGTTATTAATAAAATCAAGAATCGTCGCGAGCCAAAAGAGCCGATCAATTTTAAAATAAACCCTTAAAAAGTGGAAAAAATAAAACAATAATACTAAATCACAAAAATTAACAGTTTAATTTTACTGGTTTCCACGGTGTGTTCCACGTGGAATTAATACAAACAATTCTGGATCGAACGTGAAGCTTACCTGAGTGGAACTGCCACCTGAAAATTAGAAAAGGAACGGACTCGGTAAGATATTCAGGAATCATGGATCAAAACATAAACAGTCCTTAATCAATTCTGGATTACGACCTTACTTGAAAACAAGCGGCAGATCAGAGCTCTATTAGCCAGCGATCGGATAACGATATTTCCCTTACAAACTGTTGCCATTTTGTCTTCTCGCTCCAGTCCCGCGAAATTTTAGTTTGCGCAATATTGCGCGCGCTTACTATATGATAACAACCGCTGTTCAACAAGAGACGAAAATATGGCTGTCTTCACGAGAGTTGCCGATTTTCTTCAAAAATCAATCGCCTTTACTTGTGCAGTGGGATGTATTTACATCTTAGCTATATCTGGAAGGAACTATTTAATAATACGTAAGAGGAGACTCGCGAATGCGGCCGCAATTGAAGCCGAAAAAACAACTGATGTACCTTCATCGTCGTAGACGGAATGCTTCTACATTCAATTTTATAGGTATGCAAGAGAGCAACAATCCTCTCTTCTACTTAAGTGTTTGAGGAAATGTGTATGATTTATCCGCAACTTATTTCAATCGATTCATCAGAGTTTCCTTCGAGATGAAATGTTGTATAGTCTTATATTACCAACCTTCATAACTACATGTTGCAATTGCATAATCAATCATAATTTGAGCGTTTGTGCTCTTTTCGGCACGGCACTGTATTCGACATTATATGTTAAGCTGAATTGTAAACGCATTTTGATTGGTTCTAACTTATGTTCTATTGGAGGAAATACGCATAGATGAAATCACTGTTCGCAACATTTTGATTTTTTTATCACATATAAAAAAAATGGATTCTATGTTGTTGTGCACTTGTTCACTTCTTTGTTCTTACCACATTTTGACATCATCCGTGATCTAAAACTGATTATAACATAGCTAGTAAATTTGTCGAATCAAATTCAATTGTGCGAGCGTGCTTCATATTCCTATTGTGCACGCTCATGACATCAGCAAACATATCCATTGAGAAAAAAAATTTCCATCAGGTTGGAAATGTTATAAAACAATTGGTTCATACGTCAGCTGTGCATTCATCGAGATATGAAGCACTTGGGAAGTTTGGAGAGCACTCAAGAAGCTAGAGTTGCTCTCAGCTACGCCTCGAGCAACTCTTACACATCTTTCATGCTCTCCAAACTTCCCGCGTGCTTCATATCTCGATGAATGCATGCTGACATATGAACCAATTGTTAATTATATAATAAGCTCAGTTATGCAGGCATTCTGATTGGTTCTCACTCATGATCTATTGGAGGACTGACATATAGATGATGTCATCATTAAAACTTTTTTTAATTCTTTATTATATAAAACAAATAGATTCCAAGTTGCTGTGCGTCTGTTTAGTAATAGATCACAGAGGACGTCAACATGTGGTAAGAACATCAGTGACACACTTGGCTGTGCCACTTTTTTGTTCTTACCATATTTTGACATCATCTGTGATCAATTACTGAACAGACACATGGCAACTTGGAATCTATTTGTTAAACAGAAGAACAGCAACATGGAATCTATTTATTTATTTTACAATACCCTAACCTGGGTGGGAAAACATCCCATGCAGGGTAATGTAGCACAATTTTTTTGATGAAGTGAAAAGTTTTTATTGTCGCAGAAATTTTGTAATATAGCACAAATTTTATGATGTAATACAAATTTTTTTACAATTTACTTTGTTCTAGGGATCAAGCCTAACAATTTGTAGAAAAAAACTTGTTGGTGGTGAGGAATGGAGCTGGTGGAGCTGTGGATGAAAGTAAAATTCTCAGACAAAGGTTACTTTTCTGACGCAGAAAGAAAATATTGTTCTTTTGATGCCTACTCTGCCAAGGAACATGCTAAATATTTGTGCATTCTTGGTGAACTTGAAATTGCCATCAAAAGTGATGTACATTTTGCTCTATTGATATTCAGGATTTGGTAGTTCACCCACAGAATGATCTATTGTTCACAATCTGTTTTCACCTTGTTGAGGGTTGCACTGAAAAGAACTGTTTTTCAGTGAACCAAGGTGACACCACAAAACTGTGTGAAAAGTGTCACCCTTGTTTTATTTCACTGTGAACAATAGTGTGAGTACATATGTTACTAAAAAGAGCATTTCATTGGTTTTTGTTTAAAAATTTCAGGAAACATGTTCATAGATGTACCAAGAATTACCTTTTTTTTCACATGTGTTACTTAGCCAATCAGAAGTTGAGAATTTTGTAATGTATATAGTTGAACTGGTAATAAAGGACATTACATGAACTTTAACTTACAAATTATCTTTATTCAACTTAATGTTTCTCTTTACTATTCATGCAAATTGACATTGTTGTTAAGCTTAATGTCAACAGGATTGTTCCTTTAAGAGACTCTTCCTTTAAGAGACTTCCTTAAAAGAGACTCTTACTGACAATCAGCAAAAATGACATAGAGCCTTATAATTTACAAAAGAAAAGTTTTGGACATCCAAGATTTGCAGATTAGTCGAGATGATGGGGCCTTCGGTTCTCCGCTATCATCTAAAACTTCTGCATCACTGATGATCGTTTCATTAGTTGCATGAAGGGAAAATGTAACTCAAAGATGTGTTATTTAACAAATGCAGTACTTTTTTCCTCCAAGAAAATTTCCCTAATATTAGGGTTGTAAAAGACGATTTCTTGGAGAGGTTTGATCTCCGAAAAATATTAATATCGACTCGGAAGGATGCTCGTGCAGAAGTACTTCACTCACAGACGTTTTTTTGTAACAAGTCCACAGAGTTAGCACAATGTTGAATCTTAATGCAACTATAATCGTACCACCCACTCATAGATTAAAACAAACTTAGAAATTAAAACGTATAAGCGATGTTTTTGATAAGATATTTCTTAAAACTTACGTTTTCCCTTCACTTTGTGTTCTTGGCCGTAAGTATGTTTTGGGCGCGACTCAGAGTCAGTTTCGCCCGAGCCGCCTAGCGATGACTCTGAGAAGGGCGCAAAACATATATACCCTATATACCCTATATATAAAAAGAAAAAGAAACGGTGTTTGAAAAAAACTTTAAAAGTACAAATCAAGGTTTGCTACAAGGAATATCTTAAACCTGTTAAATCGATGAAGGTCCTTAGCAGTAGAAATGCAATAAGCCAGATCTTTGACGCTATGTCTCTGGAGAGGAGACGAACTGTGAATCTAATGAAAAAATTGAGTGCAAACCCTTTATTTATTTGGTTTCCCTACCTGAAAACTGAAAACAGATACCGGCTATTGCAATAGTATTGTTTGAGTATTTAGCAGATCATATCAACAAAAAAAATGTAACTGGCAATACTAGCAAAACCCGTGGTTTGATCCGGGGATTGCCCAAGAGAGCCGAGGGGAGGGTAAGGTCGTTTGAAGAGTATCAGAAGAATACAGTCAAACTGGCATTAAGCGGCACCATATTAAGCGGTCACCCTGTTTAAAGCGGTCAATCACCAAAGTCCCAAATTCGTTTTCCCTCATTCACTGTAATTTTCACCTCGATTATGCGGTCACCTCTATTAAGTAGTCGCTCCGTGGATGACCAGGTTGTATAGATTCGACTGTAATAAAGAGACTGCATTCTCTTCCCCCGGCTAAGGAAAATGCATAAATCAGGAAATGGCTACAAATGGGGATACGACGGGGATTTATAATTTTTCAAAACCCTCACCTAGGGTTACAATAAGCGGCAAAAGTCTTTGCACGCCATGTTACTTTTTGAAATTTGTTTTCTACAACTTGCATTTATCTCCTCCTCTCCCCCATTTCAATGTTGCCTAGTGCCAACAAAATGCTCTTTAATTTCAGGCAACTTTGTTTGAGGGATAGGGGGAATTTGAAAAAAAACTTTTGGAGATGAATTACAAGATTTCTGTTTATTATGTCAGGTGGAGTATTATCGACCATCTACAGTGAGGAGGGGTGCCAACTAACTTTGCCACTAATTGAGTGATATCGGTTGAAGGATAGTCCTAAATCACCTCCTGAATAAGAGAAGAAAGAATCACACGGCAGCCCTTGAAAAATATAGTTTCACTAAGCAAAGGTTTTGATTGAACAGTTGGCTTGGCAACCGCGGAATACATCTCTGGAGTATATTGAACATACCGAGGCCAGTTAGACTCAAGGAATTTATCTTGCCCATAATTCTTTTTCTATGATGACGTCAGTTGGATTTCAGCAAAATTACAGTTTAAAGTAAGGTTCGGCAAAGCAATCTTCAAGGGTAAAATAAAGTTTGGTGTCTTCTTAGAAATTCTTTGAACACAGATGCGCAGAGATTGCTATCACCACATTTCACCTTTGTGTGCTGAAAGTAAATATCAGTGCTCCACAATGAAATATTTTGTGCGCTGAAATTAAATAAAATATTATGTGTACTGAAATCAAATATCAGTGTACTGAAATTTAATATCAGCACACAGAAATTAAGTAGTTGCGAACTGAAATATCAACTTTTGGACCAATAGGCTAACTAACTTCTCATTTCATTTCATTTTATTTTTATTTAAACACGGTCAATTCATCAGCCTAAAAAATACATATGACATACGCTAGAATATTTAAAACTCAAACTATATAATATAACACTAAAAGCTGTTTTCCGTGAGTGCCGTGCGTTAGACTTAAAGAATGTCATTGATCTTACGTTTAAATACCCCCAGAGACTCTGTGTTCCTTATATCGCATGGCAGACTGTTCCATAATGTGGCGCCATTGTAGCTAAAGCTTTTTCGGTAATAATTAGTGCGCGGTAAGGGAACATTGAGCTTATTTTCAGAGTCCCTGAGGTCATAAGCAGAGTCACGCCACGTAAACTTTGAACACAGATACTCTGGAGCTAGCCCGTGCAGACATCTAAACATCATGATGGCTTTGTGAATTTCCTGCTGGCGTGTAAGATTTTTCCACCTTAAAAACTCGAGTAGCTCAGTTGCATCAGCATCATAGTTAGAGAATGTCAACACACGGGCTGCTCTATTCTGCAATTTCTGCAGTTTGTCTTGTAGCGTTTTCCCACAGTTACCCCAAACAATGTCACAGTAATCAAAGTGAGGTTTTACTAAGGCTTGATAAACGAGATGTAAGGTTGATGCTGGGATCAGGTGCCTAATTCGCTTTAGGGCCCCAATACCAGAGGCGATCTTTTTGGTTAATTTTTCGATGTGACTATGCCAATCGAGTTTATCGTTTATCGTCATTATTACACCAAGCGATTTCGTAGCTGTAACCTGGCTCACTTGAGTATTGTTCATTGTAATTGTTGGTGAAGCTGTGAGAGTATTCTGTCTCTGCCTCGACCCTATTACTTCTCACGCAACTTAGTGAAAAACCATCCATGGTTTCTCAGATCTCTTTCCTTACTACCATTATAGAAAAGTGCAAATAATAGGAATGCTACAAACCTTAACTTCTTATTAAAAACGCAATTTGAACAAACAACAAAAACTGATTCATCAAGGACACGTTCAGTGCTCCATGGTCAGTTAAAGACGCCGGGAATGCCTTCAAAACCCTGCTGGATGAAAAATTGGATCGAAGTGCACACGTTACGTGAAGGCTCTTCTTAATCCTTCGCTCTGAAGACTGAGCATTAACGCTCAGAAAGTCAGCTTTGGAAACTCTTTACGGTGGCCGATTTATATCATCAACTCAGTTGATAAATCAAAATCATCCTCAATTCCATTTTAGTTATTGACGAAAATATCCGAGAGCCAATAAAAAGCAGAGATTTTTGACGAGGTTTAGTGAGAATTTCAAAGACCCTGCCGCTTAGCCGTGCCACAAGCGTTAAAAACGTGATGAAAAGCGGAAGGAAGAAAGAGAAAAGAAAGAACGGACGGAAAGATAAGATAAAAAAGCTACTTAAAAGAAGCAAAAGTCAATGACTTAGAGGTTAAAGGTACGAGCTCTCTCAAACTGCAAATATTTGTTCTAAAGAAAGCAAAAGAACTCGCCTAACCACAAACTATAATTTCTGCTTCATTTTCATGTAACATTGTAATGTGATGGGGTCTCTAAAATGCTTGAAGCGTCTGAACAGTGGAGAGACTTCGGGAAAACATACACAAAGATGACGACTAGTAACTAAGTAATAAATAGAATAAAACAATTAAAGAACAGAAGTTTAAAATTCCTTCACTTATTCAAATTATACTTCAAAGGGAGCTAAAATTGTCCATCTAAATCTCTCCAATCCTCTCTCAGATAGCCCCGACAAAAATTTGAAATTCGTACGTGCCAATAACTAGAAAGATTCTTTCCTCAATGGGCCGTAAGGCAGCAAATCATTCATTTTGTGGGGCAACCTTTGCTGTCTGTTTTCCTAAGTCTGCATTTACACCGAACGAATTTTCTCCTTTTTTTTAAACAAATAATGCAATATTCACTCTCTAAACCCGTAAGTGACGAACGTAATCGAAGGTTACCCTTACAAGTGGTTTCACTATCTGCCCATGCGCAGATCCCTCTATGAAAAAAATTGAAAAATGGCCTAAGTAAGTTTCAACATATCCGTGCCACCGCGATTTTGACGGGCTAAAGTTTAGACGGCCTTTGGCAACGCACCTGTTAAATTTCTCACCTAACAATTTGTCTTGGAGTTCAGATTTCTGTGCAGGTGGGCAAAAAGAAATACTTTTACGCAATAGTTTTTAAACCGTAGAAAATTAATACTATACCGTGTGAATGTAGCCTTAGCAACATCAGCATAGCTTATTTGGTTTTTTTCGAAGTACTTGTCAAATAATGCACGGTTCCAATTCTTTCACTTTAAGGATTGCCTATTACACAATTTCATATTCGACAATTTCAGTAAAGGTGTAAATTTATGACATCGTGTTCGAAATACTTTCGCGCCCAACATTATCGCAATTAATTATGACGTCATGAACGATAATGATCACTTGAGATTCTTCAGTTCAACTTCGCTCGCGTTTTTGAACAGCTTCGAGATGATTTCGAGAAGACAAAGCATTGTGCTTATCATGATTATTTTGTGCTCTTATACTCAAGCCAAGCTTGAATGTCCGTCGAAATGTCACTGTGCAGATGACTTCTCCGTCGTGATTTGCCGAGGATTGGAAAAATTCCCCGTGTTTGGCTTTGCATCAGTCGTCAAAACTCTGTAAGTTATACCATCAACTTTCCCAGACGCGACTACTTGAAACTGCAATTGGCATTCAAATGAATAAAAGTGTTCTCTGGCAAGTTGTATTTAAGGACAGTTTAGTGATGGAAACCGGAAAGTAAAATAGTAACTGTATCTTTCTTTGAAAGGAAAGTAGAAAAACTTTGAAACAAAGCAATCTTGACACTGTTCGAGCTAAATTTCAAAATCGCTTAAATTATAAGAGAAACTCTTGATAGAAAAAGGGGTAGGATGAGTGTATTGCGAGAAAAAAGTCACTTGTTATAGTCAGTTACTTTCTTTATCTGTCTGTCTTTTTGTTTCTGCAGGGATTTGACGCATGGAAATATCAAACACATTGACTCTAGAGATGTGAGGGCATACTCACGCCTGGAAAGACTGTAAGTGGGAATAAACCTCAAAGATTTTTTATTGTAGAAACAACTCGAAAGCGCCGAGTTTTTATTACTGTTTGATAAGAGATCAACAGCAACAGAAAAAGAATGCATTAATGCAGAATATGATTGCATGGTGTCTTCAGTTCTGGCCGATTGCCTTATGACAAATCATCCCCTAAAAGACAAATTCAAAAAAGGTCTCAATCTCGTTTCCTTTCTCTATCCCTAGGTTTATCAATCACAATCCTCTGGACTGCGACTACGTGAATATCTACACGCTGAAACACTTGAAAAAAACCGCTGGATTGAAAACATTTGACGGCCACAAAGTTGATTGTCCACCAGAACCCTCAGTAATGAATGATAGGCTCTTTGGTAAATTAAACCCATAGCTTTTTGCTATTCATGTTATGAAAAACTTTTCAATTCAAATGCAATTTTTACATCAAACATGCGCCCCTTTATGAATTGCAAAATCTTACTTATATTTACCTCTGAAATCACGAACTTTTTTACAGACAACAATCATCATGGACATTATAATCATCACATACTGTCAGGAGGATCACCTCGGTTTGTTTTTTATCATGCAAGCTTTTCTCAGTTGGCGATGGCTGTTGGGACTGTAATGGTTGTTCTGAGCGTGCTCACTGTGGCTGTTGTGTGTTGTGTCTTGGTGTGCTTTCGGCGCAAACTGTCTCGGTGAGTGTCCATATTCTTCAGCGTCTCACAATACACAAGACGAAGCTGGTACTTTGTAAGTCCTTTGTAGTTAGCTGACTAGTTCTAAACAATGTTAAGCGCCCTCATTCACTCTTGTCTTTGTCGTCTCTCTTTTCCAGAGGATTTCAGCGCCATAACTTGGCTACTGAAGATCCCCTCAGCAAAATAGAGAAAGGAACTGGAAATAAATCTGGCAAGGTTGGAAAGGGAGGAAAGAAATGTTCAAAGAAACAGCGGAAAGGCCCCCAAGGACATCCTAAACGTGGTAAAGTCAACACGGATGGTTCGGGTGAAGTAGAGGAGGTGGATTATCTAAAGGAGAAGATGAGGAAACAGCGAAGAGGTTCCAGGGGATATCTTAAAAACGTGAAATCTGATGACTCGCTTTTTGCAGAGGAGGAAGATTTTCTGACGAAGAACTTAAAGATACAGAGGAGCGTGTCCCGAGGGTATGCTATGGGGGCTAGATCCAGTGACGACGATTAAAGTGATTGCTTTTCTGGAGGTCAATTTGATGGACGAGTTTCATACTTTTGAGTGTAAACACTGTGAAATTTTACACAGTCTAAACGTTTCACTACCGATTCTTTATTTCCAATATATATTTACAAAACCAAGAAGTACCTATGTTCACAAGTTAATCTCCTATGTTTCCTCTCGCTTTACAATTTGTGTTTCTTCGAGGTCTCACAATTTCGTGAGAGACTTTTTTATATTTTGATTGTGACTAAAAACAAAATCCCATGATGGAAAATAAAAAATAAATTTTAATGTTTAAGATTAAGTAAAATTGTGATTTTACCCTTCAAAAGAAGTTCTTATTCTTAAGCTGCGCACAGTCTAAAACCCTGGTTCATCTTCACTTACCAATCATCACCTTACATGTATACAGAGGAAGCCAACGAAGTAAACATCAATAAAGGACTGAAGAAAATGCTTACGCAGAATATAACTGTCTTACTTAAGGTGTCCTCAATCCTGACGATCTCCTTATGACAGATCCCTCCTGAAAGACAAATTCGAAAAAGTCTCAATGTTGTTTAGTTTATCCACAGGTCCTCGGGACCGTGATCACCAGCTATCCACACGCTGAAACACGTGAGGGACACTGTAAAAAAGTCCATTTACGAAAAAAGAGGCTAAAGTCAAAGCTCCGTAGAAAATATGTATTAAACTTGTTAAATGAACCACCACATTTGGCGAGGTTGAGCAGCCGAGGAGTCGAAATCGGGGCAACTGAGAATAATTCCAGTGGAAGACAGGGTGGAGGACTTGAACCCGGAACCACCAGATTACAAGTCCAGCACCCTAACAACTCGGACACGCCGCCTCCTAGATGAAACTCTCTACTGTCTCTCAAGACCCTACCAGCACGGAGTGTTCAGTTAATATTCTCTTGTTCGGATCTTACTCAAAAATATCTTTACAGTTTCCTGGGACAGTTATAGTTGTTAAAAACTCAATAAACTAACTGCAGACACATATAACACCTCACGTGAATAGAGTTGATAGTCCGAGCTTCTTTCTCATTAGGGACCATAAGCAGTCACGATGGCAACGCCGAGGAAGACGTCGATTAAAAAACGAATTCATATTTTGGTATGATTTTCGCAAATGGCTGCATGTGTCTACCATCTCTTACGGCGCCACATTTCAATTCAGCATAGCGTATGTCAGCAGCGTTGAGTTTCAAATGAAAATTAAAGTAATTTGCCGTCGCGCTCTCCGTTCACAGACGACGCAAATTTTGGTGATTTCACGTTGTTGTTATGCAGAGAATGGCTAAGAAATATACAAAGTTTTAAACGCACGTGCTAAGCCATTGTTCTGCCCATTAGACATTTTGTTTTACCTCGTCCTTGTTGCCGTCGCTGTCGTAGTTTGCCTAAAGTCCCTATTAGCTGTGTGCTGTGTCTTTTCCCCCGATTATCCTCATTGCTATTTTTTTTGTAACCTTTCTAAAAGATATGAGTTTTCCCTGTGCAGTCACCTCATACGGTTTAACCGTAGTTTAAAGTAGGTTTTTTTTTAAACAAATCTTCTATAAAATGGCACGGCTGAGGAAATATGAAATCCTTTTGAAAAGTTTTAGTTTGGGAGATATACTGGTAGAAACGTATAACACACGATCGTTCAATGATAGCGATTTTTCTGCTGTATTTTTTTTTTTCGAAAGGCGATTTGGCTCCTACACGAGCTGACCTTCGGTGGCCTCGCTCAAATGGGATCTTCGTCTCTTGGGGAACGGCGCGCGGGTTCATTTTCCGAGCAACGGCTAGTAATCGAGTCTTCAAGGAAGTTTTAGAAGAAGATTTTACACCGAGGCCATCATGTAAGGTTTTGTCATCCAACACTATCTGTAATTCAAGAAAACTATAAACTTGCCACAGCATACGAAGAATATGTATTCTATGGTCAAAAGGGCAGTTTTGAGGCGTGAATTTACCAGTTCCCTTTCCGGAAGCATCGGAATCGCATTAAAAAGCCGAAAATGATCTCAGCGTACTTGTAATTGGGCATTTTATAATGCCAACCCAGTCAACCTTTTCGCGCGGAGGGGAAAGCCGTTTGTTAGTTCATGATTTGTCAATCAAAGTAATTTTCAATGCACGACTTAATCAATCTCGACAATTCATGATCAAACCACACACGAAGATATGTATTTCACGAAAGGTTTAAATGTCCAAAACACTTTTGCGCGCGCGACATCATCGCAATTAATTGTGACGTCACAAAATGCTAATGATCTATTGAGATTCTTCAGTTCAACTTCGTTCGCGTTTTTGAACAGCTTCGAGATGATTTCGAGGAGACAAAGTATTGTGTTTATCATGATTGTTTTGTGCTCTTACACTCAAGCCGAGCTTGAATGTCCGTCGCAATGTCACTGTACAGTTGACTTGTCCGTCGTGATTTGCCGAGGAATGGAAATATTCCCCGTGTTCAGCTTTGCATCAAAAGTCAAAACTCTGTAAGTTACACTATCAACTTTCCTAGACTCGACTTTTTCAAACTTCAGTTGGCGTTTAGATGATCTAAAAGTGTTCACTCGTAAGTAGTGTTTTTAAGGACGGTTTAATGACGGAAACAGGAAATTAAAATAGTAACTGGATTATTCTTGCAAAGAACAGAAATCGCGTACGCTTGATGAAATTTGAGCCAACCTTTCAAAATCGTTTTTAAAATGGGAAGAACTGATGATACAAGGTGGGTCCCAACCAAAAAAAACCAACATTTCAAAATTACGATTCGACCTTGAAACTTTGGACCAAGAAGAGCCGCCTAGTTGAGTGTCCATTGCTAAATTCCGATTTATTTTCCCATTTTGTTACAATCACTCTTTTACTTTATTTGTTGTCTGTTTTATTATTTCTGCAGGGATTTGACTCATGGAAAAATCAAACACATCCACATTAAAGACGTGAAGGCCTACTCACACTTGAAAAAATTGTAAGTGGAGACAAACCTTAAAGATTTCTTAGTGTAGAGACAACTCGAAAGCGCCGAGGTTTTAACATGACTGTCTAATTTAAGGAGTCTTTAATTCTGGCCGATCGTCTTATGACGAATTATCTTCTGAGAGAAAAATCACTTGAAAAGGCTCAATCTTGTTTTTGTTTTTATTTCTCCTTTTTATTATTTTTTTATCCCGAGGTTTATCAATCACAATCCTCTGGACTGCAACCACGTGACTATCCACGTGCTAAAACACTTGAGAGAAACCGCTGGATTGGAATCATTTGACGGCCACGAAATTGAATGTCCACGAGAACCCTCAGTAATAAATGATAGACCCTTTGGTAAGTTAAACCCATACCTTTTCGCCATATATGCGCCTTTATTATGAAAAATTTTTCAATAACAATGTAATTTTTACATCAAACACGCGCCCCTTATGAATAACAAAAATCTTACCCATGAAATCACGATGCAGAGCTTTTTTGCAGACAACAATTATCATGGGCATCGTCATAATCTCAGACCGTCAGGAGGCGCACCTCTAATTTACTTTGTTCATGGAAGTTTTGCTCAATTGGCTGGTGGGATCGTAGTGATTTTTCTGGGCATGCTCACTGTGGCTGTTGTTTGCTGTGTCTTGGTGCGCTATCGGCGCAAATTGTCTCGGTAAGTGTCCACATTCTTTAGTGTCTTACAATGTACAAGACGAAGCTGATACTTTGTAAGTTCCTCGTACTTAGCTGCCTAGTTCTAAATAATGTTAAGCGCCCCCATTCACTCTTGTCTCCATGCTTCCAGAAAATATGAGCACCAAAACTTGGCTGATGTAGATCCCCTCAGCAAAATGGAGAGAGGAACTGGATATAAATCTAACACGACTGGAAAGAGGGGAGAGAAACAGCAAAGAGGCCCCCAAGGATATCCTGAAAACGTGAAATCTGATGACCCGCTTTTGAAGGGAGATGATGGTTTGAACAGGGCTGTGGAGAAAAAGGGAAGCAATGAGAAAGGAACTGGAGACGAGTCAGACACTGCTGAACACATGTTAGAAGCAGGCCTGAGGAAACAGCGAAGAAGTTCCCAAGGATATCCTAAAAATGTGAAGTCTGATGACTCACTTTTGGCAGAGGAGGAAGATTATCTGAAGAAGAACATGAAGAAACAGAGGAGTGCGTCCCGAGGGTATGCTCTGGGGAATCAATCCAGTGACGAGGATAGTGCTATGCTGGAGATCGACATACTGTTATTGGAGAACAAATACTGTTACTGGAGAACAATGTGATGGATGAGTTATATATTTTTGATGGAAACACTGTGAAATGTTATTCTCCACCGATTCTTTTTTTCTCTTTACACTTACAAAGCCAAGAAGTACTTATTTTCTCAATGATTTTAAAGTTAAATCCCTAATGTTTCCTCCGTATTACAGTTTGAGTTTCATTGAGGTCTTACACTTTCAAGAGAGACATTTTCACATTTTGTTTTAAATTTAAAAATTATGATTCTCTAAAGAAAAAAATCTTTCTTAATGTAAACGATAAAATTTACGAATTAAAGAATATTCATCACTGATAATTTAATTTCCTACATATGGCCTGTTCAGGATATCATCAGGGAGGAGGTTCCCAGGAAAATCCTGAAAATGCGTCATCTGGTGACTCCCTTTTGACGAAAGATGATAGTTTCAACAGGAAGGTAGAGAAACAGAGCATGGAGAAAGGGACTGGAAATGAATCACACGACTGAGTAAGAGTGAGAGGGAGGTTTAAAAATAACAGCGAAAAGGTTACCAGGGGTATGTTAAACAAGTGAAATTTTATGAAGCACTTGTGACGAAGACGATTGAGGAAGGAAATGAAGAAACAGAGAAGCATGTGTCAGAGACATTCTTTTGGGGGTCGTATCCTCGTGTACCGGTACACAAAAGAAGGAAACATTAACGAACTGCGTCATAACTCCATGTATGGTTATGAAAACAATAGGAATTCCCTCGTGTACCGGTACACCAGGACAGCCCCCTTTTGGGGCTGAGACGAGTGACGTGAATGCTCTATGGCGGAGATCGACTCGGATCATCAAAATCTCTTTTTTTAACACCCTTTCTTAATTTCCTCGACTTATTAACAAAACCTTGTTTGTTATGCCTATATTTAATAACTATTGAAGAGGAGGTGACTAATGGTGGATATTTACTGAACTGAGAAGCGGCGAGGTAAATTCCACTGCCAGCCACCGACATGTACTTAATACAGTTTCGACTGTAAACTTCAACCACGACTCCTTTCTTCCAAGCGAAGTACTAAATTCAAAGGTGTGCGCAATACAAAGCCTTACTCCAACTCTTCTGCTAGCGCCAGTTTTTTTGGACGAAACCTTTTCCGTAAGTAGGTGTTTTTGAGAGGTGGACAAAGGCTGATCGAGCTGATGTCTAGGTAAAACACGTGCACTGGATACATGATTTAAGGGTCTCGTTGCGCCGTGGTTAACCGCCAGTCTTCAAATGGCTTCAAATTTAGTCGTACACCGTAAAAAAGGGAAATTTTCCAGTCAACCATCGAAAGGGTTATTCAGTATTAACCGACAACTGGTCTCAAGATGTTTCAGATTAACCTCGTACCTAGTGAGAAATGTAGGATCTCTTTCACCGCTTGGCCGTGGAAGGTCTGGGTAAGAGACCTACCCATTGTTAGACTACTTAGACTACTTAACAAACAGATTCCAAGTTGCCGTGCGTCTGCTCAGTAATAGATCACAGATGACGTCAAAATGTGGTAAGAACAAAAAAGTGGCACACGAGGCGCAGCCAAGTGTGTCACTGATATTCTTACCACATTTTGACGTCCTCTGTGATCTATTACTAAACAGATGCATGGCAACTTGGAAACTGTTTGTTTTAAATAATAAAGAATTAAAAAAAGTTTCAATGATGACGTCATCTATACGTCTGTCCTCCAATAGATCATAAGTGAGAACCAATCAGAATGCGTGCATAACTGAGCTTATTATATAAAATGAGGTAGATAACTGGTGAGAGGTTGATACAAGTAGTAAGAGGTAGCCACCACAAAAACAAATTTCCACATTTTTTTTTTTATTTACAGACACAACTCATTCAGTCATTCAATCATCTAGAATCTATGATACAAATGATGCCCTTTTCCAAGTTTGTGGTCTGAAATCAAATCTTTCATGCTGGAAAATGTGAAAACTCTGATTAAGGAAACAATCTTATTAGGTCCCTATCACTGAATTGGAATAGCAATTTGCGAATGTTTTAAGAAAGTTTGGTATAAAAACAAGCTAGTATTCCTACCACTGGATTTACAAAATGTTTTGCACTGGAACAGCAAATCAGCTAAGTAGAATGTACAGAACAGTTTGTCAAACCCTAACATCAGTATTCATAACTTCCATACTGTTCTGTATACATTTCCTAAGGTGCTGACAAGGAGAATTTGTCCAAAAAACTAGAGCTTCTTTCATTCGTGATCATTTCCTTTACTCTAGTGACCTAAATGTGTGCCTCAGGGGGTATACATTTAGCGAGATATTAGATGCAAGTCACTCTTACAGGCTAAAAGATTAAGCTACAAAGAAATGAAAATTTACTTGCTTGGTAGATGCAGAAAGAAGATATAGGGAAAGGTGCCTTGAATATAAGTAACTCAACCACACCTTGACAATGACCTCAAAAAGCAACACCAGGGAGGCTACCCTTGATAACACTGTCAAGAAGTAAAATACTATATACAGCAAGGGCCTCTTCATATGAGTCCAGTGCCCAGATGGCCAGCAGGTAACCCCCCCCCCCCCAGAAAAAAAGAGAATAAAGAAGTATAAATGTGCAGCATGTTTTACATGTGGGCAATGGAGACTTTACTGAAGGAACCTTGCATCTCCAGAAACAGGCTAGCATACATAAAACAATAGAGAGGATATCACACTTTATTGCTGTGGCAAGGTGTGGGACACTGAACCAGCCTAAGCCAGGCTCATATGAAGAGGCCCCAAGACTATGGGAAAGAAAAAATTTATGGTGCATTTGGTGTAGCTGTTACTCCCGTCCACAAGAGCACACCAGGTGACTGTGGACATCAGCAAGAGCTGGTTTCCATACTGGGCTCTGTATGGAGGGAATCATCCCACACTTTTGCTAATGCTTTTCCCTACATGTGCGATGCCCTCTTCATTTGGGTTCTGTCTGCATACGTGCCAATTAGCCAGCTACCAGAAACAAGCAACCTTGGCATTGGGACTGTAGAGGAAACTCTTCATCCCTTCCTCATTTGAAAACCTTTTTTAATTATTTTTGAGCAGCTTTGTGATTTACTTTTGTTATCCAGGCTGGTTGCTTTCTTCTTCATTATGCTTTCTGACCTAAATGGAAGGAACAGACAGTTGAAAGCTCCTTAAAAAAATATACAACACAAGCAGTACAACCTTACCATGGCCTTGAGTCTGTGGCTCAGTGTTAGAGCAATGCAGTGTGGAATCTAGAGATGTGGGGTGTTATTATGATTCCACAATTATGCCATTTTATCATATTAGGGCACTGGAATACACAAAATATGCCACAGTATAACACTGTAGAACAGGGAAAAAATACAGAACAGATTCTAGTCCATTGTAGGCAACCCCCTGGCAGTTCACATTATTTCCCAAGCAGTCTACTAGTACCCTTTTATACTCCTGAGTGGACAGAGGCACTGTGAGATTAAGTGTCTTGCCCAAGAACGCATCACATGGACCTGGATGGGACTTGAACCCAGACCTTTACTAGGCAAGATGTTACATCAACTCAACCCTCAAAAATCAAACCAATTCAAACAGAATCAATGTGATTAGATGCAAACAGGCCAAATAACCAGGTTTAGTGTAAGAAAGCTAAAAAACAACGTAACAACAGCAAACAAGCACAAAAAAAGGTTTTTGGTGCAATAAAGCTGAAGAGAGTGTAGTTTAGCAGCAAAAATAAAAAAAATGTTGTTTTGAGTGAGATATAGCTAGAATCAACATGATTAGCTGCAAACAGGCAAAACCTTTTTCCACTGCGAAAAAGCTGAAAAAAGCGCAATTAAGCAACAAAACAGCAAAAAGGTTTTTTTGAGTGAGATGTAAGTGGTCTCAATTCTCATTCGTTGTGAATACTTACAATCTTGATAATGTGTTCGCGAGATTTTTCATTTCCGTGACAATCACTCTCCTGGTAAGGTGGATCAATTGTTACTTCATTCATGACCACAATACTTTTCCCATTCCACTTGACTTCATTAATTCTATGGAATGAATGTATCCATTCTTAGTATAGCCAAAAAAAATTTTTTTTTTTTTTTTTTTAACAACATGATACTTATATTAACTACATTAGGGTTCCTTTCATGGGATTCTCTACTTATATTGCGTCACACTACTTACTTACAGTACTCTTAAGATACAATTAATATTTATGCTACTTACATTGTTCTACTTACACTACGTACAATGTGATAATGCACACATATTTAGACGCACATCACTTCAGACAGAAACTTATTCTCTTTTCTTTTTCCAAAAAATAATAAAAAAAAGTATAGCCAACAATGTGGATATCAGAAATTACAACTTCCTACTGTTTTTTGCCCAACTCAATTGGCTACTTTACATCACAGGGTACATAATCACCTAACAGTTATCATGCAATCATCCCTGTTTACAATAATATTTTTCCTGAGATTATTGCCATCAATAAGAAGAAAAAGAGAGAAGAAAAAAGCCATCTGAAGAGTTTCACTTTTTCGTGTTTAGTACTTTACATGGATGAAAAATATATGATTGATTGCAATAAGCTTGGTAGAGGTATAAAAAAGCTGATCTTAAATGCTGCTTTGGAAAGAACAAAACACTCACCAAAATTTGCAGTCAGTGCACCATACAAAAATTAATGGAATGGTTATGAAATAATCAAACCCCTCCTGGCTTGCTGATATGTCTACTGATAATGTCCTTAGCTCAGAAATTTTCCTCAAAATTTTACATTTGCCCTTAAAGCTTTGCTCCTCTGCCAAATATTCAGTCTGGGACAATATCTCAACATTATCAGCCAACATACCAGCCGCCTGATTCATTTACTTAGTATTGTCTCTCCACAAGATCACACCTTGTGTTGCAAAATAATAAACTGATTAAAATTAAGCAGTCATAACTGTTTGTTCTAAAATACTAGTTCTGATGTAATTCCATGTCCCCCTCCTAATCGAATAATGGATCAAAATGTGATAAATTAAAAGGTGATTCAAAATAGAGACAAGGATGTCACTGATATTCTTCTGCAACTTATTGACTTAAAAAATGGAATATTCTTGCTTTATTTAATTAAAATAAAACTAAATTGAATTTATGCTCATTTTTATGGATATACATTGTCAAGCAGAAAGTCCAGATTAAAAAAAAAAACTTTGTTAGGATAAAACTATAATTTCATCAAGCCTAAAAGTTGTGTATCCTACTCTCAAAATTGGTATTTAAATCATGTCTGACATACTACATGGCTTTGTGTCATTTTGTCTCCGACATCACTCAACCCTGCCACTTGTCCAAAATAATAATTTTGTAATGAACCTCTAACAACTCTCCAAACCATTTTTTTACAAAAATGTTTGGAGGAAGTGAAAAGCTTATTGTAATCAATCAATTTAGCCTTTTTAGAGAGTATATAACTTGAAAATTTTGCCCAGGAAACCAACCTTAATTTTCCCACACACACACAACCTGGGACTTTGTAAAACTTACGTTTTGTTTATGGTGTCGAACAGCTTTTGGGCTCCTGGTGTTACATTGATGCCTATTTTCTCTACTGCTCGTCGTTTCTGCTCAAGAGCTAATGCAATCTTTTTATCAATTTTGTCATGTTCTACACATGGCAGAGAAGGAGGTGGTTTGTTGGATACTTCTGAAACGTTCAGCGTCTTCATGCGAGCCAAGTTCAACATCCTTATATCTGTAACATTTTTCTTGGGGTTCTTGGAAGATTCTACACAGCTTGTTAAGGTTAAATGATAATATCGTATCCTCTAGCAACAATGAATCAATTGGTGTAGATCATAGAGAGTCACTTTTACATATAAATGGATAATTTACAGTTAAAACCTTGGTTTGTACATGCATACACAATAATAGACCACGCTTGGCTTTTGTGAATATCATCACAATATCAATACAATATCAATCAGATAAGAGATGAGAATAAAGAAAAATAACAATTTGGAGACAATTAGTTGATTCAATACTAAATTCTCTAAATTAACATTATAAGAATTCTATGCTTGGCAGTACAGAGAATTACAAATGTGATCTGGGAGTTGAAGGGTTACGTATTGTACAACAAAAACCAAAGTAATCATATAGCCAATCATAGCAAAGGTCAAAATCACAAACAGCTAATGACAATGTAAATAAAAACAAACAAACAAACAAACTGTTAAAAGCAGGGGAAACATGGGTGTCCAAGTCACCATTGGTCTCAGTTTTAGATCTTATTGGATGAGACGATAGCGCAAGTTCTCTGGACCAATCACATATCAAAGTGCAATCCTGCATTTCTTTTGTCAGTCACTTAAAAACATTTCTCTGAAATGGATTAAGCTTAGTAGTGTTTATAGCACAAGGGCTAGTGCTGCCGACCAAATCAGTAAACAAATAAATTCACACGAAACATTACAAGGTTAAGAACTCCACTTGGTGGGAGGCAAACCACTAAGTTTTTTCACATTGACCTTAACCTCCTATTCCAATTCTCTTAGTGGGCAGACATGATGACTTCCCCTTGTTTCAGTCTTTGCAAGGTACAGAAGGGGTCAATGATGAAAAAAATAAGTACATTTTCCAGATATTGGAATTCTCTAAGGAAACCATTTACTCGTTTCATTTGTTCAATTGCCGTAAAAATCAGCTCAATTTTAAGTCAGCCACACACACAAAAAGTTCAAGCTAAATAGTCAACACCATTGACATCCTCTTAGGAAGAAGCCATCTGAAAGCAAAGAATCAAAAGAGCTTTATAAACTTAACTTAACTCAAAACAGCGACATACCTCAGACAAAATGCGAGAAGAAAATATCTTGCATGGGATAAGCCCATTCAAAGAATGAAACTAGAGCGTTTCTTGCCCTCCTCGCTTCCTGTTTGGGTTCCTCGCTTGATTAAAATCCGTGGAAGAAGAAATCACTGTACATTGAACGTTAAATGTCCTTACCGAGTAGGATAATCATCGATGACCGCTGTTATTTGGAAACGATAAAAAATTCTAATGTGTTTAATTAATGACACTTTTAAATTAGAACTTCATCGAAAAATATTTTACACTTCCTACATCGAAAGAAGACGTTTATAAAATCTGTAACGGTTTGCAAAACAAATTCACAGCATTAATTTACCACATGTAAAAACAACACAGATACTGCCAAAAATATAAAAATCCCTAAAATTGAAGATCCTGTTTTAGTAAATTCAACATTTCGATTATGGTGTAAAAATCGCAGCTCACGATCCTTTGGCGAATTCTTCGCACCACGAGACTCTGCTACCGGCAACGCGTTGCCTCAAAAAAAAAAACGAGCGATCGAAGCAAAAAGGATACTAATTACTAAAAGCTTGGCTCCGTAATCGAAAGCCACAACTTCTCCTTCAATTTTTTCATCAAAGCAAGTGGTACAAACCACTTTCGTTCCCGGTGGAATTTCTTTGCTGTCTTTTGCGTCGCCAGTCGCCATGTTTCCACCGGTACTTCCACTCATGCGTACACGAGTTCTTAATCCTGCCTTACTAGTTTTGGGAGAGTTTGTAGTTTGATCGTTTGTCGAGCAGTATATAAACTACTGAACTCATTCAATTGGCTTTAAGTTACCAATAAAGGTATAAATAGCATTTTTACTCTTGACAGTTGCGATAATTTTTTAAAACAATCGTCTTTTCCACTCAAGAATTTGATCCTTACGTCATCTGTTTTCTAATCTTTTTCATGAGTATGGAAACCGCTGACACGCGACCGTTAGCACAACAAACATGGCGGACGAAATGGTGAGTGATTTTACTCGTTTTGTTTGATCTTTCAGCTTGACAAACAGTGAGTACCTAGCGGAAAACAGCATTTTTTATAATATCTCGAACCGTCTATATATACATTAAAAAAACCTGTTTAAGACAGATCAGATGAAACAGAAAGGTTCAACCACATTGACGAGATTAGGAAAGCAGGTTGTTACACTTTAATGCTCTTCTTCGAGACAAAATGGGTCGGGACACTTTTTTGTAACTTGCAATTTTCTGTTGCTCTTCTTTCTTCTTTCAATGTTGTCTTTACCTCTGTTCCCTCGGCCGCAGATTACATCGAGAGGGAGAGGAGCCGCAGGTAGTACTAGTGTCCATGCAAAATTTTTCAGGAGTTTACAGTAGCACTAGAAGATGAAAACGAAATTACACAGATGTTTTGGTGGATTGATAAGCTTGGTTGAAGCAACTTTGTGATTCTGATATACACGTTATGATTTCAATGGGAAACATGAACACATTTTAAAACATGTTCATGTACGTACTGGTATGTAGTTGTTTTTGTTATGGAAGAGACAGTTTTATTTGAATTGTCCTAGGATGTTGATGACCTTTTGCGTGCCTTGGCCTCCATGGGCTTTGAACTTGAAGACTGCCAGATGGCTCTAGAGGCAGGCAATACCACTTTGGAATCTGCAGTAGAGTGGTAATTCGTATATATATACATTTTTAAATAAGCACACACACTTGCCAACAGTCAGAACCCATAATTATGTACTAAGCAATCTTCTCAGTTATGAACACTACTTAATAGTGAAAATAAGGCCAGAAAATATTGAGGCCTGTACGGGATTCAAACCCATGACCTCTGTTTTACCAGTGTAGTGCTGTACTAACTGAGCTAAGAAGCTAACTGAGAGCTGGTCTACTGCTTAACCCTTTCACTCCCAAGATCTTATTAGCAATTCTCCTTACCCTCTGCCATACAATTGTTATGATGTTAGTTTGTAGAATTGGGTATTGGATCAATCTGTAAATATATTTTTTCTATTCTCACAACTTGTTCACTCATGGGAGTAAAAGGGTTAAGTAGTGTTCATTACTGTGAAGATCACTTTGAAATTCATATTCACTTCTTAATCAGCAGTTCAGTCATGATTTTGATATATTCACAGTTGTTTAATTAGAACTCAGTGGGTTCAGAACATGCCAATGAAACTGGATGAGTTCTGATTTGGAATGAGGTTGTTTATTATTGCACCCAAAGGATAAATTCTTCAAACCCTTAGAGCAACTGGATCATGTGTACTATAGGTGGCCTTGGTCAACATATCCGTTGACTATCGGTTGACTATCGATCGATAGTTGGTCCATAGTCGACTGACAGTCGGCCGATAGTCGGCCGATAGTCGGCCGATAGTTGACTGATACATCGACCGACTGACGGCCGATGCATCGGCCAGTATGTAGTGATCAACTGCCGGTGAAGTATTGGTCAAGTATTGGTTAAGTATTGATCAAGTATCAGTCAAGTATTGGTCAAATATCAGTCGACTATCGACCGATAGTCGGTTGACTGTCAACCGATAGTTGACCTATAGTCAGTCAGCAAGTACCTTGACAGTTGACCGATATATTGGCTGATGTATTGGTTGACATGTCAACCGAGGCCACCTACAGTACACATGATCCGAGCAACTAGCCTCATAGAGGAACATCTAAACTCGTCAAAATGATTTTTGAATGAAGTAGGTTTATGCTCTTATGCCTCACCACTGCATTATCCCTACTCCCTAATAGTTTTGGTGTTGCCCTGTTATTCAGACTCTTAGATGGTAACAAAATAGGAGGGAGGGGTGCTGATCGCATTTCAGGCACAAATTTCAAGAAAATTTCATGCGTCAAATGTACTTCAAACAGCATTTCAAACATAGCAAATTTAAATGGGTAAACTTCAGATCTCCCTTATTGTAGGCAAGGTTTCAAGGAAAAACTTGAGATTTCTATAACGTTAAAGAAAAAATTCATGGATAATTTATATATCAGGAAGCAGATAATGCCTCACACTAGTTCATAAATTCACAAATCATACTCACCTGTTGGTAAAATTCACTGATCACATAATAATTTTGGCCTTACCAATAATCACGTGTCCTATTTAAACATTATATCCCTTTGCCACCCTCTCAGTAAAGGATTGTACAGAAAATTACTTTTGACTCTTTGTTGGTTATAAGCATTTCTGAATTTTTTTATGGATTTCTGGTTCCTATTTTCTTCAGGTTGGTGGTAAGAAGATCAAATCCAAGTAATTGTGTTTCTAATCCTGGTCCTGAGGCAACAGTGGAAGTATGTGATTGTGTAAAACACTTTAAGTGGGTATTAAATATTATTAAGTAAAGCTTTGCAGGTGTGCAAACATGATTCAAACTTGAAGTTGGTTATCATTTAAGACCTTCTTTAATTAGTGACCATTTTCTTTATTCTCCCAGTTTTAATGTTTGATGTGGGTATAATTCTGTAAGGAGAAGTAGATGCTAGCCATTCTGAGGAGGCAAAGGGTTAAGAGAGAAGATTTTTGTGTAATAAACATTTCATTTTTCACAGCCCAAGGTTTCTCGTGAAGAAGTATCTAGTGCACCTAGTGATAAGATTCAGGCGTCGTCCAATTTGTCAAGCCGTTATACAGTGAGTGAGGAACATCAGAAATCCAAGGAACAGTTTATGGAAAAGGAGAGAGAAACTGCCAGGTTGGAAGCCAAGAGGAGAAAATTAATGGAGAAAAAAGTGAGAGAACATGGTTTGACAAGATTTTGTTTTTACTGCTTTTTTTTTTTTTTAATTCAGTGAAGGAGAGATCTCCTTTGCTTAGGACAGAGTATTAGAAAAAGTTGAAGTCATGCCTGGTGAAGATCAGAAAATTATAGTTGTATTTTTAAATTATTGAAATGGAAATTCTTGATTATAATGATTTCAGCGGCATATTCTGTGTATGTTATGTGTAAATAAACAAAGCTTGAAAAGTGCTCCATGGAAATAACAGATTTGGAAATATTTCAGCTTTGTTTCTTTCACATTATTCTAAGCTCTGTGCTTTCTTTTGATATTTCACACTTGTCACTCTGTAAACATTGACACAAGGGCAATGGAATATGTGAAAACATTCTATGATTATCATTTCATTGAGTAAGGCATGGAAAAAAAGTTCAGTCAATAGCAGCAATGGTTTCAGATGGTAAATAAAATATGAAAGCCTGCCAAAAGGAGTAAAACCACATGTTGCCATTGGAAACAGAGCCAGTCTCCCTTGACAATAACATCATTTTAGCACCAACTTGTGCTCTCCCAACTTTTGTTGTATCAGTTCTTAACTAAAAATTATGGTGATAATAAAGTTATTCTGATGTTTTTCTGCGAAAGGTTGGTCAAATTTTTCCATTTTCAAAGGATTTGAGGACAGTGGCAATAAGCTGATGTGCCTGTTTTACTCCAACCAAGAAGTAGCTCAATGGGATTTATTTTATTTTGTTTTGTTCTTTTCTCATCATTGCAGGCACGTCAGGAAGTTCTTCAGCAAATAGCTGCTGACAAAGCCAATAGGCGTGATAAAAAACCAAAACCACCTGCACACTTTGCAATGATTCAGGCAACAGATAAAAGCAGGGAGCCTGGTGAAAGCTCAAAAGAAAACAAACAATGTTTGATTCAGGTGTATGTTTGTATAATCTGTTTTAAGAAAGGTTGTCTCAAGAAAAGCATTAAAGTGTTTTGGATAGTTTCAGGTCACAGCTCTTTGACCTCAAGATTTTAGCATCGTGGGTTTGACGAATTTGTTTATTTATTTGACTTATTGACATTCATTGATTACTGGATACTCAGATTACCTTTCAAGATTGCCGTGTGCACTTTTGTCATTTTTTCTGACAACTGTTTTTGGAATGGCTACATATGAATGAAGAACTACTGTAAATGGACTTTTGCACAATCTGCTAATAGCACTTGTTCATTTCAAGTGTGAAGCAATGTCATGTGAGAAAGATGTTTGCAGTTTCCAAACATGCAAGTCGCAAATGACATATTTGTGACACTGCAAGTTGCTTAATGTCTTTCAATTTACCTAGATAAGAAGTCCATCTGGTCAAGTGCAAAGGCAGACATTTCCATCAGATGCCAAACTCCAAGATGTTGTGACATTTATTTGTAGCCAGTACCACCTAGATTCTACCGGCTTTGAACTTTTGCAGGTGTAGTATAAATAATGCTTAAACCTGATAATTTTGTAATCAACAGTTAATTTTGTATTAAGTGTAGCTCCAAAATATCAGTTTGGAGGGCGACAAGTGGATGATTTTCCAATTGGTACACCTTTCCTCTCCAATCAATATTGTTTCTGGTTGTTGCTTCTCTGCATATGTGGAAACAACTGTGGAGAGATATGTAACAGTGGATGAGAATGGAGCAGAGGTGAACTGTAGGAGTCAGTTGGCCTATTACTCTATCGCTGGACTTCTTTGTTTTCTCTCTTTTGTAATCAATGTTCTTTACATTTGTCGCTTCACTGCAAAAGAGGAAATAACAGCAGAGATAACAGTGGGTGTGAAGAGAGGGGAGGTGAACTGCAAGAGTCAAGTGGTCTATTTCCCTGCCAGTGGACTTCTTTGTCTTCTCTCCTTTGTAATCAAATTGTTCTTTTCATTTGTTGCTTCACTGTAAAAGAGGAAATAACAGTGAAGATAACAGTAGGTGAGAATGGAGGGGTCAGGTGAACTCTAATGAGCCTTGTTTGCTGAATGATATATGGATATTATAGGGAGAAGTTTCTTGTCAATCACCTCTGGGAGTTAAAGGGTTAAAGATCATTTCCTTGCTTGATATCAACACACTCTGAAACAGAAAAATATCTTTGGAGTATTGTTTAATTTGATGACAAACTCTCTGAGCCAAAATTAGGACAATGTAGAGCAAGAAGAGTTGGTATTTTTTTTGTCATTGTTTCTCTGCCACAAAGTGTATTTGATATTGTAGAAAGATATACCTCTTTGGTCACCACTTGAAGTGAAGGGGTTGAATATCTATCAAGTATTTTGTTGCCTAAATTATCCATTAATGGCTACACAGCCATTTCCTCACAGGTTGTTTAAGGCCACAGAAATGGATTCCACATTAGTTGACCTTGGACTTAGTCTGGGTGGATCACTTGTGGTGAAGAAGACGGATCCTTCTCAGCCGTCTTCCACATCTGGTAAGCATTCTGTTGCTGTAGACTTTTTAGGTGGTTTTGCTAGACAATGTCTGGTGATTAGTTTTTAAAAAAGTTTGCATTACACAAGACTATAGTAATACAATTTGGTCGCACTTGTTGTATTTCTATACTTGGGGCTAGCTACATGTATCCACTTTGAGTTCTTGTTTATTTGGGTTCACTTTTTGTGATGCTATTTCACATTTGGTCTTGGTTTGTGACAGTCAATCAACAAGATCTCTAATGAGGTAATTTGGTATTATCATGTGAGTTGATGATGTAAATTGGCAACTGTTAACAGTTTCAAAGCTGACGTTTTGAGCCTCAGCTCTGACGAAGGGCTGAGGCTAAGGTTGAAGGTGGCCAATTTATGTTATCAACTTATTTAATAATACCAGATCACCTTCAATTCAGAAACTTACCCCCTTTATTTAAGTTCTCTAATTCTTTGATTGTTGATATATTGTCTTGTTTGTGTTTAGGTGGGGGACCTGCCAAAGTAAATCCTAGAAATGCATCTGAAGCAACACCACGCACTGGAAATGGACTTGAAGATATTAACAGACTGCCATCAGACTCTGATCATGACAGGCAAGACGCCAACTGCTCCCATGGAAATGGCAATAGAGTTGAAATTAATAATGTTGACGATGACAGACAGTACGTGGCTCCTCCATTATTTGACAGAAGTCCTCCTCCAGAATTAGATGATGCCATCAGAGCACCTTTACAAGGAATGAATCCAAATGTCCTTGGTATTGGAGGGATGCAGAATTTCCTTGTGAGAGGTGGTGGTGGTGTTGGTCATATGTGGGGAGAGGGGGTGAAGCTTGGTGCTGTGGAACATAATCCACATTCTATTGATCCAGTGTTAAGAGCGCATACCCCAGGAGAGTCTGCTGCTAAGAGGTTGGAGATGAGACAACAACATCAGATTCAGCCAGAAGCAGGTAGAAACTATACTTCAATGCCAGTCTTAAGGGTACTCAGTAGTGTGGTGGTTTTGCTAGATGCTTCAGGCTGAAGCCCAGGTTTTAGCCCTGTCAGCATCTTTGTGTTGAGTTCTTGTGTACAGCACTTGACCTTCACAATCCTTGTTCCTGCCTAAGATTATCAATGGGTACTGGAAAACTGTCTGGGAAACCTAGTGAGTAAATTCTGGGCAGGAACTTGTGATGCACATGCATGGTAACCATGGCAACTAGGAAGAAGCAAACTCCTTATTGTTGAGCCCCTTAACCTCTAAAAGTGACTGGCTTCTAATTTCTCATTACAGTATCACCTTAAAATCAAATGTGAAGGTCGTGAGAGTAAAGGAAATGATCTCTAATTCAAGAAGCTCCTGATAGTCAGACAAATTCTCCTTGTCAGTTCCATAGGTAATGTAAAGAGAACAGTGAATGAGCCTTAGTGGCCAATTACCATGGAGAATGTGAATAAAAATGTTAGGGTACAAATTAAGGATTAATGCTATGGAAACCAAAATTAGCTACAACACAATGGATAACTTGATTTTTGTCCAGATTTGACCACAATAGGATGCATTGCCAGTAACTGGAACCCTGTTAACTTGAAAACCACAATATTTTGAATTTTTTTTACAAGACTCTTATGTCTTTATTAGGTCCCAGTAGGGTAAGTCATGAGGAATTGCCACTTCTACACCGTGACGTTCAGCGTCTGGAAGACTTGTGTATCAACCATATCAGCCACCGTCTTCCTGGACATCAGAGCCCCCTTACATCTCTTGGCATGTTGCCGCTTGGTCTGTGTGATAAGATTATGACTCATTTGATGAAAATCAAAGCTCTTACACCTAAGGCAATGCAGGCTTTCATATCCTGGTAAGCCAAGTCTTGACTTTAATTTTGGTGGGAGAGGTGATGTTGACAACATTTGTTCATTAACATGGCTTAAATGTTAGCCTTGAATGTGATCGACAAATCAGTCTCCCTCTTCACATTCATCAGATTTTGTTATCACTGGTATGATAAAAGAGCAAATTGGACTCCACTCATGATCAGTCATATACCCATTACTTCCATTACAAACAGTGTCATGTAAAAGGAAAGGCCAAATTGGACAATTAAGCAGCCAATCAAAATTAAGCACTTAAAGCCATCAGGCAATAAAATTCAACTAACTACCCTAAGCTAGCCATCCAAAATCAAGGAAAACTTCTTAAATGTTTCATTCCTGGGTTTCTGTCTTTTTTTTTGTTATTATTTAGACACAATTTACTGGCCATTGGACTTTGTGTTGTACAATTCAGGTGTGTGGTGGTAATTGTGGTCATAATCTCAAATCAGCCTTGTGCCACATGTTCAGCCAATTTGGAAAAACCCTCCTCATCACTCCGTTAATTATACTTCACTCAGTTTTGTTACCATAGATTATGAATTGTGTACAATTTATGAACTTTCACACAGTTTTTTTTCCTTTTCTATTTTCTGCACAGTGGGCTGAGGCATGTGAAACTAGATTGCTATTCACTGGTGACAAATGAACTCCTCATAGCGCTCAGGTGATAAAGCAAACTGACAAACATTTGAACTAATACTTAATATTGTTGGCAACCAATGTGTTCTTGTTACCAAAAGAGCTGAATACTTAATGATGGTTCTGTTCATGTTAGACTACACAGAAATCTAACCCATCTCAGCTTGAAAGCTTGTCCTCTTATAACAGACAAAGCATTGGAGGCCGTTTCAGGTAAAAATGTTTGCACCAGTAGCATACTTTAATTTCTAATTTTACCTATTTTTAAGGAGCTGTAAATTGACTATTATATTTAATTTGTAATTTTCAACTGGGATTTTCTACACTGCATTGTTTCAGTCTTTTATCTTTGCTGCTTAAAGAAAACCTTTCATTAAATTTAGATAATAAATCTTCTACTCTTCTTTGATAAAACTTTTCTCAAAGTTAGCAACCATTCTGGAGAGTTTACAATTAACAAACAGATTCCATGTTGCTGTGGGTATGTTGAGTTATGGATCTGAGATGACATCAAAATGTTGGAAGAACAAAAAGGTGGCACAATAGCACAACCAAGTGTTACTTAACCCTTTAACTCCCATGAGTGACCAAGACAGAATTTCTCCTTACAATATCCATACAATATCAAGCAGGCAAGTGATGAGAATAAAAAAAATATATGAATTAGAGGATTACAAGTTGATCCAATACCAAATTCTCCAACATAACATCACAAGAACTGTATGGCAGACAGTAAGGAGAATTACTAATGAGATCTTGGGAGTTAAAGGGTTGATATGGTCTTACCACATTTTGAAGTCCTCTGTGATCTCTTACAGGACACACTCACAGCAACATGGAATCTATGTGTTTTTAAAATAAAGAGGCCAAAAAACTGGCAATTATGACATCTTCTTTGTGTCTGTCCTTGAATAGATCACAAGTAAGATCCAATCAAAATGAGTTTGTAATCTGAATTCAAATTTAAGGAGCTAAATGTGCCCCAAGAAAGAAATTATAGGGTTGCTCACATTAAAGACAGGATAGAAATGTACTCCTTCCTGCAAATAGTATACACTGTACCTTTATCTGTCATTGCCAGAAATCTATAATAGTTAAAATGATTGTTGTTTTGAATTCTTTGCATCTGGTAGTTCTCAAGAGGTTGAAATCCCTTAATCTTAGCCAGTGCCCTCAGCTCACAGACAAGTGCTTTTTCCACATTAAAGGTTAGTGAACCTGATGACCTTCTAATGTTTCCTGTGTTAACTGTGAAGAAGTAGTGAGAAACAACTGCAAATAACATTCAATCCTTTTTCTTTTTGTCTCTGTTGCATTGACTTCAAACTTTTTTCTTTTGTTTTCAGGACTTTCTTCACTTGTTACACTACAGATGGACATGACAAAAGTATGAAAACTGTACCAATCCAGTAAAAAAATTATTGCTACCAATAATTATCATCATTATACATTAGACTTACTATGAAATCTCTGATTGGTAGAGAGCATACACCCAATATACAATAGCATGTGAAAGTTGACATCATGATGATAACCCAGTATCTGCAGCAGATATTTAGTTATCATGTCAAGTTCAAAGTCTGGCTAGTTCCCATTTATTGTAAAAGTGCTCTTGGTAAGCATATGTTTATGAATTCAGAAAGGACTTAAATGAAGTTTATGCTCAAGTGTCTTCTACCATATTTTCTGAACTTACAGTGAAAATAACTTATTTTCTTGCAGATAACTGACAGAGGTGTTTGCCATTTTCTGGAGAATGCTGCATCCTGTCCCAACATAGTTAATTTAAGTCTTTCTGGCACAGCCATCACAGATAACAGCCTAGCTGCCATGTCTGGTTAGTGGTAGATTTCTGGTTGTGAATGTTTTCTAGACAATGGTAGCTGTATCATGTACAAAGGCTATAAAATTTATCAATGAGGAGGGAAAGATATTTTATTTAAAATTTGCAAACAAGTTTGGAAAAATAAAATCAGTATACTCCAAGAGGCTTCAGACTTAAGGATTTCCAATTAGCAGCAAGGTAGTTTACCAAAAATTAAGCTACAGTGAACATTTTGAGGAAATTGGAATTTCATTTTATTATCCAACTGCACTAGGTAAAGTACAAATAATGCGAAAAACAGAGCAACAATTTCCTGTGATATTGTACAATTATGCAGACAATTAGTTATTTTGTACTATAATCCAATGTATAAGTGTTACACAAGACCTGTCACAAACCACTTCTCTATTTGCTGAGCTTTCCCACCACATAGGAAATGTTTATAAAATAGAAGCATTTGGAATATAAACAAATTATCAGACCTTTTGCTGTATGGTATCACTGAGTGTTTTTACTCATTTTTATTTTGACAAGTCGAAATACAGCACAAATTGTTAAAATATTCAGTAATAATACAAATCAAAATGTCTTAATAATCTGGATTCAATTGTAACAATTATTCAGCATACTGCAATGTTGGAAGCATTCTGTAAAGAGGTTAAGTGAGGAAGAATAGTAAATACATATATAAGCCAAGGCATGGAATAAAGAAAGGTACCACTTGTCACAATCATTGGTTACAGAAATCTGTCAGTGTCCATCTTTCCTTACTAGGCTATTTTTTTTTTTTAGTTTAACTAACCTTTCTTCTTTCTTCAGGTCTCAAAGCTCTCAAGATTCTTGCTCTTAGTAATACAAAGGTAATCAACATGACCTTTGACTCTTTCAACCCTCATCTCTTAACCCTTCGCACCCTGTCGTCATTATGCATACTGTTAAGTCTAACAAGGAGAATTTGTTTAACAGTCAAGAGCTTCTTTTGTGGGTGACCATTTCCTTAATTCTCATGACCTTAATGTGTGATTTAGGGCAGATATTATAAGGAGAAATTAGACGCTAGTCACTCTTAAGTGTTAAAGGGTTAACTATTCTTACAGTAATCATGCAGAATTATATTAAGATCATGCTAATATAGGAAATGATCACCAGCCTAAGATGTTCTACAAATTCTCCCTGTTAGTAGCAAAAGAAATGTATAGAGCAGGGTGTAAAGGGTTAGCAGGACCTTCTTAATTACACATGATACAATTTAAATGGTGACTCTGTCTGATATATATTTTGATATTTTTGTTTATTTAATTTTTTTTTTAATGTGATAGATCTCATCTCTAGAAATTGTTCAACACTTGCCTCAGTTGGAGAATCTGAATATTTCACACTGTACAACATTACATGATGACAGTTTGGCAGCTCTGGAAAATCATCCATCACTTCTGTCTCTCAATTTGCTCTCAACAAATATCTCCAATAATGGACTCAGTCATTTGCAAGGTGATGACAGTGCTTTATATAGCAGCTCTGCTGCTGAGTTTTATTTAACCCTTCACCTCTCAAGATCTGATTGTTAATTCTCCCCTCTAGCTGCTACACACTTCCTTCTAAATTGGTTACGATAATGTGGTGTTAGATCAAGATGACAACTTCTACCTGATAAATTTTAGTATTCTCATTACTTTTTGCTGGACAATGTATGGATATCATTGGGAGATGTTACATGTTAATCATTTCTGGGAGTCAAAGGATTAGTGTTAATGTTTCAGCAAAATGATGAGCACACCAAAAAGTTGCACCCTTCCAACTAGCAAGAAAATATAAAACTTAGACTTACCAGAGTATTATTTTTTCAGAAGCATCTCAGTGGGCCAGAATCTTAAATCCTTGAGTCTGATTTGCTAATCATGCACTCTTAACCAATCCACCTTCTTAATATACAGACCAGCAGATTTTTCCCCAATTAAGCACCCAGGCTCTAATAAGTGCCTTCCTTGAGTAAGTGCCTACCCACAAGGCCATGATATATCAAATGATTGCTGTAAGACCGACCCAACAAGTTTCATAAATATGTGTTGCAGAAACAGTCAAAAATCTGCAATGTAATTTTAATAAAACACAGTCTATCTATCTATCTGTCTATCTATCTGAGTGCCCCTCCAAAAAGTGCCCCCCTCTTCTCACTTTCTTAAATAGTAGGGATACAAGGAAACCTGTTTCTATGGCCACTTTATTTATAACTTATTAAGCTTCATCAGTACAGGTTAATAGCACCCCCTTTGGTTGAGGGCCCTCCTTCTAATAAGGGCTACCTTTTAGATAAGTGCATGGGTGCTTATTTGAGGAAGTATGATATCTTATTTATCCTTCTTGGTTGGTCCATATGGGAAAAAACTGTGCTCTTGGTCTTGTGCATAGCCCTCTCTCTTTGGCCTCAGGCAGTCCACAACACCCTTACAGACCTTCCACCTGGTATATAAACATAACTCTATATCTAAGTAGACAAGAGCTTTCTAACTTGCATGCTGGTATTGTATCAGGTCTGAAGTTGTCAACATTAAAACTACCAAACAGATTGACTATTACAGATGAAGGGCTGTGCAATCTTCAAGGTACTGATTATAAATGACTTTAAAATCTCACTCCTTAAGATTTCAGTAAAGAAGAATAATGTGCTTCAGAAACCATGTGACTCCTTTTACAGTTCCTTCAGGAAAAAGTATATGATATGAAAATTTACCTCCTACTATGTTTTGAGATTTTACAGTGGACTAGGAATTTGCAAATTGTCTTCAAAGGGGTGAAAAAATTGAGTATGACTGCCACAATTCCGGATACAACTAAGTAACATGGCCTTCACCCATGGCCACAATGCATGTTTCATAAACAAGGCTGCTCTTGTTATCACACATTACTGTGGTTTGGGTCAAGATTGTTTTTTAATGTAGCTCAATCCTCATTGTTCAAACCCGTCACGAAGGTTAAAAATAGAGGAATGGTGCAGTTAGATCAAATGTACAGGGGCAGGTCTCTGAGTATTAGAGTGGTGTCCATGGTTGAAATCAATTTTTTTTAGTGGTTAGATAACTTTCCACAATCTCAAAATGTGGTCAGTGTTATAAGTTAGCCTTTGTGTGGAGAGATGAAAATAATATGACTTGAAAAGCTTTTTTTTTTTTGCATTTCTTTTCCATTATAGGCCTCTCATTAGTATCACTTGACCTGTCAGATTACATTCATGTTACAGACCTTGGTGTCCGCTCAATTGCAAACATGACAAGGTAATTTTTTTTAAAGTTTGTCCACAGGTGTTTTTCTTTCTTTCACTTTCATGGTTAAACAAGAAAGAAAGAAAAGTCAGGGAAGAGAAGCTAATGCAGACAGGAAGCTGAATGTCCCTTTTTTCAACCATTTAGATAACTTTGTGTCACATTTTTCTTTCACAATACAGACTGACACAGTTGTTACTCAGCAACACCAAACTTACAGATGATGGAATGAAAAGTCTAGCAGGCAAGATTTTTGTTTCATACATTTATGCTCAAAGTCTGGAAGTCTCTCAGATATGAACCAAATATTATGGTCTCCCATAAACTTCCCTTGTTCTCCCAGATCAAGATAAAGTTGTATGTTTTTATTTTTCAATAAGGGGCAAGAACAAGTAAATTTTACCTTCATGAACCTTTTACACCCAAAGATCAGTATCCATATTCTCCAAAGGCTTCCCTATACATTTACTTTTGTAATGACAAGGAGAATCTTAGCTGAGAATCATTTTCCTTATTTGCATGATCTTAATGAATGACTCAGCAGTGCGACTGTAAGGGGAATAAGATGCTGATCACTCTTAGGATTAAAAAGGTTAATAAAGTTTTGGGTTTTCTTTGTGAATATAGTTTTGCATTTTCTCTGATTTCTCTTGATTCCGCTTAACCCTTTAACTCCCAGAAGTGATTAACATAAAACTTCTCCCTACAATATCCATACATTCTTCAGCAAACAGGTAATGAGAACATTCAAACTTATCAGGTAGAAGCTGCAATCTTGATCTAGCATCAAGTTCTCATAACTAATTTACAAGGAAATGTGTAGCAGCTAGAGGGGAGAATTAACAATCAGATCTTGGGAGTTAAAGGGGTAAGCCATCTATTAAGGGTGAGAATGGTATGAAGCAGTAAATAAAAAAGGCTAAATTGATCAAAGTTAGGGGGAGGTTATATTAAAGATGTGATCCAAGGTCAGACATCTTCAGATTTTACATTTCCAGGATTTTGTGTTCCTAAGAACACATCAGAAATCAAACCTTTTCCAAGACCTCAACACTTGGTAAAATTAAACAGGCTGTGAACAATACGTCAGGGTTACAATAAGTTGACTGAAGTTGCTTAATATTATGCAATATTCCTTCAACAGCTCTGAGGGAACTTGAAGAACTTTCTGTGGATAGAACAGTAATAACTGATGAAGGATGTACGGTTCTGCCAAGTAAGTATGTCTGACAACAAGTTTCATCAAATCAGGTTGAGAAATCATCTGTATATTTGGCCTAGGAGCTATCGGCAGCCACATATTTGATCTGTAAATTGTTTTTTTGATAGGCTCTGATTTTTTGTTGAATTTTTTCATTGTTGTTTTTTTTTTTAGTATCTGTGACTCTAAATGAGTTCAAGATTATTTCAGATTCTTAAGATGTCTGCAGACAAAACTTTTTTCACAGTTGATGCTGTTAACTTTGCCTAATTTTTGTTTTCTTTAATGTTCGTAAAAACACCTATAGATTTCCAACAACTTAGGATTCTTGGTTTGTCGTCTACAAGAATAAGCAACAAGCTTCTTTTAAATGGAACTTTGAATCACTGCAAGGTTCTTTCAAAATTAAACCTGAGTAGAACCAGAGTGTCTAACAAAAGATTATCCAGCCTTGTTCTGCCATTACTGAGTCAACTTAACCTAGATTGGACAAGAGTGACAAGTGATTGCCTCACACTTCTCACAGGTAGGAATTAAATTATCTTATGTATAAATGAATAAAGGGGTTAAGTTTCCAAAGAAACAGTGGTGCTGCATTGGTGGGAGAGTATAACAGTGTAATTTAGTATTATTGATGAGTTGATAACATAAATTGGCCATCATAAAGAGTTTCAAAGCTAGTTTGAAAGTGAAACTCTTTATGGTGGCCAATTTACTTTATCAACTGAGTTGATAATATCAGATTACCCTATCTTTTTTAATACCTTTTACCTTCACAGGGGTTTCAATTACTTTTTCCATGAGTGGGTGGGGATGATATAATAGTCAGTTGTGCCATAAGGTGGAATCCAAATAAAAGAGCCTGCTTGCAAGCTAAACAGATTGTAGTGAAAGGTCTTACAGGCAGCACTAGACCCCTGGTACCAGTGACCTGCCACTATTGAAACCCCTGTTTCAGAATCATTCATACTTCAAGTTCTTCTGAAATAACTCCCAATTAAGGGTGGAGAATTGAATCTTAGTCTTTGTCTGGCAAACAAAATTTTGTTTCAATTTGAATCAGCTTATAGTCTTCTAACCAGAAGGCCACCTTATGTCATTCTCTTGTTACTGTAACTTTGTGTTGTCTTGAAGGTGGGTCTGCTATACTTTTTACATGAAGCGTGATTGGTCAATTTTTTCCTCATGAATCATGATTTAAATTTTTGTTATTTGTGAATCATGATTGAAAAAGATGATAAGATCTTTTCATGTCTGTGTGGATGAATTTTTTCATTTAAACCTGACCCGTGAATGAAGAGCTGTGGTTTGTGAACCATTTTGGTTTGTGTGATAAATTTCCTGCTCTTTCAAAGAGCCAAACTCAGAAGATAAATGGCTTTGTAAACAGGTTAGAGAAGGTGAAAGTTTTCGTTTGAGAATCTGTTTTTTTTATTTTAACTTGAAACGAGATCATCTTCAATTTCACATGAACTTGAGTTTTGGATTGTTATTTTTGATGTGTGAAAAGGCAGAGTATTTTTACTTTTAATTAATAAGTTTTAAAAATGGAGACCCTCTTGAAGGACACCTTAGTTCGGTTTTTATAGCAAATTATGTCCTCTTTTGTGCTTTGTTTTTCCTTCCTAACACTTTCTTATCTTCCCAACTATCCTCCATTTATTCTTTCATCCATTCTTCCTTTTATATTCTTCTTTCTATCTCATTTATTCTGCTCTGTTATACAGGTTGTCCTTCACTGAAAGCCTTGAGAACAAACAATTGCACTCCTCCGTCACCAGATTCTGAAGATTCAGATGATGAGCAGGAACAACGATAATAACTGTTTGGTTTGATGAGATCAAGTATGAATGGGGAAAATATTTAATTAATTTATCTTCTCTGCTCCTACACTGAGGAATATATTTTGCTTGGATTGTTTAAATTAGGTACAAAATAATTTGTGTGATGATCATTTTGTGAAAATTAAGAGAAATGTGTAATTTTCATTATAACGTTTAAATTTGCAAAAAACCACAGACTTTATACAAGGCAAAAGTTGTAGTTGTGTTATTTATAATTATTATTTCAAATTGAGGTTATAAAGTCTGTCTAAATTCTAATTATGTTGAGTTTCTGTTGCACTCAGCATTCCTAAAATACGTTAAAAAAATTATTTCACAACAGATCAAAGTAAACTCGGGAAAGTAATAATTGTAACTTGTTTTTAATGTGGCAGGATTGAAGAAGTCAATAAACTTAAACATGCTACTTTTGCTTTTGATATTTGGAACTTATCTGAGGGGTGTCCTCTTTGTATATGTGGTTATATGTGTAAACATTAAATTTGGCCATGCATGATTCCTCCTGAAAGTATATCAGTTCTGTCGAGTAACTAAGGGTGAGTCTTGAAATTTTAGATGATAACTTACAAAAGTCCACATTCTGGACACAAAGTAACTCCCAGTACAGCGCTGTGATATCGTACCGCTGAATATGCTTTGTGCAACCTGGGAATGGAGGATGCACATCTTCAGTTTCCATTAGATGGACAGATTTCAAATAGATTGGATCTAATCAGGGAAAATTAATTATATATTGATCTCCTCTTTGGTAGGACAACCCTGAATCAAATTTTTCTTGAAATCACTTTGCAGAAACTTCCTTCCACTCCAACAGGTTTCCTCTTGTGAACCTCATCCCCATTCTTGCTCTCTGTCCCATTTGTAGAAGAGTAACCTTTGAAAACAGGTGACATTCTTTCCTCACCAAAATTTGATGGAAGTCATACATTAGTGAGAGGTCTTAGATTTGAAGTGAACTTGAGAACTGGAGAATTAAAATTGTTTTTGTGGGAGGTATTGAAAATTATACTCTACTTAGTGGAAATCGATGTAAACCACATCTTATTTATTTTTGAACATACTAGCCATATACGAACCTGTATTTAGCGGCACCGTATTAGCTGTCACCCTGTTTAAAGCGGTCGGTCGGTCGGTCGGTCGGTCGGTCGGTCGGTCGGTCGGTCGGTCGGTCGGTCGGTCGGTCGGTCGGTCGGTCGGTCGGTCGGTCGGTCGTGGGTGATTGCCTGAAAAGTCACACCACGTCTTCTTACGAGGGATGGCAAATGGCCTTAAAAATTGGGATCCTTAAATCCTATTAGTGTACAGATTTGTATCAGAATCAACTCATCAAAAAAATTGGAAAGATTACTGCGGGGATCTCTTAATAATCATTTAGTTTTTAACGAATTTTCGTTCCCCTTCGTTCAATAGTTATCTTTACTTCCGGTGTAAACTGCATGAGCCTGTGATCTTTGTCCTGTGGAGTGCACCAATAGAACCACGTGAGTGATACAAAACACGTAATCTGATTGGCTTACGCTTGTTTGAAAGAAGTGGAGGGAAAAAACGAACAAGATGGCAGAGTGGTGAAGACGGTTTTCCACTGAAGAAGTTTCCGTTTGAATTTTGTCTACAGATATCGAGTTCTTAGGCATTCCTGTCTATGACACAATCAATCATGTCTGTTGCAGCTCTTGTAGGATCTTTTGATGATATCGTCCGTTCCACAACGGTACTTGCTGAAGGAATTGAAGGAGGTTTGCCGCGGCCAAGTTTTGTTATTTTTCATTGTTTGTGAAAATATTTTATTTTTATGGCATAATTTGACATAAGAAAAGTCCTTATCTTTGTGTCACATTTTTTCGGTAGGAAAAGCTTATACGCTTTATTGTAGAACTTCGATAGTTCCAAATTACAAACTTGTAAACTTTGATCTGAAATGAGACGTTATGTTAATCGACCTAGACGACGTGGATTAAAACTATGTTCTCTTTCTTTTTTAGAATTCATCAAGTTCGTTTCGCAGCAGGAAGAATGCCGAAAGAAATGGCTTGTAGCAGAGAATGAGGCCGTCCGACTGAAGCAAGAAATCGCCAGGATCACGGTAAGTTTCGTTTGGGTGTGTAAAACGCATCCATCAATTCTGTTTCTTTCAGAAGTTGTTTCTCAGTGGCTTTAAACTATACTCAACAAAATTTTCTCCCAAAAATCTTTTTTCAGGCTGAGAACGAAGCACTTGAAGTAAAACTGAAACATGCAAGGTATTTAGACAAAAATGACAGAGCTTTGGTAGATTTGAGATCGAGGAATTTTTAATTTTAGCTGTCTGTCTACCTTAATTTATTGTTTCGTTTTGTCATGAGCTTTTTCTCTGCGTTTTTGCCAGGAGTCAAGTTGAAGTAGAAATTAAGAAAAGAATGAAGGCAGAGGCAACCCAAGATCACCTGGTGAGAAAACTGATAAACTCTCTCATAATTTATATTAGTGACAACATACCATTATTTGAGGTATGCAATGTACAAATTAATAGAATGTATTTCATTTATTGACGCTACTGTGAAGACCATCTCTGATAGTTGTAATCACAGATCTTCCATGTAAAGATACCATCTTCACTGAAGTCTCCATCTCCTTAATAAAAAGAAGTGAAATTGCTCTTTACTGCATTCTTCCCCTTCTGCTCCTGTTCAATGGCTACATTTAAAAGTTTAATGTGACAAGTTTGCATTTTGCTATCATTCAGCACTGAAAGCTGAAAAGGGCTTGGTACCACCGTCATCATCATCATCTTAATTAAGTAGGTTTTAGGTTGTATTTTTTACTTCAAAATATATTTTCTATCATGAGTTCTTCAAGATTCTATTAATATTTGGTTTGTTACATAAATTTCAATATTACAGGAAAGACAAGTGGCCTTGATCCGTGAACTACTAAATGACAAAGACACAATGAGTAGGTTGAATGACAATGAAAGACAGACACTGATGCAGTTGAGCCAGTGTCACCATGAGGATTTTGCCAGTCCAAGGAAAAGGTTTGTGGGACTGATCTATTGGCTTCTGTGGTTACCTTTTTTTAACCTTTCATGCCCTAATGTCATTATACATTCTCTGGCGTTCAACACCAACCCTTGCCTCATTGCTCAGGGAAAGTGAAATATCTCTGTGGGCATGTAAAAAACTCTAAGACTTGCCCAATTGGGCAATCAGATTTTTCATTGGAGTTATATTTTGCAGAACAATCTGATTTGCAGTGATGAAAGTGACTGGTAATATGACAGTGACTGTAAACGTGATAAAGAAGTAAACAACCTCATATTGGTTTGCTGTCCTGTTTATTTGTCTGTTAAACATATATAGGTACAAACTTCAAAACATTTATAGCCAAAGAGGATACTATGTTTGAAGCCACCATGTTTCTCTGTGTAAAAGGAACACTCTTCATGATGGAAACCAGTTTCTGCATGGCCAGATGTGCTTCAATATTTTTGCAAAACATTTATTAAGTTACTACTTAGTGACTAGGGAACACCAAATCATCCCATAACAGTTTGATATAACTTTTATTATTTCATTCATGGACAAAACTTCATGTCAACTACATTACATAATCAAATTGACATCTTTTTGTTTTTTAAATTTTTTTAAACAAGCCCCCTTTCAGTTTTCATGGCCCTTTAGTAGGTGGGCAACCAGAATAACTATAAAAATATAAAAATAACAGAAAAACAAAAAAACAAAATTGGCTGCCCTAAGGGGAAGTTAGCCAGAAAGTTAGTGTCAAACACTGTAATCTCCAAACAGTTCTCTATAAATTTCCTATGGTGATGACATGGAGAATTTGTTAAACAATCAAGAGCTTCTTCAGTTGGTGATCATTTCCTCTATTCTCATGACCCAAATATTTGATTCAGAGGTTATGTTGTAAGGAGAAATTTGGTGCTGGTCAAAAGGTTCAAGGGTCAAAGGGTTAAGAATGTTATTTCTCATGAAGGATTTGCCAAGTACTGTATCTCTGTAGGTGGGTGATTTTTGTTGGCAGCTGGCTACTTTTGATTACCCTTGCTCTCCTATCATCATAGATTAAACCTCCCTGCAACAATTATTTTGTTGCATAAGTTGTGGATGGTTGGTAAGCCATAATTATTATTTTTATTACTTTAGGCGCTTCAGTAATCAGGATGAATCTAGTGGTTCAATCTTGTCTCCTTCAGACATCAGTTATGACAACACAGAGGAGGACTTGGTAGGAATTTTGATAATAAATGTTGTGATCATCATAATTGTAATCCTATTGTATAATAGGATCATTTCCCTCACTCAGGTCACTATACATTAGACCTGATCAGTGTTCTCTTGTTAAAGGGGTAAACAGTTAAGTTTTTGGCCTGTAGTACCTCTTTTCACTGCTCAAAATCGCTTGGAATTCTTGAAAAACTTTTACAGGTAAAAGGACTCATTGCTTTCATTTTACCTGTCCTGCTTAAAATAAAGGCTGCCTGATGTGAAATGCCCAGGTCAAACATTTTAATAATTCATCTGATATGTAAATCTACCAGATAGTCTCATCATCCACCTGTGATTGTTAATAAATTATTGTTCACGTGCAGGCTTTTATTTGTTACTTTCCAGGATGTTTCCCATCCCAGGAAAACCATAAGAAAGGCAGTAAGTAACAATTACAATGTAGATCATGGAAGTGGGGGTGGTGCAGTGCTGGGAGAGTGCTTGCCTTCCACCGCTGTGGCCTGGGTTTGATTCCTAGACCTGGCATCACAAGTGGGTTGAGTTTTGTAGATGGTTCTTCTCTCTCCAAGGGTTTTTCTCTTGGTCCTTTGGATTTCCTCCCTTTTACCAAGAGACGGTGGACTTTAGGAATGTCCACTGCTAGATTTCCACAACTATTATCCCATTATTATTATTATTATTATTGTTGTTGTTGTTGTTGTTGTTGTTGTTGTTGTTGTTGTTGTTGTATTTTTTACCAGTAGAACTCA